TAAACACAAATAAAACCACCAAGTGCATATATTTCAACGGACAGTTCAGGACTCTTCTCCCAGTATTCCAAGGACGCAGCAGAGCTACGCGCCATTGGCCGCGCCGGTGAGGTCAGCCGGTCAGCCCGGGTGGACGAGGTTTATCATGACAGGTGGCTAATGGGATGGTTTATGATGTTTATGGAAAACAAAACATACATAAAAAATATCATGTCATGAGATTTAGTCTGAATTAGTGCTCAGAAAACATCAGATTTAGATAGATTTAGTATGATCTGGTGATATTTAACGTATCCCAAGATGATGGATTTGGATTTTCATGGCTTTTCCATGAAACCATGGATTCTGATCATTTCATGACTCCTTCCATCCAGGTGGCGTAGCTCGTCTGTCAGGTGCTGCCTGAGGCTACATCTGAATCGGATCAAGCTGAGCCATAAAACAAACAAACATAACCTGACAACCCAATTTGATGGTTTATGACTTTACTATACGACTATACTCTACAGATATTTACTTCTGTTCGATCCTTTTATATCCTTTTCATATCTACAAGAGGATTTCTGATGATTTCTCTGAGAAACAAGAAACGAATGAACTGTCCATCTCGATCTGCCCCCTTTTTGCCTCCACTACTTGCAGTTTCAGTAGCGGATGTGAGACAAGGCTATGTACCGACTTCTTTGTGCCGCCTGTTTGTGCGGATGTTTGCGATCGCTTGTAAACAACGATTTCTGAAACATTGAAACTGTCTCATGAAACAACTGAATGAGTGCTGCCAACCAAGAAAAAAAGTATGCCAAAACACTTCCCATGCAAGCACTGCTGAGATGACTTGAAAAATATATAATCATTAATTCACTGAAACGGATACCATATCGCAATTTAACATATCTCTGGCATTTAGAATTGAATTTGTTTAATAGGTAAATCACCGAACTAAATTGATATGAGTAATTGTCCAGAGCTGGATTACAATCCCAGAGGGTAATCATCGACTATTTCCAGCTCTATGTTCATAGAAAAACAATGTATAATATAATATGTTTAAATGCAAATATAAATATCCATAAACTAAATATCTACAATTATAATATATATATAGATAGAATATCCATAATTCCCAATATCTCATTTGTTCCCTCTGATCTTCTCAGTTGCCCTTACTGTCGTTCCGCTTTCAGTATGAAATCTTGGCACGAGCATCTCGTGCGGACCTCAGATCAAGAAGTTGGGAGTGGGATTTCCCCAAGCAGAAACCTATCAACTGGGATGGTTATACACCGAAATGGTGATGACTTGGGGATGGTTTATGGCATTGGGTTTACCACATATTCATCCTATTGGTAGTATGTTTACGTCGCAATTTATATGTGATTTTCCTATTTCACATTGGGATGTACAGTACCCTCTGGCAATTTGTTACAGTTCAGGTTGCAACCTCGAACATCACCACTTTATTTTTGGAAATCATCGGACCAAATTTCCATAGCCATGTAACAAAAAAAACGCTATGGGTAGGTAATCACATGGCCAATCTAGGATATTTCGACTTATACAATTTGTACATAACATATCATAACATATCCATGTATTACCATGATTCATTGCATCTTGTCCCAATCGATGACAAGAAAAATCAGAAATTTCTCCAGGATCAAGGGTTTTTTGTGCCCATGGCCCCATGGCTGCTCCAAGGTGCAAGGGGTTGGTGCCAATGTGCATGATCTTGGATGGCTCCTGCATACAGCTTGAAACCACCTTACATAACATACCTCTTGAAATCTCGGATTTTTCAGATTCCCAACGATCAAACATCACCTGGACAACAACCACAAAGACATCTCCCTGAACCCATCATGGCTTAGCAAAACAAAGCACAACATTTCTACGGCTAAGAATGTACGTGACTGTATATCAGAGCAAAACACATCCCCAGCAATGGCCGTCCTTTGTTTTAAAGGGAACACTCTGGCAATCAAACATGACTCGAAGCTTATCCATCAGACGCTTTTTTCATTCAAACCTCCAGGCTTAAAATTGGGATGTCCCAAACAGCAATGTTTGCTTACGGAAGGGTATTTGTGTTACCCGTCAATTATGGCCTATCTCATCTCCAATAAACCAGCAATTTGTGCTAACCTCCATTAGTTGACCGAGCGACCATTAGTTGTCAACCAACATATCCACACGAAACCCCCATAATGGATGGTTGTATCCCAATAATTGATCACTTACTAATCAACAATCTTATATATATACGCATATACCATTTACTCTAACGGTTATCAATCAAAATACATTCTCATCTGTAGTGGTTACACACCATATTTACATAGATTTACTGTTTCATAACCCCTATGAAATCACCAACAACAGCAACTGCAATAACTCTACTGCCAGCTGTCCGCCACACCTTGTTGCAGGACATGAAGATGCGCGCCAAATCGGCGCAGCCGCCTCAGGACGAGACGGCTGGGAAAGCGAATGAACAGATTAATGTATAGTATCATGATGATATACATATGTATATATATATATATGTGTACATGCATTTGTATATATATACATATGTATATATGTTTGTTTCTAGTTGAAATTACTTTAAATATATATATATATAATATAATCTATAAGTGCATATGTATAACATATCTTTTAGTATAGATGTACATAGTTGTAGATAGGGTCTTGGAGTAAACAATCAGCAAATGGATGCACACGGGACATTTCTTGTAGTTCGATGCCACAGACTTAGGAATGAACTCAACAAACTACTGTATGTCGGTGTATCACACCAGTAATTCTGTGTATAGATGTGCATACATGTCCCATGAATGACTATACGAATAACTATACCATTTTGACCGGATTGCCAGGCTTTGAAATGCCATAATCATCCAGCCATACTTGGCAATATCTCTCAGCTTCCAACATGTTCAAACACGTGCCAACATGTTCCCAGCGTATGCAAGGTGTCCAAACTCACTTCCTTTCAGATTCCGGTATCAGCTGGTTATATGGTGCAATGATGTTGATATTGTCAACCTATATATATATATATTTCTATATATTTCTGTATGTTGCTATGGTTGTCTATACTCTACATGGTGCCTGTTGGTTGCAAGCGCTACACCCATCAAGGATGGTGCCATGGGTTCGTGCGGCTTGAAACATCTCATACCTTGGTGCCATGGGGAGAAGCGAGGGCAAAGTCTGACCGGACAGGACAGGACTGTCCCTCAAAACCAAAGTCGGTGGTCCAAATAATGTGGGTAAAACAACAATAACATCCATGACTGGGAATGGTAACCATACCACCTATAAAAATGGTGATTTGGGGGATGGTTTATTATTGTTTTACCCACGTTATGCACATTAGAATCACATTAGATATGTGCCTTTCTACATACTTTTTATGTGTACATCTATGGAGGTTTCCTAAAATAGGGCTACCCCCAGTTCTCATCCACTTTAATAGGATCCATTATAAACCATCCATTTTAAGGGCTACCACCATGGCTAAGGAAACCTCCACCCGCGGATTTGCAGCACAAGAAAAAATTCTGAGGACATGACCCTCGCGTGTGGAAGAAGCAATGCTTGGCATCATCGGGTGCATACCTCAGACAAAAAAAAGTGGTAAAGCCAATGATAAACCTCCAATTAAGGATGGAATATATCTATACATATATATATATAATTATAGAATCATATATAAAACATATATAAATATAGTGACCATGCTTTTTATATGGGTAAGATTAGATATGGTCTCTTGATGTCTCTTGTACCATGACATGAGTTTGGATTGTCAAAGTGACTGTCAAAGCCAAGACTTGGTTGGTGCTTTTTGAAAGCAAGGATGGATGAAGCAAATAATGCAAATATCAAACACCAATACCAGGGTTCGACCAGCAAATACATATCAAATATATGCAAACATACAAACAATACATATGGGGATACGGGAGATATTCCCTTCCTGGAAGTTGAGAAGCCCACCATCCCTCTTCAATGTCCGCGATGACTGGCGGCAGGTTTAGACAGCTCCATTGGACATGACTCATGACATGTTCACTAGGGGAAATTGGTTCTTTGATCAAAAAAAGATCTTAAAAACACCAATTAAGACTTAGCCGAAAATCTTACATTATATCAGATTCACATATATTCATTGGCCACTTGAACGTAACATGTAATTACAGAACAAAAACTGGGGTTTTGAAGCAAAATCCCTGGCTCTCTATGATTTGCCCTTGAAGTATCTCAAAGTCATTGGACAGGCAGGTCGGTCCCTGACGCTTCTGGTATAAGTAGGATCAGTGGTATCTGCATTGATGACATGGGACCCGGGAAAATGTATAGCTACCCGAAATCTATCCTTTGGACCCCGGGCCCAGGGGTCTGCTCCAGAGGTCAAATCATCTTAGGTGGTGTCCCTCCAGTTAAGTTTGTTGGTTTCAAATCCCCCATGAACTAAATAATATCTATCATAAATCCTAGTTACTAGTTATTAGAGCGATAAAACAACTTAGCTATGGGGAACCACCCAAACGTTATAGTCATGGTAAAGTATCCTTCAATAATAGATTCTTTTCCCATTAATGTCAACCCTGGATTAATAAACCCCTAGGCTGTTTAATTGGGAGGGTACCATTTAAGTATCAGATAATGACTATTGGAGGAGTACCCCCCTAATTAATAAACCATGGTTTATTAATCCGGGGTTGACATTAAAACCTTCATTAAAAACCGTGGATTTCCCAGCCACGGTTTAAAGTGATGCCCCTCCGGCGACAGCAGCGGCCGTTTTTTTTCTCCGCAGCCCTGGACTATTGTACTAGGTGAAACCAGTGGCTGCTCTATACATATATATATATATGTATAATATATATATAATTATATTATTATATGTATATATATATTATTATACAAAAAATATACATAGAATCGTACACATACACATACCAGGGATCCAACGGCATTTGCCGTGCGCGTCATTGGCCCACTTTGGCCAAGAAGGCTTTGGCAGCGTCCAGCACAGTCATGGTCACCTGGCCGAAGAGGCATGTATGTGCATGCACACAGAATATACAATAATAAATACATATGTTATACAAATATGTATGCAAATATGTAAATCTATATAATTATATATAATTATATATAATTATATATAATTATATATAACTATATATATATATAAATCTTATATACACTATCTCTCTTTCTCTCTCTCTCTATATATATATACATACATACATTTGCATATACATATACCGTATGTTTCTTCACATAGCGCAGGCAATCTATGTACAAATACCATGGGATCATATGGGATGGGATCTATATCATTTTGTTCTAGTCACTTGAGACAATTCGAACCATTCGGGATGGTTTTTTCTAGTGGCTTTGCCCAGCATCGACATGTGTTGAATAGTTAAGAATCCTGGTCTGTTGTCGGTTTCATCCCCCCCAAACATGGTAATTATTGAGATTTTCCCGGGAATAAACCATCAAATCATACAAAGTACCCTCAAGATCAAATCACTCTATATCTCTTTAGGAAATCACAATGGGAAGTTCCCCCGATAATGTTGGTGATTCTACGATCGCTTACCACCTATCTTCTTGCAGACCTTTCACTGGCAACTCTCACCTCGTGACCGCCCTCAAAGACCAACAAGGGATCGGCAGCGCCGAGAGCCTTCCAGTGCCGGAATGATGGCTGTTGACATGGTGGTCCTGTTTTGATGTCGATGTAGTTACTATACAGGCTTGTCCAAATGGGAGATACCCCGATATATGGTTATTTATGTTAGCTATTGGGCTTGAAATGTATTTAGATCTAGATGGAGGTGACTTGCAAAACAAAGATATCAAGTGTCAACTGGGCATCCATCATGCCAATTTTTGGATGTAAAGGAACGTTTGATAAAGAAATGGCACCACCATTGAGGTATGCATAGCCCAAACATGGTGAATCACTGAAAACTGAGGCCATGTCTTCATGCTTGGGCTTTGACAAAATGCTGAAGCTTTTGAAACCAAATGCTTAGTTTAAAGTTTAAATCAGTCCACTTTTTTCAACTCAAATCCTTCTTCTCAGGCTTTTTCCGTGCATATTTGCTCATATTTGCTCCACCTTGTTTATCTGGGTAAATCATAATATTTCACGAACCTGAAACTTGCGGCCATTTCGGGAGGATTCCCCGAATCCGAACCAGGATTCCAGTGATGTCACCCTGAGGTCATTAGTATAGTTTGATCAAATGTTATAATTATAATAAGATTCTAACCCCTGATTTAGATTGATTTAGTATGTAATCATAGGTGCTGGAAAACTTGCGAGCCCTGCCTTGTGAACTCCTTCCACTTGATCCCTGCGGGGCTGGACAACTCCGGGAACTTCTGTCATTTGTCAAACAACACACGCCATTCACTATATCATCTACCCTCTGGTAATCTGCCATAGCTGCCATAGCTATTGAGCACGGTCCATTTGGATGTTTCCCAAAATAGGGGTACGCCCAAATCATCCATTTCAATACGATTTTCCATTACAAACCATCCAGCTATTGGGGTACCTCCATTTATGGAAACCCCCATATATATATATATATGATTTACCTATTCAAAATGGTGATCTGCCATTGCTGTGTCCAGCTAACCAGAGGGTAAAGCATCGAATCATGTGGGAAACATTCTCATCTCTCCGGCAAAAGTTAGTCAATGATCCCCATTAACTAGTTTGACATATTTATCATGCATAACAGGGATGGAATGGAAGTAGAAACATTGGAACCCTGATTTCCCGGAGCCCAAATAGCCTACAACATCCCAGCAAAGCCGCTTGAAACATGCCCAGTTTTCAACGTGTGCCCCATGCAATAGCCACAAATCAGCAGACATGTTGGAATAACACCCCAAGTTGGTGGTGGATCAAAACCCTACTAGGTACCCTAAGTCATAGCTGCCTGATGGTCCCATCCCTAGTTGTTCCCAGCAAACATCGCCAGGCCCCAAGCCCAACCGCCTGGGTGCGATTGGATCTTTACTTCCCGCCGCCACCAGGGCTGGAATGGTGGGTGCAACTTTGGACGCCAAGTGTGCCGCAAAACCTGGCATGTTGGGCCCGCGAATGGAAGATGTTGGGGATCCCTTCAATGGGTGCTTTTATAGGGATTTAATGGGTGTTTGATGAGCATTTAATGGGTATCTCATTGATATGTTGTGGATAGTTGATGGATATCTGATGGATATTATATGGAAACTTGATTTCCAAAAGCTTGAATAAATTATGCTAATAAACAGCTATTGTTGGGGTTAACGGGGGTTAATAATCGTGAAACATAAGACCCTATTTGCCTTTGGCGGTTCCCCTGTGCATTATTCTTGAAACCAATGCTTGGAGTTTTTACACAAATACACAGCAGGGGTGTGTGCGTGCTGCATTCTCAAATCCAGTGCTAGAACTTTCAGAAATACATAGAAATACTACAGATTCTGGATGTTTTAGTAGTATTACAGTATTACCTAGCTGCTAAGGGATTTCATCTCGCTACAAAACAATTGCTTATTCGCCACTTTCTCATCCCGTCCCCAAAAAATCGTAAAAACATCCATCCAGCTGGAAATGTGGTCCAAAATTGGATATATCTTGTTTATCCTCTTTTGGACCACATTTCAATACCCTTTTTTTTTTGGAAGACTGTTAAAATGTACCACATTATCAAGACTGTCATTTATGCTCTTTGATGCGGACTGTCTTGTTTATCCTTTCAGGGAACCTCCGAAAACTCTGGAAGATCTTTTGCCCCTTAAGGGCAATGACAAACCACAGTTCTAGGGGCTACTCCCGAATGAGGGACCCCTACTAACCCCCAACTAGGTTGACCAACAATAGCCTTCCACCAATGATGGGATAGCTACATATTTCATTTCACATGAATCCATGTTATGCTTCTTGAAATTGATGAAACCCCAATATATAACACACATTAAGGAAACAATAGTATTATAAATTATATATATATATATTGTAAAAAAATACTTGGATTTGTCTGAAAATTGCGGTACACCCCCATAATTTATGGCTATTTCAGTAGAAACATGGCTATATTAACCATCACATAATTTGGTGCACTATTCTGAGACAAAACCAGTTGATATCTTAAAAGACATTTTTTTCGATATTGTCTGAAAAAATGATCAGTACCGTATTGTGATAATACATGTATATATATATATCCCGGGCCAGACGTTCGCCCAAAGTTTCATTGGGGGTTTAGTTACGTTGTGATTTGTTCAGGATTAATTTCAGTTTGTTTTAGGGTTTGTTAGGGTCGGTTTAGATTTCCTTTAGGTTTATTTAGGTTTTGTTTGGTTAATTCTTGTGCTATTGGGGGTTGTTTTAGGGTTGGCTCAAGGTTGTCTTAGGGTCTAGTTAGTGTTATTTATGGTTGATTTAGGGTTTGTTTGGTGTTTATTTAGGGTTATTTAGGGTTAGGTACAAATACCATATGTGTATATATATATATATGCATACCATATGTGTATATATATATGTACATATATATATGTCCATTATACAATATTATACATATATACATATATTATACATACCATTATATATATATACATACCCTACAATAATAATATAAATAATATAATATGCTTGCCATGGTTCTACAAACAACAATTATCGGATTTGCCTGGTGGACTCATCAGCACGAGCCCCGCCAAGTTCTTCACCCTGGGCGCCGCTGCCAGCGCCACCGCGGCGCCTCTGGGTTTGCGCTGTCGACCTACTGTGCATATATATGATATATATATATATATATAATATATATATATACATATATATCTGTCATGATTATTATATAATATATAATATATAATATAATATAATATATATAATTATATATGATATACACACATAAAACACATTGACGCAAAGATCTTTTCGGGATCTTTGGTCGAGTCTCGCCTTGGGAAAATCCGCCCAAGACCACTTTGGTATCTCCGGCGTTACCTCAGCCAGGCTGCCCGGCAACCGAGGAGAATTCTGTTGCTTCAGGTCACTCTCCTGTATTCCGTGTCGAAATACTAGAGCCCTCAGAGCCCGCATGGATTTGGATTGCTTGTAAGTCGTCAATCTGCAACTGTCAGTCATCTTGGGGGGAGGTTCCTCATATAAACGATCAGTTGATATCAGTTGTGACGTCGAGGTTTCTGCTCCGGCATGGATGAATACTGCCACTGCAACCTGATCACTGTTGTGGGTTTCTTAATAGAGTTCCCATCTCAATGATTCATGATATCCTTTAAAAAAAACTTGGGTTATCTTGGGTTCATAGCCTCAACATTTCCCCATAAACATCCATGAGCCACTGTGGAACTCAGTCGATCCTGCCGCCCAGCAGCAGCACTTGGCCACCGCTTCGGCTGCTTCGGATCTTGGCTGCTCGGAGTCTTATGACGGAAACCATTGGATTCAACATGACTTCATGACTTAACCAATAACATGGGAATGATATGAGATATGTTATATAATGGTACATATATATATATGAATGGTACAACATTATATATATATGATTTGAGTATATATATATATTTGGATAATATATAATGGTACATATATATATATATATGAATGGTACAACATTATATATATATATGATTTGAGTATATATATATATATATTTATATTTGGATAATATATAATGGTACATATATATATATGAATGGTACAACATTATATATATATATATATGATTTGAGTATGTATATATATATATTTTATTTTTGGATAATATATAATGGTACATATATATATATATATATGAATGGTACAACATTATATATATATGATTTGAGTATATATATATATATATTTATTTGGATAATATATAATGGTACATATATATATATATGAATGGTACAACATTATATATATATGATTTGAGTATATATATATATTTATATTTGGATAATATATATAATGGTACATATATATATATGAATGGTACAACATTATATATATATATATATGATTTGAGTATATATATATATTTATTTGGATAATGTATAATGGTACATATATATATATGAATGGTACAACATTATATATATATATGATTTGAGTATATATATATATTTATATTTGGATAATATTTAATGGTACATATATATATATACATATGGCTGCAAGAAAAAGTTGAGTTCAACACCAGCACAAAAAAATGCATGGTATCGACCAGCAACATGATAAGACATGTTGCTATAGAAACCAACAGTGCCCAATTCCTTCTACTATGAGTTTGGAAATCAACTAGTTGTTATTGTGACAACATTGAACGAATTGACCAAGATCATCTGCTTGGACATCAACCATCCGTGTAAAGCTAGGGTGATTCTACATCATTAAATGATATTAAATGGAGATAGCTGGATGGACAAGGTTGGATATCACAGCACCTATTTTCAATTCACAATCTACACGTTGGTGTTGTTTTTTTTATGTAAGAGTCAGTGAGTACCAGTACCCGTGATAGTTGTATGATAGGGGAGAATACCATGACATCCCATATAACCAGTGGTAACAATCAAACAAATGGCTTTGAGTATTGCTCATCTCCAACCCCAACGGTTGAGGATCTGACAAACATTTTTCCGCCTCTTTTTCCTTTGCGTTCCTGCAGACTCCGGTCAGACCACTCCCCAAGAAAGGAGGCAAAGACCTTGAACAATAACTGAGGGCTAGATGCGAAGACTGAGGGGAGTCACACTGGCAATCCGTGCTGTTCTGAGCGCAACTTCATTTGGCTAGATCCCTATATATATATAAATTTATAAATCCGCACAATTGTTGGCAAAATCTAATAAATCAATAAAAACAAACAAAAATCCCTGTATCTCCAATTATCCATCTCATGTCATGCCATCCCGTCCGTCCTACTCCACCATTCCCGCAGAGGCTTCCGCCATTCTGGGAGGTCAGTATTGGATTCGTCGATGGGCATACCTGCAGCCTGCGAATGCAAAATGATCGCTAAAAGCTGAAATTGCATGAAATTGCATGAAATTGCATCATGCTTTTGGCGTCTGATTTGCTTTCATTCATATTTACGCCCAGTTCAGATATGGATAGCATCCCAAGACATCCCAAACTCCAAGGAACCACACTATTGAAAAGGACGCAGGGTGAGTCAGAAGTCGTCTATTCCCATAATGTTGCAGAGACTTGGCTTTTCCTACACGTTGAATAGAACCCAGCACCACTCTTAGCGTTTTTGATCGTTGTTGTTCTTTCTTCTTGTTAGCAGTCATCGCATTTACACAATCCATCATGCATACTGGGTTCCATCGTTAACAATACGCATAAACATGCAAACATATCTGATATATCTATGAGCAGCAGGTTTTTTCTCCCTTGTATGTGTTTTTGGTCTGGTGGTAAATGACTTGAATTGTTTTTGTTTGCCAGCTATAGCTACAATTTTTCTTACCTTGTGTTCAAGGATACACTGCCCCAATACGTCAAGAGCCATTGTACGTCAAGAGCCATTGTATGAATCCTCATCGGCTCGTGTTGAGGGGTGGACTCCCCTACCTACCATCCAAGAGCTTCCCAGTGGTCGGTGCCAGAATTCCGCAAATCAGTTGATGTCGAATACAAAGTCTCTAAGGGTCCATGTGCTTCATTGTTTTCCAGGTGCTCTGTGATGAAGGCCATCAACAAAGGAAAATAGAACTATTTAATTGAAAACAGTTGAAGACAAAACAAATAGCACTACCACGAACAAAAACATACAACAAAACACATGACGCTTGAGGAAAGAGACAAAACGAGGGTCTTTACACGTACAGGTTCGCTACTGGGATTTTCCATCAACAACTGCCTATATATAGATAGTATAACACAGTACAATAACCAAACAGCCAAACAGCAGGCGTTTGGAAGCCACCGCTCATTTATACCATACCAACCGATCTTTTTGGTATTTCTTGGTCATATTCCCATGATATTCTCACTATGGGGGCAAAACAATGCCATCAACCACCCCCCAGTCATCACCATAAATATATAGGTGGTATGGTTGCCACTCCCAGTCATGGGTAGTTTATGGCATTGTCTTACCCACATTAACCATAATAACTATATGATTATTTCACCCATATGTGTCATGATACAATTCCATTCTCCAATAAAGATAGTAACTTTAGTAACCACAAGAATGGAACCATGAATAACCACGAATTACTATAGTTCTAGTAACATCTAGTAACCATTTACCATAGCATAAAAATGGCATATCCCCATGCCTTCACTTCTTCTTCCTCCTCCCGTGGTTGAGCACCTCAAACCCGACAACAGGACGAAAATTCATGGAGAATTCATGGAGAATTGAGGAATTTCCATGGGGATTTACAGTTGATACATGTTATTTAATGGTGGTTTAATGGCAATTAATGGTGGTTTAATAGGATCTAATGGGAATTCTAATGGCATCTGGTTGGTGGGGTTTCTCCCTACCCCTCTGAAAAATCATGGACTGAAAGTCAGTTGGGATGATGAACATGTCCCAATATGCGGAAAGTCATAAAACATGTTCCAAACCACCAACCAGTGTTGATATATGATAGCTAAGTATAGCTAAGTTGGCTTTGTTCAGTTCCATGGATTCATCGTAGTCACATAACTGGTGGGCACCACCTGGTACAACACGAGCTGGACATTGGTTTCAGCTGTGTTGCTGTCACCATTGTGACCGTTTGTGAATCATCCCACATAGAGATGGACGGTATAAAATAATCGAATTGAATCATATCCCATAGGATCCATGCATGGTATATATGCTAACATTTGGGGTATATTGATGGTAAATGTTACCATATATAGCATACATGGATCCTATGGGTATTGAAATCACAAGAGCCACAGAAATGCCACCAAATGCCGCACCATCATTTCTTTGCAATCATTCTGACACCTAATTCACTGATGGCTTCCTTTCTCGGGTCCTAGCTCCCACAGGGCTCTCACAGACTGGAAGGCGGTCACCATTTGTTTCCGGAGTTTCCCAACACTTCCATATCGGAAGAAATTGAATGTTCTAGCTCACTACAAGAGACCACATCTGTCCCTTTCCAAGTTGCCCCAATTTGGTCCTGTTCGGACATCATTTTCGGTGACGGCCAGCGAGGTCACTATGATTCAATGTCACCCGGCCATTCATAAACTCGGCAAAAAATCTGGGTACCTCAAAAAATGTGAATTCGTATGCTATCAAACGAAGAAGCCATCGGTAAACTGGTGGTGTAATAAAAAGAACCCTGGGTTGACATTCCCCAGATTCCATCCTTGGGGGTTCCCCAGATACCCAGTCTACGGCCATACTTGCAGCCATGATCATATCCATTCAGTCCCAATAACTCAATCATAACCATCATTACCAATATGCCAGTTGCTGTGGTAAACCCAATAATCAACAATGCTTCTGGAGATTTTTGACATAGCGGGAAATGGCCCATACAAATAGATGATAAACATGATGATTTACATATTGGTTTAATTGTGATTTTCTAGTTTGCAACGGGTTTCAGAACCAAAGGATACATCTCCATTTATCCATGAATTATCCATGAATTATCCATGTGTCATCCATTAACTATCCATTAGAAATTAAGTAAATAACCAGAAAGGGTGTTTATAACCACGGTTATGTCCATTAAGTCCCATTAATCACTCAATCATAACGGATGAATAAGCCAAATAATACCATTGCTATACTTGTACCATGAGATAACCCCAACTGTTATACCATTGTTATACCATGTACCCTGCATTAATACCATTGTTATACCATTGTTATAGCCAAAAAAAATGCCAACTGTACCCTCTGGAAATTTAACATAGCTATTGAACATGGCCATTTATAGTGGATTTACCCATTGAAAATTGTGATTTTCCATAGCTATGTTAGTTTACCAGAGGGTACCCTGCAAGTCCCTGTAGCCCTCCAAGCGGCTTTCGTGGGGCGCTTCCAGCAGCAGCACCCGTCGCGACGGTGAGGGCGCCCGGAGGCACAGCTGATGCGCCACGCTGTACAAATCGTGGCCCAAGACCTGTGAAGCGTGGCAAATGTCCAGCAACAAAAAACTATATACTTGTTAACCTGTGTATATATATATATTATAATACTATATATTATATTATATTAATATATATATATATACATATATATATAATATGGATATGATCATGCCGGCTCAGTGAGCAGTGGACAAGTGGTTGCAGCAAAGCTGACCCTCCATCCTCTCCAATCCAACCACATGATTTTTACCGCCCCACACCCAAGAAAGCCCCAAAGAATGGGACAGCAAAATTACATGGGAATGGGTCAAAACCATGTAGCCCTGGTGAACATCAAAATAGCTGGTAAATGGATGTTCATCCCACTAAAAATGGTATCTATAGGTATTGATCCATAGCCACATAAAATTAGTTACCAAATCCAGGACATTCCGCCAAAGTTTCTATAGGGGAAGTGACTTTTGTGAGGATTGGGCCAGTTGTAAACACTCACATTCCTTCAAGGATTCTCAGGTGTTGATCGTCACCAAAACAGGAACCCAAGACCCGAGAACAGACCCAAACGCTTAAACACCAACTTTAAAGCTGTACATGATACATGTCTCAGACTTTTGCTGGGCAATGATGTAGGAAACTGCTTTGAAGGCTATACAAAACTATACAAAACTCTAAGATTTCGGATTTCTATATCTTTTCATCTCTTTTCTAGATTCATAAAATATTGATATTTCTATATTGGATTTCCGAAACACAACACTGATGATTCATCGTTTCTTCCATCGTTTCTTCCAATCGCTTCAGTGTTTTCGGAACCCCAGCCTCGATCCCATGGCATAGTACGACCAGCAACTTCACCTGCCAACACCCTGTGGAACCTGCCCTTCAAAAACCCGTTGGTTAAGAACAGGATTCCCCTTATGAGATGTGAGAATTCCCAATATAATGGTTGGTATCTATAATTATATATATATGTATATAGATATAGATTATATAATCCCCCAACTAATCACCAGCCAACAGGGGTTTTGAACATTTTTGAACCTTGCTCAAAGATTGATGATGGCTGATGGCATTGGCAATAAACCTCATCACATAAGATTTCTGTCGATTCAACTGGCAAGACTACGGAGACTTGGCGAAGAGATATAAAGATAGAAGTCCATCTTGTTGGATGCACATAAATGTGTATATACATATATATAATATGATATGTATATATATATATATACCCTATGGATCCAGCCGTACCTTCTTAGGAAGTGGGACTGGGGTATGATTTGGGGGGTTATGTACCTTCTTAGACAGTGTTTGGATCCATAGGGATATATATAATATGATTATATGTATATATACACTCACACAGCACTGAAAATCAAGATTAAAAACCAAGGGCTTGATAAGATGATGTTGGTACTGGAAATGGCAACGGTTATATAGGTTTCACTTTCAATTTATTTAGGAGGTATTCTGTTTCAAATGAAAACATACCACCACTGGAAAATGCACTGCCTAAAAACATGTTGGTAGTGGACGCAACAATGGAAGTAAATTTGCGGGGTTTGTAGCGCTATCAGATGATGTTCCAACAAGACGGACATCCAACATGTGGCAGCTGGTGCCATGGGACGTTCATCCTCGACAAAGTCAGTTGGCATAAAAGCTTATAAGCCGCCCAAAGATCCCAAAGCGTCAAAACAACTGACTTTGGTCTATGGATGTATGTGGTGAATTTTAGCAGGTTTACCAATTGATGCATCTAGTCGTGTTGGTGGTATGATTCATTAAGATGTTAGGCTGGTAGAATTCAAAGGACTGGCCCATCGCGCTGCTGTGGATTCTTGCGGGTCGTATCTGTATCCCCACAATTTAATCTGTGTACTGTATATCATCATTCACGCAATGGTTGACGCTGGCATAATTTCATCATCAATTGGACTGAACCCCTTGAAAGGGGTCGCCATGAACAACCACTCTACGTGAGTTGTACTAGCATTCTTAATGCAGCATTTTTGCAAGTCAGATCCGTCTTATTGATGCCTACTTATTACTTATTGTGTTTAAGTTCAACCCACATCTACCCATTGGTTTTCGGCGTAACTGGGTTCTTCAACACTTCACAGAGTCTGTTCTCTCAACCTTTCTTGGCTCCTTTGATCCCCGAATATTAGTGGTTTGATGGGGCTACTGCGAACATCCTCGAAGGTAACACATCATTTACAACCTCTGATCATATCTCCCTCAAGATATTTGTTCAAAATCCTCCTAGTAGAATATTAGTGCAGCATTAAAGTAGATGCAGTAGCAAACAAACAATGAACAATTAGAAATCAACACCGCAAAACATTCACAATGAGGTTTGTCACTTCATCCCATGTTCATCCTCCCTTGTTCCCCGTTCCAGTTCTTCATTCCGTAATTTTACACTCAACCGTCCCTGGATCGATGCTCCCTTGATTCTCACCTCCTTGATGCTATCAGGTTCCACCACGATGCCTGGCATACCAGGTATCAAACTCCGTGCTTGGAATGCTTGGAATGCGCGGAGAATTGCCTGCAAAACCTGGGATATCCTGGGGGATGTGGCCAAGAGACACTTGCTATCTGAGTAAGACATTCGACTGCGATTTTAGCTAGATGGTGATAAATAGACAGGCAGACAAATAGACACTCAGATGGGGATTGCACTAGGAAAGCATGAGCAATTCACTATTGACAATTAATTACATGCTTTGCAAGCACTGGGGCTGTCATGGGGGAGAGGGAGCGCAGGGTAACAAGAGGAGTCCAAAGTCTTTACAAACAAAATGGTCATGGACCATAGACTCAACAACGAACAGCACGGACACATAGAAACTGGCGACAGAAAATCCCCATCTTCAACGAAACCATCATCTGTGCCCACTTCTCACCAAGGTCTTATGGGTTCCATCACCCCATCTGGTTCCTTCAACTCCCTATTCTTGTCGCTTCTATCAGCAGTTAGCTATAAACTCTCAAAATGGCTGGTTGAATCACCCATCACCAGACATGTTCCTCCCCATATGATCCCCATGAAAAGTATGGGCATGGGTCACAAATATCAACCCACTACAATGAACTGTTAATCAGTTAATAATGTGAATACACAAACAAACAGTTTCCTTCCTTGGAGTTGCCAACAAGGAACTCCCTAGAAATAACACAATTCCCATCATTTCTAGTGGATTTCGAATGCATTTCCCAGGACCCACTGCGCCTCGCAATGGCAACTCCTTGGATGCCAGGTACTGCCGCACGCCGCCGGGGGAAGACAAGCGTTTGCCTCGCCATGGTGAAATCCGACAAGTCATGGGGATTCCCATGGATTTCCAACCAAACATGTGGGTGTGTCTGCCCTCTGGTAGTTTCACATATCGAAAATCACCATTTTGTAGCTGGGAAAATCAACTATTTCGACTGGGCCATCTTCAATGGCTATGTGAATGTTTACCAGAGGGTAACCCCCAACACAAAATCAACACAGCAAACGTTGGGCTGAAAAAATCCAACAAATGGGAACCAGTGGAACTTAACCCGCCAAAAACATGCACAAACCAACTATATGATTTTTGATAAATTTGCCAAACCACGGGGGCTACAACAAAGAACATGTGTGTTTTGACGTGTTGCGAGCAACAATTGTCCATTTCACCAACGCATCTGAAAGGACAAATTGATAGGAAACCAATGTTATTCCTTGCCACTATAGAATCGGGGTTGCCATTAAAATGCTCTCTTATCTTGTTCTGGGACTGATGATATCCGCCAACTCTGGAATGATCACAACAACTCAATTTGTTTATATAGACCCGAAAACGAAGGCTGAAGAGTACATGTGACCATATGATCCGCTTGAATCCATTTGATACCTTATGTTTGCAATTCTTCCCATACTCAAGCGCCAAAACCATGCATCTAAATAACTCAGCATTTAAGCCACAGCTGGAGTGTTGGGGATACACCTGGCTGCCCTGGCCACGAAATGATGGGGAAGGCGATGATGCGAATCATGTTTCGTTCTGGGTACTGTACTTTCAGACCCCATTTCGATTTCACATGATCATGAAATAAGAAGAGTGTGGGACCACATCTGATATATGAGGCCCAATGATATGAGAATATCATAGATATATCATAGATTATAGGTGACCAATGTGATTACTCGTATCGATTATATTGATATAATGTTTTTTTTTTTTATAATGAGGTCAGCCAAGTTCAGCCAGTGAGGTTGCTCGAATTTGACCAACAATTTTTGGCCAATCTCAGGTACGCTGTATCATTTTTTTGCTGGTTACTATATAATATACATATAGAGAGATATAAAGAGAATATGTGTATATATATATATATGTATACCTGTATACCTATTTAAAACAACAAACAGTAAATATAAGAATAAAAACTACCCATCAGCACTCGGTTTCCCTATGTTTTTCTTTTTTGCTAACACGGTGCTATCGGCGGGACAGAGATGTCCCACCGTCTGGAAAAAGGTGATGCAGTCGGTCTCCTTATCGGAGCCGCCGAGGTCAGTTGGGATCATGGTGTGTTACCCTCTGGTTATTTAACATAACTATGGGAAAATCACCATGTTTAATGGGAAAATTCACTATTTCTATGGTGATGTTCCATAGTTATGTTAAATTACCAGAGGGTAACCCAAAAAAGGGGGATTTATCGACACAAATTGGTATAATGTAGGTAAAACAATAGCATAAACCACCCATGACTGGGAATGGTTTATACCACATGTTTATGGTGATTTGGGAATAATGGGGAGTTCAACGACACCAATGGTAGAACATGGGAATAGCTTGGGAGATGTCTATAGTCTATAGATAATCGATTGGGGATTGAACATCGACACAAATTGGTCTAACATGGGAGTATATTGGGGATATAACTATAGATATCATGGGATGTTAATGGGACGTGTCTATACATATATATTAATATTATATCATATTATATTATATTAATATTAAAAAATATTATAGCATATTAAATTATATTATATTAAATCATATTACATTACATTATATTACGTTATATTATATTATATTATATTATAATATATTATACTATATTTAATTATATATTATATTATATTATATGTTTTATTACATTATATTACATTATATTACATTATATTAAATTATATTATATTATGTAATTTTAGCATATATTGTATTATCTTATATATATAATATAACGCATTGCTTTACTGGTTGGTGGTTTCAATCGACCGCTAAAAGAAATATGTTAAATAATCATAACATGTTTGTCATCAGGAGAAACATTCCGAATATGGTTGAACATATTTGAAAGGACCAACCAGTATGGGTATATCCCATGTAAAACTGAGTGACAGTATGATGTTTATTCCCCATATTCAAGAATGGAAGCAATACAAGCATAATATTGGTCGTTTATCCCATTGCATTCACATTCAATGACACCCTCAACATGTTCTCGCAGCACACCAAGATCCCTTGAGCTAATGCTACCATGCTGACAGCATCTCAGCCGGTGCAGCCAAGAGTCATCGGTCTTGGAAGTGTCATACATGTGATCCTTGGATTCTGGGTGTTGGAACCAGTTTTCCTTCTCTCTCCCAAGCGAAACCCATGACGAAGTTACAAGATACAAGTTCCAAGAAGGAATAATATAGATAAGGTGATAAGGTGGGGATAGAAACTGGGCCTCGAGGCAACTCCATTTCTATACAGCGAAAAAACGCCCATGACTTCATCATTCTCTTGACTTCATCATGGAGAATCCTTCCTCTTTCGGCTTAGGAACTGGAATCTCTTCCCAAAAGTCTCGCCGCAGTTCAGGACTCACATGCTGCTTCATCAAAAACCTGGGCAAATCGCGCAGTGATCTTCCAGCTGGGCTCTTGAGCTCTGCAGAAAACATCCCCAGCCACCCAACCATGTCGTTATTAACATACAAAAAAAATATAAATGCAGATCTATTGAGATGTGTATCCATCTATCCTTCCATCCACCAATCCCATCTACCTATCTACCAATCCATCCATCCATCCACCCATCCAATCTATCGATCAATCTATCGATCAAATCGAATCTATCGATCGATCTACTGGCGTATCTATCTGTCTATGCTTCTGTTTACCTATCTTTCTATCTTTCTATTGTTCTATCTTTCTAAATTTCTATATGTCTTATCTTATCTATCGGATCTGTAGGATCTATCGGATCTGTCGATCTGTCTGTCTGTCTGGCTGTCTGTCTGTGGATCTCTCTATACCAATCCATCTATTTATCTTTCTTCCTGTCTATCTATCTATATAATCTATCGCATCTATCGAATCTCTCTAATCTATTTGGTTCGACTCGATTCTATTCTATATTCTGTTTATCTTATCGATCCATCCATCCATCAATTCAGTCAATCAATCTATTTACCCTCTGGTAATTTAACGTAGCTATGGAAAATGACCATTAATAGTGGACTTTCCCATTAAAAATGGTGATTTTCCATAGCTATGTTAAATTACCAGAGGGTACCCATCCATCTATTTACCCATCCATCTATCTACCTATCCATTTGCCTCTTATGAATTTCCGACCGACAAGACCGACAAGAGATGGTCAGTGTCGCTGCCCGGCGCATTTTTTCCCCAGCTTTTTGTTGGTGAACATATCACATGTCAATTAAATTTAAATATGATTAAAGTGTTTGATATCAAACCATTAGATTCAGTTATAACATTCTTAGCAAACCACCATGTTTGTGTTTGGTGTTTTTTCTTAGTTATACCACAATGTTTTTTTTTCTGTCAGCTACATCCCCAATTTTTGCGGTGTCTTTATCAGTGAAATTCACATCCCGCTTTTTTTGCTGGTGAATCTCCCATGTTTTTTGAGTAACAGCTTCCATGGTGTTTCTCTCGTTGTTGTTTTCTCAGTGATATGGGTGTGTCTGACTGATTCATAGGAAAACTCCAGTCCAGTCCAGTCGGTTAAAAAGCCTCAGTGTCAATATTCAAATGGCCATTACTGGGGTTCCCCCCCACTTGCATCCATTTGCACCATATTATCACATTATATCGACAATAATGACTATAACCTATTAACTTCCCATGCTTAATGGTTAAGTTCAATTTTCAGACACAACAATATATCATATCGAGTTGGTTCTATCATGGTGTACTGATGTGTATTGTTATTTTCTAATTATGACACCATTAGATTCCCATCAGTAAATATCCAGTTAAATCACTCACCATTTCGGATGGCTATATAAATCTCAAGCTAAACAAGCCCGTATGTTTCACCATGTTTCACCATGGTTCACCATGTTTCACCATGTTTCACCATGTTTCACCATGTTTCACAATGTTTCACCATGCTTCACCATGTTTCACCTTGTTTCACCGTGTTTCACCATGTTTCACCATGTTTCACCATGTTTCACCTTGTTTCACCATGTTTCACCATGTTTCACCATGTTTCACCATGTTTCACCATGTTTCACCATGTTTCACCATATCTCCGATATATCCCCATTAATATCACTATCCTTCCTGTATCCATCACCAAAGCACCAGTTCCAGACACACCCAAACATGAATTTATATTTCAATTATCATCACTTGTCCATTTGTTACATCCCCATTTTCTCAGGTCTACATCTATGTTTCACCATTCTTCATAGACAAATCCACAAAAAAACCATTCAAATCCCTTCAAGAGTCCCATAGACAGCCCATTTCTCAGTGAATTTCCCAGTGATCCCCGTTCTTTCACCGTTCTGAACAGCGAATTCCCCATGGATCTCCCCCGGGCCCTCCGTGGGATCCCTCCGTGGCCCGGGCTCAAAGAGCTGCTCGCGACTGGCGCCCTCGGTGCCACCGTCCAGCGCTCGGAGGTTGGCGCCGCAGCCGCTGAACAAAAACTTCACGTCCTCGGCGGAAGGCTACGGTTGGATGAAAGAAGGCTACATATTCAAGTTGTAGAAATATTATATATATATATATTATATATATATATATACATATGTAATCATATTATATATCCCTATGGATCCAAACACTGTCTAAGAAGGTACTTAACCCCCCAAATCATACCCCAAACACTTCCTAAGAAGGTACTTGGATCCATAGGGTATATATATATATATATTTGATTTAAAATTGTAGGTTACAATACTGTTTAGTTAATATCCCAAGCACTCCAGTTGCCTGTATATCCGGAACCGGCCTGGTTACCTGTATTTAAGGTAACGAAGACTGGTTCCAGGAACCAAGTTTGGAACCAGCCTTGCCTCGTGATCAATCAAGGATCAAGGTAGCTCACAGTGCACGCTATTTTTGAGTCATGGTTTGTGTTCTCAAATTTGAAAGGGTTTGTCTTGGGAATATACGGAATATATATATATATAATATTTAAGGAAGGAAAGCTAAACGCAATTCAGGTTGGTGTATCATGAAATGAAGGTCTTGGTAACTCCAGGTGTGCAAAAATTGTGAACTATTCATTGAAATGAAACGAAATGGCTGCTAGGTTCGTCGCAATATGAAAATGCATTTGCCTCAAATATTATTTGCTGCAGATTTGCAGTTGGAACATGCTCCAACAACACGCGCAGAGATGACCACATGTTGGGTTTGCAGGAATTCTACTGTCTATTTGGTGCCTAGTAGTCTGATACTGCTGATCACCTGGATGCCGAATGATCGCAGCACCTACGGTACAGTATAGAGCATAGATTTACACTGTCATTGTCTCGAGCGCAGATAATTTTTCCACAAAGGTTGAACAAAAGAAAAGCAGTGAAGGCACCGCTAGCATGTTGGCTTTTCTCGTGGGACTAGGAATGCATGCCTGAGGGGGGATATTGACATCGCAAACGCATGCAGGCACAATGAAAAAACAAACGCAAGCTTGACGCTCTAGAAAAGCGAGGTAGAAGTGCAACCAGCATACTGGAACATGTCTATAGGAAATGCCTTGCGAAGCATTGCAATACAATCGAGTCCGATACCTGGAGATTGTGCTAACCTTTGCTGGCACTGATCATTTCCTAATCAATGCTTTGATTTGCAGCTTGCAAGTGGCTTTAGGAATGAATCAATGTTTCAATTGTTCGTAGTTCATAAAAGCAAACAGTCTGCGGAGCAGCGATCTTGCAACTATATATTCTAGCAGTCAAATGCTCAACTCCTCCGTAGCCAGGTGTATTTAGCTCACCACTTACATGGTTGTCGCGTTCGTTCTTGTTCTGAACAAGATCCAGGGCATGCATCAATGCAAACAAGCTGGCAAGCTGAAATGCCGATCAGAAAGCAGCAACTTGTAAGAAATTGCAGGACTCTAGCTCAATATGTAATCAGCTGAAGAAATCATGCCATGCGCGCGCAATTGCCCCCAAAAGAATATGTACTGTAATATGAATGCGCTTGTGCGCCGGTTTGTGGTTCAACCAAAATTTGCAGGTGCTTTATTAAAACCGGAACCGTGACGGAACCGTGAGAAAAGGGGCCGGAACCGTGAGGAAAGGGCAGGAACCGTGATGGAACCGTGAGATCGGCATACATGGACGGATTCACCCAGCGAAGGCGAACGGAGATAACATGTGGGTGTGAACAGCAGGAGTTTTTTGTTGAACAATGTTGTGGGAGCAACGGATCTCAAATTATTTACACCAGATCTGCGCACGGAGACATAGGGTACGTTGTGATTGATAGTACGAAGCTCACATGAAAAGCATAAATACAATAATTATGAATGAAGGAAGTGGAAAATCTTGCCATCCCGGTCCCCTTTTGGATCGGGATGAAACTGAGTGTTTTTGTGAACCCATAGAAGAGAATAGAGATAATTTAAAAGAAGTGCGACTGTATGTGATTGTTGAGACGCATCGTCCAGTTGAGCGACTAGGTTACAATACATTCAACGGAAGGTATCTTATGTAATCTTGGGAATTTTGTCTTGACTTGAGAAGAACGCCTGCCGCGAATTTTCCCATGGTATGGACTCAAACTAAATCCACTTGTGCTTGAAGAACTTGTAACATGTGCAGCGCGTGTGTTATCTTTGGGAATATTTCTTCAACATGTATAGCTGTCACCCTGTGCTTGTATTTGTATAGTGCTGCAGGTTTGATGCTAATTATCGAGTTAACACTTAGGTATAAATATAGGTTGTCAGGACATTTGGGTAGACCGTATTACTGTTGGGCAGGTTTCTCTCAAGCCTTCTCCGAAGGTAAGGCCGATGCTTTAAAACTCATTTGCTGTATTTATTTTCTAGCACGGTGTTTGATGTACTTTCTCGTCTGCTCGGGAAACACAGGTGAATATTGATATGCGAGGGTGAAAACCATGGACATGTACAGGTACACTCTCGCAAATGCATTTGTTTGCAAAAACAGAATTAACGAAACATCCCACAGCTCTTAATCCAAAAATACCTATAAACAACACCACGCTCTTCACATGTGCTTGCTTCAGCATGTTCAGCAATCAGTGTGAGCATGAGATCAACAGGGCATCTTTTGACACTACCTCGACAAAAAAGGGAACATTTGCCATTTGCAAGTATTTTGTTGTTCTTCGTTTTTAGCTTGGCATTTGCAGGCCATGATGAAACTGGATGTGAAGCATGCTGATAATAAGACCGATGATTGCAAGTGGGGCTAACGGGAACATACCAGTGGTATGCCTATATTGGTGTCGGGCTGCATTGGGTGACATAAAACCTTAAAGCTCCCAGACGGGGATTGTACCATACCTTTCTGCTGACGTTTTTAGTGTATTTCATGTGTATTTATTTATTATTATTTCACTGGAACCAAAGCCTACTTACCTATGAGAGAGGTACCTTAGGAGGGGTTGGCTAATATAATTGATATAGATTATAATAGAATTTATTATTGATGAAGCACAAGCCCTGAAATTAAATCTACGCATTTATTTGAAGGGCGGTCCTCAGCATACTGGGACGCCCTTCTAAGTCAAAAAGTGGTCGTTTTCAACGACACTGCTGGTCTTGGAGTACTCGGAGTACTCCAATTTTTAGAGACGCACCTTTCAAAAACCTGTGGGGAAGTGCAAGTGACACATCCCATCTTCCTTATCCATAATATTCAAACGGGGAAGAGTTGAAACTTCTATTGGGAATGGGATATTCATCTCTAGAAATATGGTATGATGTATGATATGAAATCTCATGAAGATCTCATGATTTTCAACGCCTGAATTGGGCAGTTAAATGTCCAGCTCTCCCAACGGCCGTGACTAGACAGGTGGCCCAAGATTTCTTCTTCAGGACATCCTGGCGAAATCTGGGGCAAACAACTCGCCAAAGTTGTCATAATGGATGCATAATAGGTGATTCGACGACGACGACGACGACTACTACTACTACTACTTCTACTACTACTACTGCTGCTACTGCTACTACTGCTACTACTACTAGTACTACTACTACTACTACGACTACTACTACTACTACGACTACTACTACTACTACCACTACTACTACTACTACTACGACTACTCCTACTACTACTACTCCTACTCCCTACTACCTACTACCTACTACCTACTACCTACTACCTACTACCTACTACCTACTACCTACTACCTACTACCTACTACCTACTACCTACTACTACTTCTTCTACTACTACTAATAATAATAATAGCAATAATTATAATGATAATACTAATGATAACAATAACAATAATAATTAATAATAATAATAAATAATCTATAATAATAGTTTATAATGTATAATAATAGTTTACAATAATAATATGTATATATATATGTATATTATCTATATGATCTACTATATATCTAATCTTGTTTCAAGAGGTCATGTCAGACAAGCTTGCTTGGCGGCAGTCTGACAGAAGAATGAAATGTCAGAATCAAGTGAAGTAGACAAATTATCTATCAGTGAAGGACTGAAGGACGTCCTACTGTTGCCTTCTCTTACCAGAATGAATTAGAAAATAGAGTAGACATAGTGTGTGGGGATTTGTCAAAGCCTGTTAGACCATATGGCTATGACAGTATTTTCTTGGTGGATGAAGGTCAATGTTTATCTGTTTCTTTACCCATAGCACCCCATAGCCATATCTGATTTGCTCAAGAATCTGTCTGTGATGCAATGATTGGGTCACTCCCTGGCTTAATGGTGGGTTGGTCAACGGGCTAGCACCCAATGTTTTGCACATACCAAAAACTGCAAAGACCAGCTTGGATATATGTAAAAATGAGAAGCAAGTTTTTAAACAAACAACAAACATTGGATGGGTTTGGGCTGCATCAAATCAAACAAAATAACCATGGCACAGGTCAACAAAAAGAAACATTGTGTAGTCAGTTTGGATACAACGCCATCCCAAACAAACTGTTGGTCAAAACCCACCACCTTTTGACCCCTTCGACCCCTTCGACCCGTTGAAAACGGGTACCTCCTTCCCAGCGGGTTTCTCACCATCCAGCACCACCAGCAGCTCCTGGTGGTGCCGAGGGCGGCAGGACAGGGGCGTGGTCACATATTCAATGCAAAAACATAGATAGTATATGATAGTATTACTAAACATATGTTGAAAGTTGAAACTACAAAGTTTAAATGGGTTTCACATCACAAATGAAAAAGTATCTCTGTTTCACAGGGGATCAGTCCTTCTGTTTCACGATGAATTTCTTCCGGTCTAGCCCAAACAAACTCCAGTTAGGTACTTTGTAAGTTACATTTCATGTTTGAAGCGAGGCCTTGATCGCACATCCTAAATGTTGGGTATCTCTGCGGGTATTTCTCCAAGGGGATGTCTTCTTGGGGCCCTTTGGCCCGCGGAATCATTTGCGCTTTGCAATTTGTTCCAGTGGTTTTGCTCAGCAACTCTGGAAATTGTGTTTTGTTCTTGACATATCTATGCAAATACTGAAAAACATACCTTGTTGACATATCTTTGTTCTGCATACGTGCATGAAAGTTAATGCCCCCCACCCATCCCCATCCCAAAGTGTGCTTGAAGATCTACTGACCTACCAACATCATTGTTCTGCATGTCTACATGAACGTCAATGCCCAACCCCACCCCACCTCACTTTCGTGGGCCCGTCAAAGATTCGTTTGCACAAAAAATACGCCCAATAGGCCGTCCGTAGAACCAAAGGGTTCTCTAGATCTAATCAGTCCCTGAACGCCATCTGGATTTTTTCTTAAAAAGATGGGTACCCTAAACACCATTGGCCCACAAAAATTCCATCATTTCTTCATGGAATCTTCCATTTCCGTCGGATTTCTGTATGATTTGGGGCTTCCAGACTTCAGACTTCAGACCCCATCCGACCCATCGCTGGCCTTGTCCTTCAACCTGGTACTAACCCAGCCACTGCTCGGCCCGCTGCCAGAGTCCAGCTCGAAGTGCAGCCGGTCGCCCTCCAGTTTCAGCTCCTATGGAGGGATGGGAGATTCATGGGGTATTCATGGGAGATAGATAAGTAACTAACTATAATCTAACCAACTATGGTTAATCCATAGAAAATGGGGTATTGACGGGATATAACTAACCAACTTAATATAACTGATGCAACTAACCAATTTGATGTTAATGGGATAGATGGGATATTAATGGGACATCAATCTTCAAGGGGATATCAATAGGATATGATGTGACTGATATGTAACTAATGAACTTGATATGATCAATCGTAAGGATCCAGCCTTTCCTTCGTATGGCTGGCGTATGATGAATGGGTGAGTTGGTTTCAAGATATTCCAAGGAAGTATCTGGATCCACAGGGGCGGATTTCTGGCGGAAATTTGTGGACAAATAATGGACATAATACGGATTTATGGGGGACAATGATGATCCAACCATGAGAAATGAGGATATTGATCACCAATAAATTTATTCATACCGGTGAACATGTGGGATGGTGAACATATGGGAACATGGTGGCAAATTGTGATAAACCACCACAGACTCATCTCTTTTTCTTCATTTCTATGCTCCATGGTGCTGGAATATCTACCAGCATTCACCCCAAAAAAACACCGAAATGCCTGGTAGAATATACCAAACATGGAACATATGGAGGCATTATCCTTCTGTTGATTCCCTTTTTTGATGGTCAAATTCTCTTCGTTTCACCATTTCTGTCACTAGTTTTTGGGGAAATTCCTTGCCTTAGGGCTCCAAACACCTTTTGAGACTGTGTTTGGGGTTGGTTTTTATGACCTAGTTACACCTTCCCAGGGGGTATTTGGATCACTAGGGAATATTCAAATCATACTGAAACCTCCATTTATTAATGAATCATCCATGAATCAGCCATCAACTATAACTATCCCTTGTTGTTGGTAAAATAACACACCACTTTTCCTCCGCAAAAAAAGTGGAACAGCACCTTGACAACAGCACCGGTGCCCAGCCGCTCGGGAAGCTGTTCGGAGGTCAAGGCCTTCCCTGCCAAACTAAACTTGCCATGGAGCCGCCATTTGGGGATATGCTTTACTGGTTGATGGTTAAACGGTTAAACCAGCTCCTCAAAAAGATGCAACCGTCAATGGGGATCAGCATTCCAACTATGGTGCAACAGTGATCCCCATCAAAAAACAAACTTCACTTCCAGCCATCTCCGCCCTGAAGTTTCTTCTTCCGGCATAGTTTCTGACATACCATCTGAAAGTACGGCATACATATACGTAACATGTATATTCTGACATTCTTTCTGACATATAGTCTGATATTCTATCTGACATAAATTCTTGACATTCTATCTGGCATCTATTCTGACATTCTTTCTGACATTCTGCCTGGCATCTATTGTGACATTCTTTCTGGCATTCTATCTGACATTTTGACTGGCATTCTCTTTGGCATGTGTTCGGGTGCAGGCGTGGCCCGCATCTGGAGCTGGGATGAAGACAGGAGTGATTCGGCGAGGAAGACAGAGGCAAAAGAGAAGGACCTTTGTTAAAATCTAGAGACCCTCACCTGGTAGGCGGTGAACAAACAAACTAATAATAATAATAATAATAATAATAATATGTATGCATATACTTGAAACCGCCAACCAATGTTTTCTTTCTGGGTGCATCCTTTTTTGGTCATATGACCCATATGTGATTGGGTCAAATCCTCATATATCGCCGTTTTTATATGGGATATACCACAACATGTGGACACAGACTTGAGATGTGTTTTCCTTGGGTGTTTGATGATTTGATGGTGACGTTGGGTGCATTCATGATCACCAACCCTACCCTTACCCTGAGCGGGAATAGAATCCATTCATTACAATGGTTGCTAGGTTAAAATGTTCACACATGCCATATGTGAACATTAGTCAAGGCATGGCAAATACAAGCAAGTGATACTAAGTCAATGTAGAATATTCAACTTACATATATATATATATTATATATATATATATGTATGCTTATATATAGTATACTTAATTACGCATACATACGACCATATTGTATATGACTATATATTCCGCTCACATCATATCCATATATATATATATATCCAACATTATTGTGGTCAAATGGAAATCCAAGCTACATTGTGTACAGCCGCTGGTGACCTTTTTCGCTGCTACTAAAGAAGTCTACGGGAGCCGTTTCGCTAGATAATTGAACAACCCCCCCGCACCCAAATAACAACCCCCCATCCCTCTACAGTAGCGACCGGGTCTGATGCTGGGGTCCACTTCCAACATAGAATGCAGCTTACATCCATGAATGTTTCTGTACACAAAAAGGCCACACGATCCTTACATGGCTGAATGAACATGACCGTCTAAGCAACACTTCAGACTTAAACAATACAATATCTAGAGGTATTAAGAACAATTATATAAGTCTCAAAGTTCAATGTACATTACCCTCTTGTAAACAAACATGGCAATGGTGAATTCTCCACTTTTAACATTCCGCTTCCACATGGCCATCATTCATTGCTATATGATGCTACATGTTTTTTTTGTGAAAAAACGTATGTGGTTTTGTCCCAACTGGAGTATGCCCCAAAATCAGTTTCATCATAGTCTTGCCCATGGCAAACATGGCCATCAATCAGGGGAATGTCCCAGTTGTTTCAGATTTGTTTCTATCCCACAAAACCTTGTATATCCAAATAAACATGACTGGCAAACTATCATAGTCATAGTCCCCATCAAACATGGCCACTGTTCTTGGTTCAAAGACCCACTTTCAGATCTTTCATGATACTGATATTTCCAATTGTTGGGTGTTAAAATCCAGTTGTACATGGAAAAAATAACTCGGGACTTGCAAGGTGGTGCCCCCCAGTTATGTTTGTTAGTTTACAATCCCCATTGATTGATTACAGTAATTGTTTTTTTGTTTTTATTTTTAAGTTTGATATATCTATCAAACAACATGAGTTAAATTAGAGTTATTTTCACCAACTTAGCGATTCCGAACTGGGACACCAGTTTTTGCATTGTTATATAATCTTATCAACCCTGCCAAAAAAGTGAGCTACTTAGTAGATATTCATATTTATAGCTACAGGTTCAAGGATCAGACTACCCATCCAAGGTTAACCTAGTTTCTAGGTCCCAATTTCCTGGTTTCTTCGTGTAACTCATTGGACTGGTCGGAAAAAAAATCACAGGACAGCCCTATATTTCATGGTAAAAAAAACATTAAACAACTGACATGGTTAATCCAAGATAATTAATGGACAGAGTAACTATCTCGATGGTTTTACTAAACAATAATTACATTTCCTAGAGAATTTCCCATCAACCAACCCAATGGATGATCATAGCCCGATCAACCGGGGCTCCATCCCGGTTCCACCTTGACGAACCAACACACCGCCCTTGTCGCCGCCTTTACACCGTCGTACTAAAGATGAGGAGGTCCAGCGATATGAATGGTATTTTTTTCCCCACATCTTTGTGTGGGGTTCTTGTTTTTGGTTCTGCACTCCCGCCTGCCTCCTTCCCTCCCGCTGCCTGCCACACACACCTTGTCCACACACAACTTCTCCACACACAACTTCTCCACACACAACTTGTCACCACACAACTTGTCACCACACAACTTGTCACCACACAACTTGTCCACACACAACTTGTCACCACACAACTTGTCCACAAACAACTTGTCACCACACAACTCACACACAACGTGCACACACACACACAACTTGCTCACACACAACACCACGCAACTTGCTCATGCACAACTTGCTGATCACACACAAATTGTCACCACACAACTTACTCACACACAACTTGCACACAAACAACTTGCTCACACACAACTTGCTCACGCACACACAACTTACTCACAACTTGCACGCACGCGCACACAACTTGCTCACTTTGCGTGCAGGCGTGGCACTTATGGCACTGGGCTGGCTCTGGTGGCGCTCTTGGTTCCCGTTTGGCGCCGTGGACGTCGCCGCTGTTTGCGTGGCAGGCGTGGCACTTATGGCACTGGGCTGGCTCTGGTGGCGCGCTTCGTTCCCGTTTGGCGCCGTGGACGCCGCTGCTGTTTGCGTGGCAGGCGTGGCACTTGGCGCCTTCGACCGTCACTTTGCGAGGCAGGCGTGGCACTTGGCGACATCGATCGTCACTTTGCGTGGCAGGCGTGGCACTTATGGCACTGGGCTGGCTCTGGTGGCGCGCTTGGTTCCCGTTTGGCGCCGTGGACGCCGCGGCTCTTTGCGTGGCAGGCGTGGCACTTGGCGACATCGACCGTCACTTTGCGTGGCAGGCGTGGCACTTGGCGACATCGATCGTCACTTTGCGTGGCAGGCGTGGCACTTTTGGCACTGGGCTGGCTCTGGTGGCGCGCTTGGTTCCCGTTTGGCGCTGTGGACGCCGCCGCTGTTTGCGTGGCAGGCGTGGCCTTGGCGACATCGACCGTCACTTTGCGTGGCAGGCGTGGTTTTTGGCGACATCGACCGTCACTTTGCGTGGCAGGCGTGGCACTTGGCGACATCGACCTCCACTTTGCGTGGCCGGTGTGGCACTTATGGCACTGGACTGGCTCTGGTGGCACACAAAACTCTTCCACACAACTTTGTCACAGATTCATTTCACACACACACACAACTTTGTCACAGATTCATTTCACACACACAACTTTGTCACACACAACCCTTTCACACACAACTTTGTCACACACAACTCTTTCACACACAACTCTTTCACACACAACTTTTTCACACACATCTCTTTCACACACAAACTTTTACACACACCACTTGTACATACACAAACTTACACACACACACAACACTGTCACACACATCTCTTTCACCCAACCTGTCTTGCACCATCTCCTTTCCTTCCTGCCTTTCCCATCTCATTTTCACATCTGCTTGGTGATCATTGGAAGAAGTTGATTTGTGGGGTTATCCGGTCCTTTAATTTAGTGATTTCATGGGAAATGATAGTGATTCGATGGGATGTCACAGTGATTTGATGGGTCTTTTTAGTGTTTTCATAGGATTTTGACGTGGTTTGATGAGACTTTCTAGTGTTTTCATATGATTTTTCATTGATTTGATGAGACTTTCTAATGTTTTCATTGGATTTTCAATGATTTCATGGGACTTTCTAGTGTTGTCATGGATTTTTTCTAATGGTTTCATCGGATTTTTCAATGATTTCATGGGACTTTCTAGTGTTTTCATGAGATTTTTCATTCTAGTGTTTTCATAGGATTTTTCATTGATTTGATGAGACTTTCTAATGTTTTCATTGGATTTTTCAATGATTTCATGGGACTTTCTAGTGTTTTCATGGATTTTTTTTAATGGTTTCATTGGATTTTTCAATGATTTCATGGGACTTTCTAGTGTTTTCATGAGATTTTTCATTTCAGTGTTTTCATGGGATTTTTCAATGATTTCATGGACTATGAGTGGAATAAATGGAGGTTTCATGGGATATTCGTAGGGTGCACCCGGACTGACCAGAGGGGACTCATGGTGATACAGTGGGGCACAAGGTATGCAGTCAACAAGATGTCGTTGTGTCTGAAAAGGGACTCGTTCACCCCGGATTAAGCCATAAGTCCCTAAGTTTTATGTATATATATATATATATAAATAAATATATATATATATAGAGAGAGTTTAAGTTATTTTCATGTGAACATGGTGATCAACATGTACCAATCAGTATGGACATGTGACTCACATTGCGGGAAAATGAGGCGATGTCATAATACAATCAACCATGTTGCTGCTGAAGATGAAGCTTAACATTAAAAGTGCCTTTTCCTGAAAAATAACATGAACATGAGAAAATAAAGGACGAGGATGAGTCAAAACGAAAGAACTTCTGGTCACTGCAGTGGCACCCAAAATCCCCATGAACTGGGAGCAATCCCATCCCTCTAAAGTTAAATACCATTCTATGGTTCCAAATGCCCGTTTCTATCCCCCATGAAATGTGGATTCCGGGGGATGTTTATATATTCCATTCCAAACATATTTCAATAAAGAGGGAAGGGATTATATACATCCCTCTAACTCTAGTTTTTGGGGCACACCTTCTCAGAGGGGATTTGGAGCGCTTGGGCGGCGCACCTCCAATCACTTTCCAGGTCCTGGAAAAGCACTTAGGGACGCAGCCCCAGCCAGATGTGGTTGTTATAACCGTAGTGGTAGGGGGGTCATGGTACCCAACTCATGGGGGTTGCAGATCCCATGAGTCATACCCACCAATAACACGCCAATAACCAGTAAAACCATTGGATTGACCGAGCCCTAAGCCCACTATGAGATTTTCTCACCACTGCACCCGTTGGGGATTTTCTCTTGCGGATTCATCATGCAATCAGCCAAGTTTGGAGTCTGCAACCAATCAGCCAAAACAATGCTGTACCAACGGTTGCCGACCCACCGCTTTTTGTGCAGAATTTTTGGACAACAGAAGCATGATCAAACATGCCACAAGTGCATACAAGTGCTGGGTATGTCCCGAATGTGGTTGGCGATAGCCCAGGACTGCTCCAGTTTTTCTTTTTGCATATCCATCACACTGTGAAACAAACGCACCTTAGCAACGGTCCTGGATGACATCAGGCCCCAAGTAGGTCAGGATGGCCAAAATGATGGCGGTGCGCACTGATGGATTGATCTGTTGTAACTGCCCAGGAAAACATGTCTTCCAACCAATCAAGCATGCGTCGATACCTGGACAAGTCACAAGAACTCAAACCAAATTTGCGACCATTCTTGATTGGAATCAAACGATAAAGCCCAAACGTATTGCCAGTGTGGGCACTTTTGATGACCTGACATTTGAGGACCACTGCAGTGGCCAATTGATCAGTGGACTGACAATGGCAAACAATTTACAAGTTTTGGTATCTTGCATTTTGATCCGCACCATATGATTTGTTGAAAGAGTGCATATTTCTTGCTGCGGTTAAAGCCAACCTGTTTCTTGTTTCGGTACCGTTTCTTGTAGGCTGCACTATGCTGCCCTGCTTCGGGCTTCTGACATCCATGTGGATGCTACGCAAAGCTGCGACATAAGCAAGGCTGGTGGTTCACCATCGTCAGCTTAGTGGTCAAGCCAGCCAAGAAACAGGAGCAGTACGTGCTGGTACGCCCCAGTTAGCAAATGGATCATCGCTTGAATCATAACCCTGGCTGGTGCGTTTAAGAACCACACATTTCTGCAAAACACCTCACCATGTCACCCTTTAGGATTTATCCCTGTTGTGGATAAAATTAAACAACACATATTTGCAGTTTGAAGTTAGAAGAGATCCCCCTAGTCATTTGGGACCAGACCCATCAACTCTGCTCAAACGCGTGAAACGAGGCCCTGCTGAAAGAAATATTACCATCTGGCCCTGCCTTCCGCATCAGGTTTGGGCGGCCCTGAAATGTGTGGCCGACCTGTACTCTGTGAACGAAGGCTGGAGGTTTGGGACAGGTGCCAAGGTTTTTCTCTATATTTATAGGATCCATCCGAATCCGTCCATCTTTAACATATATTTTAAAACATGACTTTGATCATTATCATGATGATTCATTCTGATGATGAGGAGGATCATAATCAACATCATTCTGATTACTCTTACTGCTATGACTATTGCCTGTCATTTCATCACTATCATTATTAACTACTATTATTCTTACTATAATATATCATTATTATTGATTGTTATTGAGATCATCATTAGTAATATCATCACCATGACCAGCACCATTCCCATTACTATTCATTATCATTCTGATAATTATAGCAATAAATAGTAGTTATATATTATGATCATTCGCATCATCGCCATCATCCTGTCACAACGACAGCTTCGTGGCATCGCCTCGCGCCTCCAGCCCGGCCTCGCAACTGGATGTTCTGCGGCCTCGGTCCACGTGTTTTTCTTTCGCTAAAGATGGTGATTTTGACCAGAACGCAGGATGATTTAAACACACAAAACATAGAATTAAGTTCTATGCATAACTGGGATTTCTATGAAAACTAACATAACTGTGAAAATATGTGAAAATTGTTTACAAACCCCAAAAACCGTTTAATAACTGGTTCATGATAGCTAAGTGGATGGAACATAACATACCTAGGATTTATGGAAGATCGATTGTTCATGGGATGAACGTGAAGCAACCAACATTTCACTGGGGGACAAACCACCTTATAAGAGATCGAACATGAAAACCAGAGATCGAAATGATGGGGATGCCCAATTCTATAAAATGTATTAAAATGTGATACACCCAATGCGATATAAACCTCCCATTTTGGAGGGAGTTTATACTTTCTATTTCTGGTAAATTTGGGGATGGTTTACTTGTGGGTTTACTACGTTGCACCAAAACTTCACCTCAGTTGATCGTAATTGATCAAATCAAATCTCGGTTGAATTCAAGTTCGTGATTAATATCATGCTAGCGGGGACCACGAGATTGGGAAAGTTCATAGCCATGAGTGCAAACCAAGTACCCCTTGTGCAGGGTCTCACGGTCTTGAAAACTCAGGATGATATGAACATGAAAGAACATATAATTAAGTGGTAAGTGTTGTTGTTGAATTGGCTGGGGCAAAGGACATCTTAGTGATATGTCCATCCCCAGTGGCACTAAATTTTATAGAGGGACAAGCCCATGTCCCATCCTGAGATTCGAGTTCCCCAACGAGCCGGACGAGGAAGGTCTGGAAAACCTTGAAGCCCAGACGCTCGATATAGGTGATATATGGTGATATTATCACATGCACTGGCCATGGCCCATGGTCGTAATATGTCATATGTCATATAAAATCGATGTAATCCGTTCTAAGGACCTTTGGATTCTACAGTTTGAGTATTGTATAAGAATGCACTGAATTTCAGGGGCTCGGATCCAATGCGGGCTACATCTTTTCAGCTATACCAAGCACATAGTACTTTAAGAATTTGAGGGACCCTGGGATAGGATTGCCAAATTTTTAATTTACAGTTTATACGTGAAGTTTTGTGGGTTTTGTAGGATGGGAACTGTAAGGTTGCAATTCCCCTTTGCGGCTCCCTTTTTGTGGAATGACCCCTTTTGGGATGAAATAGGCTTTGCAGAGAAACAATTTTTGCAGGCTCCAATTTTTTTTCGCACATGCTTGGACTGCTTCCAGTCCACTCAAAATCCATGCGTGGTGTGATTGTGAAAGGCAGAAGAAAGCAGACCAAGAAAACCACATACTGGCAGACGCCGGAGGTTGCGCAAAACAGCACACGCCTCCGGCAATCATTGTGCCTCAGGTCCCTTGCCTCCGAAGAATTTTGCCTTCTTATCCTCTCTCTGGGTTGGCTGCAAGGGGCTGGGGTTCGGCCTGGGTTGCGGTTGCGAAAAAACAATTTTTCAGGCTCTGAAAAATTGTTGTTTCGCATTTTCCATCTGGAATGATTCTGAATGAACCCTTCTGATTGCAGGGGTCAAGCCAAGCACTGCGGAAGAACAATTTTTCGCGACCTGAAAAATTGTTTTTTTTTGCACTGCCCTTGTGAGACTCAGAAATGAGATGTTGCAACTCTTCTTTCTCTGTCCCGGGACAAACCTATCAGACAAGCCCGGCTTTGCAAAAAAAAATCAGGCTCTGAAAGATTGTTTTTTTGGCATGCCCCTTGCTAAACCTGCTAACTCCACCTCGTTACCTCGTTTGACATCGCTTTAAATTGCGCAGACATATATATATATACATACATAGTACACAACTAAGATCTAAGAATTTGAGGGACCCTCGACCTATTGTGGTGGAAATGTGCCTGCATTAAAAAATCAGAATTTCGGATTCTTAACCAACTCCCGGGCTGCGATGCCCCTGACTTTTTCTGGTGGGATAGCCATCAGGATATGGATGGAGGTTCCCCGGCGCTGGTGGCCAAGGAAACCATGATATCTGGCATGTGAAATGAGAATCAACGGGAATTCCATGGAATTCCTATACCATGGGAATGAAAACTCATACCTATCCATACCTGATATCTGGCATAGAATGGGTTTTCAAGCTTGTGGCTGGTTACCTATGAGAATCAACAGAAATAAACACATCAGTGAAAGGCACGAATATCTTCGGACGTGAGCAAAGTTCCCGTTGTCAATGGATAATGGAATGATTTCAAGCAAAATCTAAATTAATTAAGGCAAGTAGTTTGTTTTACCCCCGAACATCGAGTTTTCCAATGTTTTCCTGCAGATCTTCAAAGCAAGTCTGGGACGTTATAATGGGCCCATGGGATTTTGGATGTCACAATTCTGCCGTCCTCGTTTCTGCTGGTGAAAAAATAGTTCAATGGATTGGTTCAAGCGGAAATCGACACCGAAAATGGATGAAAATGATGGGTTTTCCCCCATCAAATATAGGGAAATTCATGGGCTTTCCTGTAATTTTTTCCTTGAACCAATCAGCAAACATATTGGTGTATCTGAAAACATGTATATCACCATTCTCCTTAAGTCCCAGTTTCTGAATGGTACCATGGTCAACATATTAACATCCCTATCTTTGCTGATCATCCCCGAATATTCTGGTTCAGCTCCCGACTCCGATGGCTTTCGGCCGTTCATGGCAGGTTCTGGAGCAAAGACGAACCGTCGAAACAGCGAGCTTTGGGGCAGTTCAAGATGCTTCAAGCCATTTAGTTCGTTGATTTAACGATTAGAAATGGTGATTTTCTATAGCTATGTCAGTTTACTGGAGGGTCTATCTCTCTCTCTCTCTCTCTCTCTAATTCTGTGTATATATATATATATGTGTGAAATCCTACAGATCATTATGGATCCAAACACCTCCTGAGAAGCCACAAATCAACACCCAAATCATCTCCAGCCACACTTTCTAAGGAGGTACGGTTAAATCCATAGGGAACATCAACTGCGTTCGTCATCACGAATGAATATGCACAACATTAGCTGAACAACATCTCATTTCCTGCTTCGATGATTGAATATAAATCAGATCAAACAAAATAATACACACAAACAATATAAGTTAAGGTTGAAGAAACATTGAAACATTAACATTAATTGTCAACAATTGATAACGGTATGTGTTAAACCGCCAACCACAGCACATTTGTGCAGCAGCAGCGGGTTCCTATGTGGCCCATTTGTTTCTTCTTGCGGCACCTGGGCTGTGAGGGAAAACGTCGTTTTGCCAGGCCAACACTTGAATGGTTCATAGTGCTTAGTAGCACTTGGTAGTTGAACACAGTAATGGTTCATAGCTGTTAATAGATGTTAATAGATGTTAATAGATGTTTAAACAAGTTAATGAGTGTTAATACATGTTAATACATATTAATAGATGTTAATAGATGTTAATATAAGTTAGTAGATGTTAAGGGTAAATAGATGTTAACAGTGGTTAATAATGGTTAATAATAGTTAATAATGATGGTTAATAATGGCTGGAAATGATTAGATGGTTCTAAAGGTTGTAAGAGACATACAGGTTTGGGTTCAACAATTGATTGCCCTTCAGGCTTGTCTGGAAATTGGGACAACCACATGGTCGTCAGTTCTTCCATTTAAAGATGGCGGCCATAACTGAGGGACATGCTACATTTTGAAACACAAACTCCTTTGTAGCAGGCCTTGTGGTAAACCACAAAAAAACGTCCATATGAAAAACCCTAAACCTAGGATTTAAATCTTTTGTTCCTATAATGTATGTATACATATAGACATATATTTACCTTTCTATTAGTTTTAAGATAGATCAAGTATACAATATACAAATTTCAGGTCTTCCGAGCAGATCAACATATCTGGCACGTCAGGGCAGGTCATCTCCCGAGCATCTCCCAACAAATCTCCCTATCCATCGCATTCCGGCGCTCGGTGCTCGGACGTCGAAAAACTATTGAGAAGATCCCCGCAGGTACGACACTTCAACCTATGGGATGCGGTTGACGAAACTCACGTCACGAACCAAGCGAATCACGTGAATCACGTCACGAAAATGGGGGATATCTTCAAACAACTGGTAAAAACACCAATTTTTTAACTGAGTCACAAAGCATTTTGAAGTATAACTTAGTACAGGCCATTGCATTGGCCCCTTAGGTCTGATGGCTATGGGTCCGCAGGTCCATCACCAACTGGTCCGATTTCTTTCGTGAGGTGTGGGGCAAGTGGTTCACACAGAAAATCAAACCCGACTAACAACAATTAAACATATTATATATATATAGTTATATTATATATACAGTCATATAGAAAAAAAAACTAACTTTCCAAGTAAAGCAGCTATTTTGAAGCTTCACGACTTTCATCCATACCCAGTGTTGCTCCAGTGGTTCCCTTGGTTCCATTGGTTCCCTCGGTCGTGTTATAAGGTATCACTGTGTTGCACCATCCAAATGTGGTACCAGGGGTTTTACAGGCATGAAGAAGGCTAACGAGTTTAGATAACCCAATTATGCAAAAAACACTAAAATAAAATCTCTAGCTGACAATTTTTTTATATTATAATCATTGGGTTTCCCACGTTTCCCACGTGCAATTCACTGATCCAAGGACCACATAGGTCCACGACCCAGAAATCCAGGCCTCACATAGAGCCGCGTGACGCCAATGTCGCCGATGGAGTGCTGGCAGCGGAATGGGTCAACCAGGGACTGCAAGAACCGCTGCCACCATGTCCTATTTATGGTGCTATTTATGGTGCAACCCAAGCTGCAACTTTGGAAAATTTCTACATCCCAGGTCTGGTGAAACTCAGGAGAGTTTTCTTGGCTTACTCATCATCCAGGGTCCTGAGAGTCACTACTATTCAGTGGTGATCTATATGCCATCCAATCTTTTTGTTGGGACCCTGCATTGGTGGTTTCTTTGCAGTTTGGAGTAGCTATACCCTGATTTGGACAAATCAAACAAATCCATAACCCTACATCTGACAGACACCAGGAATGCTGATGATCCTTTGACACCATGATGTTACTTTCGATCATTACACTTTCGCAGGATCAAGTAGTAGTGTGAGACAAATGTGAAGTATCACCGATGACAATGATGACGATTTAGGTTCGGGTTTGGAATGAAACATGTTTTTGCGTAGAGAATCTGGCACTGCCTTGTTCAAAATCTGTACATCTCTGCTGTAGAACACTTTGGATTGAATGGTCGGCAACAACAAAATGGGCAGGATTCTTGATCGGAGATGCATCAAAATATCCCCTTGGGATATCCATGAATATCCATTTTGGACCGTTCATCGAGGGGATGAGAACACCACTAAACAAATCATGATTTTAGGGTAAAACAAATGAAATAAGTTCAATCAACATCCAACCAATAAACAAATCAATCAACAAATCAATGAGTCAAGGAGTGCGTTTTTTTTTTTCGTGAAAACCTCATGGACAAATCATCTTCAACCTGTCAGCATAAGCTGTGTGGATGAGGCCCCAGCGACCCCAGGAATGTTCCCAGACCTCGGCTGACGATCCAGTCACCAGTCACCATGAAACATACGGATTTGATATGTTTTAATTATATATAATTCATCAAGAATGGCGAACAAGATATTTTTATGGGAAACATGAAGTTTTTAACCAATGGGTTGAGGGATGTATTTGTATAATAATTATGTATATCAGCTTTGTATTCTGTCAATTAAATGGTGATTTACCATCAGAAATGATGGGTTTAACCTTCAAAATGGTGAACCAATCAATGTTTACCATGAAAAAAATGGACTTAACCACACATAGATGCTCTTAACAACTGCTTCGCCAAATGCATAGATGCAGAACTAAACCAGTGTTTCTTGAGGGTATTTCAGATACATATACCTGCGTCTTCCAATGTATGCAAAATTATTGCCTTTTCAGGAATTATTGCTGACGGCATTTTTTTCTGCCTCCGAACAGATTTTGCATGTTTCTCATGTTGCATATGTTTGCCGGTTTTGAAACGGCGAAAAAACCCAACGAAACGGCGAAAAAACCCGACGAAAGGGCGAACAAAAATCAAGAGCCCAAAATGTGGAAACTGAAACGGCGAAAAAAACTGGAAACAGCGAAAATTTAGGCAACCGGCGATAATTATTGCTGTTTCGGATTTCGAGCGATAATTTTGCACAGATGGGTTATCCAGGTATATATAAATATATAGATTGGATATGATTGGATTATATTGGCGGGAAGGGAGTACAGTATTCCTGTAGACTTCATACATTCATAGGTGCAATTGTGCTGTTTTTCTTAGAAGTAGGAATGCATCGTCAAGTACAGTACACCTTGATTCAAATCGTTCCGCCACTCTGGTCTGACACACCTGGGGCCACCGGCATGTCATGGACCGTTCTCATGGTTGCCATGGAACGAGCATCCAAGGAATCCTGTCGCACCAAGCTTCACCAAATCACCAAAATACCAAAGCCAATCCCGAGGACTAGAGCTTGTATGAGTCAATGAGTTATATAAATGCACTGCACTTAGAGCCTCTAGTGGTTCTGAAGAGAAAATCAACCCCAAGCACATCCAATAAATCAAATCAAGCGTGCATGTTGAGCTGGCTCAGTCATATGGTCCCGTGGAACTGCCGCCGACAAGGGCTAGCCCAAAAACATGGCGCCATCAGATATAACTGGTATAACGGTTATGTGGTTCTGTATTTCTATCATCTTTTTACCCCATGAAATATTCAGAAATCAACATTTACCTGAAACTGACCTATGCCATCCTATGCCATACCGCCACGCACCTGGGTGGTCAGTAGCCGCATGTTGTCAGTGAGCTGCACCTGTGACCGCACGGGCGGTCTGGCTGAGGATATGGCTTTGGATCAAAAGCTATGGATTCCTTCTGTGATGACATCAAAAGAGTTGGTATTTATGGCTCTTCATCACCCTAAACAGCCTAAACATGGTCATTTAGTATTGATATGTATTGATCTATAGATTTTAAGAAAAATACGACCTTTCTGGTAGATAACCAACATTAACCAACGTAGCTGCGGAACTAGCTAGTTTGACTTGCCAAATCCTGTATGGGTACTGTACCTAGTAGTGAAAAAGAAGTAGGCGAAAAAATTGACCAACACAACTAAATGGGACACTTGTACTTGTATACACTTGTAGCATCTATGAACAATGCAACCAAACACAGAATTTCGGAAGGGGTCAAGTCATTTGTACCCAACAAAAAGATCAGAGTATCAAAGGATATCAAAGGGGCCTTTTCACCAACATGGGGCTCTCCTTCCAAGAATCGCGAACGAATCTGCCCCAGGAGTCTAAAATGCTGACGCATCGCATCGGTAATTTATTGTCTTCATCTGTCATAGTATGTTATAGTAAACCTTTCACTTCTGCACCTCAGACATGTTGAGCAAATGCCATAGGCAGTGTTCAAGACCCGCTCTCATTCCATTGTACCGGTTGGCAAATAGAGGGTGGATTTGTGACAATCTTCAATATTGTAGTTTGGGCAGTACAACCCCCAAACTAATCATCAACCAACACCAACAAGGGTTTTGAAAAACTGTCACGTTGCTGAAGATCAAAATTCAGTGGACATGCAGCGGTCACTACTTGACGTGTTGATACCCAATTGTCACTGTTCAGCAACATCAACACGTATCTGTGTGAAATTCGATGCAAATGTGGTCATTTCAAACACACCAAACCCAGCAAACTTATTGGATTGAAGATGCCATGCCTCCAAAGTCTCTAGTGGTGTTAAGCCAGAAATGAGGTCAGATCATGGTATGATGTATAGCCAGCCACGTTTCCAGCTGGTGGGCGGGTCAACAGGGTTGCTCCCAACAGGGTTGTGCAATAGGTTGGAGCAACTCTCCTGTGCAACCACCACCTTAGGACACCACCTTGCCACTTTCAGCATAGGAGAGCTCATAGGCATTCATGGGCAACAACAGCTTCTCATAGATCTGGGAAGGCAGTGGGAATCCTTTGATCATGCCTGCCATTGCTGAGATATTTCTGAATGACTGAAATACCCTCTGGTAATTTAACATAGCTATGGAAAATCACAATTTTTAATGGGAAAATCCACTCTAAATGGCCATTTTCAATAGCTATGTTAGTTTACCAGAGGGTAAGTCAAGGATTTCATGTCGATGTGACTCTCATTCGAATTATTTCAGGGATCATCCCACCAATGTTGGGTTCCGAGATAACCAAAGACGCTAGCCATACTAGCGCTTTGAGAATAGCTCTCAATGCTCGTAATGTGCGGTTAGTTTAATGTTATGATGTGATGTCGTAATACAGTATATGCAATGTGGGTTTGTCTGAAACTAAGTGTACCCCATTCCATCCACCTCTTCGTCATGACAGTTTCCCTGTGATGAATGGCTAGTTGGTGGGTACACCGTATTTCCAGACACACCCACAGATCCATGATGATGATGATGATGATGATGATGATGTTCTGCAGGTTCGCGGAGGTACGACTCTACCTTGCTTGACATATGGCATATTTGCCAACATTTATCCTACAAATGGACCAATCAGGTAAAGGTCAACACAACGTACCTTATGGGATATATATATACATATATGCACATCATCATGTACATTATGTGAGTATGTACCGACTTCACACGGTGCATCTGTAGCTGGCTGACCCATTTCTTCAAGTCGTAGATGGTGTGGAGCCCATTGAAACAGCGGCAGAACACCTGCAACACTGGCAGGACAAACTGCTTGGGATGCCCCGAATCTTGGCGCTGGAAATTCCCAATCTATAGATGACAAAACCCCATGTTTTCCCATGAAAAATGATTGGTTTTCATCGCCATCCGTGGCTACCAGAGGGTATACGGGATGTCGCAAGTAAAAGGCGGGAAGATTCTGGGAACATGGCGTATCCATGGGAGGTGGCTTGCCAATATTGCAGGTATCTAGACAAAAACACCCAAATAAGTTGGTAAGGGTCAAATTCACCCAAAATCATGGGGGCACCCCTAACCTATTTTCACAAGCGGATACCAATCTTGATAGTACCCTCCTTTAAACTAACAGTTCCATGTGGAAAACCCACCTTGAATGTAGATCGTCTTCCTAAGGGAACCAGCCAGGTTTTCTACATTCTTTTTGTATGTTGACCCTACAATGTGAGGCCCCCAAGATATAAGTTGGTTTAGATTCGCACCAGTAACTATAGTTATAAATACCATAAACCATAGTGATTGGAGTTATGTTCACCAACTTAGCTATCTTGGGGGCCTCACATTGTAGGGTAATTCATCACTGTTTTCGGGGTAACCCCTCCAATGCCGGGACCTAGTCCACCGTGGCACGTTTCGCAAGACACGCCTCGTTGGTATGCGATGAACGCATCTCTGCATAGACGGTGTAAGCTGAGCAGGGCAAGCGAATAGACCTTATGGCAGCGGATTTGTTTCAGGAACCCCCCAAAAAACAAACAACAACTATATATATATATTATAGTAACAATAATAATAGTAGTTATTATTATTATATATATATATACATGTAAATATATATATATATATGTCTCAAGATTTGTGGATTTCCCGTTGGGAAAATAACCAAGCATCTTCAGCAAATCCCAGAAAAGGGAACCAGCAACTCCCATGACCCTGATTGTGCAAAGCACCCACCAGACCAGAATGAATCAATGAATCAGACGTTAATTCAAAATTGGCATTTGTCTTCAAATAAATAGAGTGATGTTACCGTTGTTGGGGGAGTTGGGAAAAAATGATGAACCCACGAGGTGGTGCCCCCAGTTCTCCACCATCAAACCGTCTGTAATCGTAGTGTCACCTTGTCATTGTAATATCCAAGCCCCGCTATGAAAGTTAAGTTTCTTATGGTTCTGGTTGAGTCGATATCTACAATATCTACAGTAATTGGATGGTCAATATACCAATGTTTGATGGTGACATATATATATATATATGTTTTGTAGGTATACATGTCTAGATATATCACAGTCACTGTCAGTTCAATCCATAATTTGCGTGTACTTAGCCCATAAATTAGTCGATATTGTTGATGCATGATTCATCACCCATTACTTGACCATTTTCCACAATCAAATCCCTAATTTCTCTGAGTTATATCCCCATTATATCCCCATTCCACTACCATTTTTCTTGGTGCGTGTTATATCCATTATCATTTTTCTATTGTTCTAGCACCATTCCACTATCCTCACTAATATCTCATTGTTATATCCATTGAATCATGTCAAACCCATCATCGACACCCTAGAATCTGTGCTTTCCCAGTGACGTGGTCTTGAAGATCTTCTCGAAGCCCAGGCGGAAGCCCGCGATGCGCCGACGCACTGGTTGCTCGTCGTCCTGGCGGAAGGCTGCAACGACTGGATGTTCATGCATGGCTAATATGAAATAATTTGTGGTTACTATATCCCAATAATTAATGCTTATTAATGGTTATTAATGGCTATTATACAATGGTTATTAATGGTTATTAGTGGTTATCAATGGCTATTAATGGTTATTGATTGTTCTTAGTGGCTATTAATGGTTTTTAATGGTTATTATTAGTGGTTATTCATGCTTTAATGAAAATTAACATCAATAACTGATAGCGACTGATAGGGATAGTAATAGATGTAAACATAATCAAAATGAATGGATGTCAATGGATGGCAACTGGACACAAAACAACTTTCATAGATGTTAACTATAATAGTAGTCAAATGTTGATAATAATTAGTAGTCAAAAACATATTAATAGATTCATAGGGATAAACATAGGGATTGTAATGCTAAAATTTTAGTCAACTGGTTATTAGTAGACGATGTTAAAGTGGTTTTAATAGATGTTAATAGGGATTCAATCAGGTATTAATGATCTACTGCACAAGGATTTGATGATGGTATAAAAATGACATTTACCCTCCGATGTATTCATTCATGGCTGGGCAATCAAACTAGATGTGTATTTTAACGGGAAATCATCGAACTGAATGATGGATTTGGCAGTGAGCCATTTTTGATGATCAGAGGGTAGTTGATATGACATCTGTATAAGATGGTACAACGACTATGTGTGGTGGGCAAAAACAGGTGTATGTATACAGGTTATATTACATTATCTCACATATATGTACTATTACAGTATAAACACCATTTTACCAAACAAAACAACCAAACACACGAGCAACTCACAGGGGAAGTTGCATGAGCTTCATGATTACAAATCGCTTACCCGGGACGGTCGCTCAACCTTCAAGTGGCGCCCATCCTTCGAGGGGTCTATGGCAACAACGATTGCTAAGATGTGAAACAAACACACCAAGAACAATGCAATCCAGAAACAACACCAACACAAGACGTTCAAGACATCCTTGTGTTTACATACGAATAAGGAAATGATCTGTATAGGCTGAAAGAACAATCGGGATGTTTGCGTATCATCTCAGTCAACATGCTTTCCATGACGGCAATAATGACAGGTAAGTAAAAATGATGCTTAGATATGCCTAGCAATACAGCAACTCGTGCTAACAAGAATGAGGAGGAACAAAGAGGACAATGATGCTGGTGGCAACTGTATAGATCTATTTATTATTTACTTTCAGGAGATGCTTCCAACCCCCAAACTTCTTCTTACAATCATGGCATGGCCAATTGTAGAAACCCTGAACAAAACATGTCTGAGCTGGTTAGTATACATCCCCATTCATAGCACAAGGTTAACTTTTACTTTTTAGTAACCATCATTTTTTTTTTGGTTTCTCGAGTTCATATCCCACAAACATTCATTGTTGACTGGCTCCAATGCACAAAAAATATACCCATCAACCCATCCCAATCTCCCATGAACCCATCACAAGCCCATGATCTGATGGCCGGCACCTCGGCCACAGGCCCAGTGTCCTCCAGGTGCCAATGTTGTCAAAAAATCCATGGGGAAATCCCTGTTGGATGGGGAAAACCATGGGAAAACCGGTTAAGATGTTCCCTACCAATCCAGTGATGGCTAGGACGCATCCAGTGTCTTAGACCCTTTTCTTTGTGAATGCATCTTCTATTTATGCATATATCAAAACAGATCTAGTTGGTGGTCTGCCCCCCTGAAATTATGAGGGATGAAAAAGAAATACAATAATAGCAACCAAAAAAAGGGAGAAAACTCATGTGCCTGTATCTTCGGTTCGGATTTTATATGCCTATCTTTTTTGGGGCTGCTACTGTATATCTGAAATCACCAACCAGATTTACATCCCTTTTGGACATGCCCTTTGATCGGAAACGTTAAAGCTACCATTGCAACCAGCCCAATGTTTCTTGATTCTTCAAAAAACTGAGATGCTGTTCAGTTCGTAGATGCTTTATCCCATTATTTACAGTGTTTCATAGTTACCAATGGTTACAAACTGCTGCAAGAGTTTGTCCATCCACAATATTTCGAGACACCGCCCACCAGAACAGCTTTGCCTTCCGTGGGAACTTGTGACCTCGGCCAAGATTTCCCCTTCGACTGGTGGGTAGTGATGCTCTACTCGAGTCTACATCGGGCATCTCAGTTTGTTGCAGTGGACTACTCTGTTGTTCAGCAATGTTCATCGCACTGACCTGGCTAAGAATTGTTGATAACCTTGGCGATAGCCCCAACTAGGGTAAATGCGGACCATCAACATCCGTTAACATCCATGAATATCCATTAAGATCCAAAAAGATATGTTAATAAACTAATAAGACCCATTAACCTCCATTGATCACTTCCTAACTGGTTTACGTGTCTTGGCAAATTACGATAGTTCACTAGAGGTCACGACCTGAGTCACTACAATTTACCCAGAGACTTATAGCCAATATATGTCTTGAATCCATTATAAACCATTATTAACCATCATTAAAGACCATTAATATTAATATTCAATGAATATCCCACACAATCCCATACAATCCCATACATGTGTATATATATATATACAGTATATTACATATGTATATATATATATATACGTATATACGTATATATATATATATGTATATGTATATATGTATATGTGTATATATGTATATATACGTATATATGTATGTGTATATATATATATAATATGTATGGGATACACTATATACTGTTATGAGGAACCTTTAACTCATCCCCCAAGCAAAAAAGTGTACTCTATAGGGCGCCCCGGCGAGCCAAAGCGATCCGCTGCGCTTCCAAGGGAGAGTCGTAGAATCGTGCCTGGCAGCGCGAAACGTTTCAGCGTTTCAAACACAGGGATCCCGTTGTTTTTCCCAGAAACATCGGGATTTTCATGGGAAAACATAGGACAAATGATGGTTTCACGAACAATCACTGGACACCATTGAGAAATCAGACTAAGCATTCAATGTGGATTTACCCTCTGGTAAAATTTACCCACAGGACGAGGGTATGGCCCTTCGGGCGTACCCAGCAACCATCAACCCATTGGAACCATCATCCCCAGGGTTTCTACTTCCATTAGGCTTTCATTTAAGGTTTAATCAAGTTATAAAATCATATAAAATCCCCCGGCCCCGGCTGGAACTTTTTTCACTAGACTTTTTTTAAGGCTTTCATTTAGGGTTTAATAAACTCCCCCGGCCCCATGGAACCATGGAACAATTAACGATATTTCTAACTCGCCAAAAAAGTGGAAAACGGCAAAAAGGCCGACAGGCATGAAGTCCGCAGAGGGTTCACTTTTCCGACAGATTTTTCCAAAAAAATGACGCGGAACATAGTAACGCAAAGATGTACCAAAGTCATAAAACACTGCGCAGGCGCAGTGGAATGAGCCTCCTTAAGACGTCACTCATTCCGTTCCGGGCAAACCCTCAGTCCTGCCCGTAACCTTACACAAATGTGGAAAATCCATGGGGAAACCCTTTCGGAACATGATCTACAACTAGTTGGTACACACCACAGCACAGCTATGTAAACGTTGACAGGGGTCTGCCCCATGGTATTTTGACATAGCGATGGAACATCACCATTTTATTGTGGGTAAATCATCTCCAAATGCTCGTAAACATACGTATGACACTTATGCGAAAGCTTTATATAGAATGTCAACTGAATAGAGTCAACATTCTCCGTGAATGGTAGAAGCAACATCGAACAGTGGGAACGCTCGCATTCAACATTGATGCTATTGTTGTCGTTGCCAAACCATATCATCCAAGCTTGCGAAGATGGCAGCATCACCCAGCTTCATTTACAAGACATCAAACAGCATTATCCTATGTATATATTTAATTACATTATATTATATTACATTATATTATATTACATTATACTATATTACATTATATTATATTTTATTATATGATATGAGATGATATTATATTATATTATATTATATTACATTATATTATATTACATTATATTATATTACATTATACTATATTACATTATTTTATATTTTATCATATGAAATGATATGATATGATATTATATTGCATTATACTATATTACATTATATTATATTTTTTTGATATGATATGATATTATATTACATTATATTACATAATATTATATTACATTATATTATATTACATTATACTATATTACATTACATTATATTTTATTATATGATATGATATTATATTACATTATGCTATATTACATTATATTACATTATACTATATTACATTATATTATATTTTATTATATGATATGATTTGATATTATATTATATTATATTACATTATATTATATTACATTATATTGTATTACATTATACTATATTACATTATATTATATTTTAATATGATATGATATGATATGATTTGATATTATATTACATTATTATATTACATTATACTATATTACATTATACTATATTACATTATATTAGATTTTATTATATGATATGATATGATATTATATTATATTACATTATATTATATTACATTATATTATATTACATTATATTATATTATATTATATTGTATTATACTATATTACATTATATTATATTTTATTATATGATATGAAATGATATGATATGATATTATATTGTATTGCATTATACTATATTACATTATATTATATATTATATACATGTTCAGTGTGGCTTTTGGGGCTGAACTTCAAAATCGTCCTTGCGTGATGAATATAACCCCCGAACAGCTTGTCAGGAGGCATTGCATGTGACTTCTTGTCCTTTGTCCGAGAGCAAGCGTGGTTCCCCTCCCCAGAGCAAGAAGGACCCCGTGTTCCTTGGCTCTTGCTGTTCCTAGCTTTTTGCAGGTCCACAGCTGACTCTGCCAAGTGTTTTACAACATTTTTCAACCCTTTCGCTGCACAGCAGCGTGTGTACCTTCCAAACTGCACTTTGATTTGGAAGCTTGAAGATCGTACATCTCGTACTTGTAAGCATATTCCATGCTTGAAGGAGTTCGGATTCGGTAGACTTAGCGGACTATTTGGCTACATGTCTTTCAGGAAACCTCTCCCAATTTGGCACTTCCTTATCCTCCAAAATGTTGATTCTCTCCACTCTATTTGCTTGAACTAAAAAACTCCGTGTTGTTTTTTTTCATTCATTCGCAGTGATCCTGCATGGTACCTCGGCTGCACCTCGTAGAAAAAATGGGGGATCCCCAAAACCATAGGTTTCAATACATTTCAATGGTCTAATGACTTGGATCATGTAAAGGCACCTCTATGGCTTTGGAAACTTCATTTGAGTAAAGAAACGTGCAAAAAAACATCCCAAGTTTTTTGTCATTTGCTAAAGAGTCATGATCAAACATTCGCAGGCAAAGCTGGGCAAAATATGTTTTTCAAACATACGCTTCACTCTACTAATACATCCGACAACAATAATGTCCTTTTGGTAAAAATAGAGGGGTTGTTTTGGAATACCATCTATATAATTATCATCATTTACCTGTTGTTAAAGGGGTAAACAAACCCCTCTATATATTAATTAACCAACCAATGGGACATCTATGTTTGACAAATGGGTCTGGATCAAACCTCCCCCCATTAATCAGGCAAATCATTGACCAACATCAACATGGTAAAAGGTTACTCCCAATGTTATAAGTTGGTTTCTAACCACCCCCCAAAAATATATTGACTTCTAGCCGATCATCGGCAATGTTATAAGTTGGTTTCTAACCACCCCCCGAAAAATATATGTTGACATCTAGTCGATCATCCACCCCCCGAAATATATATATATAGACATGTAGTAAGATCTATTAACATCTATTTGATAAACTATAGTATTATATGTATTATATGTCAAAAAAAGTGTCAACATCTATTATATGTTTATATTTGACTACACTTTTATAGTTACAGTACCATAAACATCCATAAACCCTCGATGTTTGCCATGGAAAACCATCCCCCCAGGGGCGGCTCGTTTTCTGCTAGCCGTGCGACCTCCGCCTCTTCGCGCTGTTTCTCGTAGAGATCGGACTCAGGTTCCAGCGACGGCCTAAACGTTTAGTCAACCTGGAGTATATAGAATGTGGAAATGTCAAAAGTTCTCAATATATCTAATTGAACATAGTAGTTGAACATTCTATATAATATATAAATATGATTAAATATGTATATATTCTATCATGTTCTATCTACTGATGATTGTGAAGAGATGGAAAGGCAAATGGATAGATGGATAGAAATGATAGAAACATAGATATGGAAATTCGACCATTTATGGATCATTTGTAGGAAACTAAGGGCGTTGCGTGGGTTTACACCAGGGTAAATTACTGAATAAGGACAATGAATGAGGACTGCACGATGTTAAATGCTCATCGTTTGACTATCCTAATTCGTTTTGGCTGAACAGTATGTCTTGGTGGACATGCGCATGTTTGTTTCTTCAAATCTTAAATTCTGAGATGATGTAAGTATATCTTTGGGAATCCTGTCACAGTAACCACCAGCGCCATTACTCATGTAACACTGGGCCTTTAGTGACCTTACCGACAGAACAAAAGCCGCGTTCTAGTTATAGTATCACAAAGCAGGCACCACCTTGACCAACGGGAAGGATTGTTTCCTCAAAATGACCATAGTAGGCGCTGTGTGCTTGAACCTACATGTTGTTGTGTTTCTATTGGGGGGTTCAACATATAGCAACCCCCAAAAAGATGCCGATTTCAGTGTTTCCAGGATCATACTTCGATGATGTTTCCACCATCTTTTCCAGGTGTCCAAAATTGTTCGGCATCCTTTGGGTTCAATGTAGGTGTGCCAACAATCACCTAGAAATACCAAGGGGGATTCTTTCACAAAAAGCACCGGAGCAGGGCCTTGGAGATGCGACTACAGACCTTTCGGAGGGGTAAAGAGGATGGGGACGGGAAAATTCGACCTGTGGAACCTTCCATCTTCAAATATCCATCCTATGGTATCAGCAATGATCCATTGCACAACATTATCATCAATGCATGGTATTGTCACCAACTATATAATATCAATAACTATATGTTATATATAATATATTAATATGCTATATAGTTATATAGTCAAAGTTGGTGATATCCATGCACGCCTTCCCTGTTCAAATCAACATGTTTTTGGTTATATCTCCGCCAAGATGTTTGAAAAGGATCATATGATGTTTCCATTTAAAGTGTCTCTCTGTTACAACGCCATGCAAATGTAAGCAGTCAAAATGACAATAACATCCTCAACACTTGTTGGTTATCTCTCCATCTGTGTTGATACAGGACATTCCATGCTGAAATTTGCCCAGTGATGCCTTGAAATTTCAGCGCTGAGTCCTAGGCTTGCCCGTGGCAGGAAGCACCTTGCCCTTGTCTGTCCTGGGGTCAGCCATGTCCACAATACCTATATGAGGTCATGAAGTGTGGGGTCGATCCATGCAAGTATAAAAGTGTAGTATAAAATTGTACCAGTAGTATATCATCAATCTCTCTCTATATATATATGCATATATATATATATCAAAAAATCCACCAAATTAACTAGCAAATCCAAAGAAATATTTGAACATCTTCAATCTATTCAATGTGTCGTTGTGAGATACAATTTCAACCCTGGATTGATGAACCCTGTTTCAGGAATTAATGAATTGCCCCGAAGAAGTGACAATATACTGACACAAATCACTATTATATATATATATTATATAACAAAATCGTTTGTTTTTGCGCTTAGTTCGTGTCAAAGTCAACGTTTTGACGCCTGCATGTCCTCGCCACTCACATCAGTTGACGACTTGGAGGCCATGGCAGCTTGTTACTGTGTATAACCCAAGTGGGACCATTGAAAAATTGCCAGCACATCAAACGAATTAACGACCATCTTCTGATGACCAGGAGAAGCCCAGGGATTTTTTCCCCCCACCAGACCCACACCCCACCTGCCATCATCTGACATGGACCTGAAGAAAGAGTGACCATGGACCATGACTTCCATGCAATCGAAGCCTAGACCGACAGTGGAGGGATGTGGAGGGTGTAGATTCAGCTATATGACATGCATCAGTCTTGGAATCAATGTAGGTTTGGATATAGTTCCATTTTCTGCCCCGCACCATCCCCACACACCTCGCGGATCACCAGCGGATGGCGGCGTTTGTAGCTGAAGCCAAAAGGTTCACACCAGGCGGAACTGGATTCTTCCCGGACTTCTATGGGGAAAAAAAACATATAATTCATGCAATTTGCTCTCAGAAATTCCAAAATCTCAGCAGTCACTTTGCGGATCTACAGGAAGCAGCAAATAAACAGCCGAGGCTGACCATGATATTGTCATAGCAAAATGTCATTATGTACACCTGTATTGAGATTCAGAAGCAAAACATGAGAATAGGATATAATAGGTACTTCACCTCTGATGCATCATCACTCACAAACCAAACTTTATTGGGCAGCAACACGACGATCTTGCCAATAAGTTATTCATTTCTGAAAATCGTGCCAGCAAGCGCGCAACAGCAGCTTTATTGGCAGCGCGTAACACTGGTGGGCCTTGGCCCGACCACAGAACAATCTGACCCCTGGCAGCTTTGTCCAAAAGATAGGGTGCATCCGATATGTTCGCTACTGTTCGCTAGTAACGTGAGTAAAGCAATAATAATGAACCATCATGAACCATCCATATTTTGATGGTATTTATAATGGTTTATAGTTTATACCACCCATTCATGGTGATATTGGGGATGATTTACTATTGCTTTACTCACGATCCCTTGCGGGCGGGTGTCAGGGTCTCACGGTCTTCCATGGTCGCCCCGGTTGCAGCTGGATCAACACGTGGCGACCTTGTTGCCAAAGGATGGTGACAGTGAAGTGAGCAGGACCTTGCGCCGCACATATCTCTGAGCACAAAAAATACATCAAAAGGCAATACGGCAAGAAACCCACAATTTCTAAAAGGTACATTCATACTAATATATATATACATTTAAACCAGATTACAATTACATCCCGCGTCCTTTAAATGACCTTACTTACACATGTGTTTTTTTGTCTCACCCATCTCCCAGGATGTTCCTCTTGCTACACCGGTCAACTTTGAATCTGGGTTGGTCCTGGCCTGGTGTGGCAAGATTCAAAGTAAACCAACATAGCTATGCGAGTTTACTGGAGCGTATTTTTTCGTCCTTGAATAAAGGGTGAACAAAGATTACCCTCCAGTAATGTAACATAGCTAGGGAAAATGGATGAAACTGGCCTAGTTAATTCGATGATTTACCTATGCAAAATAGTGTTTTCCATAGCTATGTTAGTTTACCAAAGGATAATCAGGACAAAGCAGTACAGGGGCCATCGGTGGCTGGAGTGGCGGTAGTCAGAAACGTGCAGCAACCATGGGACTAATGTGAAATCAAACTGGAATTGAACCAAACCTGATTCAAATGAATTGCACCAAAGTGGTTTAAAGGTGTATGTACCAAAGTAGGACCGAGTTACTGAGTGACTGCATCTGCCAGCTTGATGCAACTGTGGACTTTCAACTTGTTGCCAGGAAGTGCAAATCTCCAACAGCTCTGCGCAGTCCAATTCAATTTTACACAGCCTTGTTTCTGGTCATTTTGGGAAACGACATGGGAAAACAACTAGCAAACACCCATCATTGCTGAAGCGGCAACATGCAACAATCAGGCACTTTTCAACAATTTCACCAGTTTATCACCAGAACTGATCAAAGAAACTACAGTCACCCGCAAGCAGAACATGTATCAACTGGTTGGTTAATAGGGATTCCCCTATTGGATTATTCTAATCCCCAGTATATTTCAGGTAGTTTGTCATCCCCAAAGGAATCATCAACCAGGGTTTTGAACACGGCTCACTTGACACCGAGCTTCATCTCCATGCGGCCTTGCCGCCAGTTCCACATCGTCAAATGGCAATGGTGTCGCACGCTGTGATATCATCCCAGGGACAGCGGCAGAGAAAACAAAGGCCCAACGGACGAGTGTTCCTGTCATTCAAGATCTACCCTCTGGTTATGACTAATATATATATATATATATAATGATATTGGTAATAACAATAGCGATAATCATATTACCATCTGGTTATGACTAACATAGCCATGGAAAGACTCACCATGCTATTAATTAATAGGTAAACCATCTATTTCTATGGACCATCTATACCATGGCTATGTTAAATAACCAGAGGGTAAATATTTGGATGATTTTGGATCATTGTCTGCCATAGAAAAGGCGACCTCCTATGTAATGTAATCCTTTTTGGACAAAGATGATGCTGGAAAATATCTCCATGGTTGCTGGGTAACAGACCTCCGGTTGCTGCGAAACGTCACCATTATTGTTACGGTTCATGCCTCCATTCTTGGTTCATATCTCAATGTGTGTTGCTTCATATCTCCAATTTTTCTACAAATCCGAATCCTCATTGTTGTTGATCAATTCAAAATAATTCAAACAAAAATTGCGCCATTTGCCACACAGATTCCAATGTGGTCTTGTCTCCATGGCACACTCTCTGCAAAGTATTCGATGATTGCCTGCAAATGTGGGGCAGGAAATGGGAGACCCATGACCTGCTCAATGGTTTCCAAGGACTAACGATCTTGAGATCGAAAGGCTTGGAATGGTGTAAAGGGTTGCAAATGAAGACCATTGACTCTCTTTGCTCCCAAAACTAGTGGATCTTTCAGGGCACGATCCCCGCGCAACATCTATCACATGATATGGGGCCAGGTATGTCCCTCTACTGGGGTCCCCGGGCCAAATATAGCGCCAAGTTGTGTGCACAGCACATGGGTTCCATCCTCCAATTCCTCCATCTTCAGACTCTGCCATATTCTGCCATGTCATGGGGATACCAGGATACATCCCTTAAGCACCCAGCGAGAAATCCAGATTGTGACAGTATACTCGAATTATATCCTGGTGCCAAACCTGACCCATGATCCCACGAAATTGATCAACCAGGGACATGAACCCATTTGATCGGTGTTAAAAAGCATCTGTTTCAACCCTACTGGTTGGTTCAGAACAGTATTCCCATCATGGCTGAAAGGACTCCCCGATATACAAAGGCTAATATGATAATCTCGAAAGACAACTACATCAACTAATATGACTCATATACATCGTTCATGTTTAGACATCCTATGATTCCTGGACGCATATCCCCTCAAAACAACAACAACAACAACAACAACAAACAACAACAACAACAACAAGATTAGTAACGTTGAGATTTTAATAGTGGTTTAGCTAGCAGCCAAGCTACAGGGATTGAAGGCATACGTGGCTTCGGCCATCAAACACTGCACACACGTGTCCTGACATGTGACAGCGATGTGCGATACTGGAAACAACGCACTGCAAAGCTGCAGTTGCTTAGACAGTTCTGGAGAGATTATCGTTATATATTTCAACAACAAAATACAACAAATATACAGTTTTTAGATTTTCTGGGGTACATGAAAACTGATTGAAATCACCAACAAGAAGAGATAGGAGAGCCAATAAATGCTACATTTTTGTGGCACCTAGGGGTAGTCTACCAGCATAGCCTAGCTTAACAAATAGAAGGATCATCTGGTGATACCCTCTGGACATTTAACACAGCCTAGCTAGTGAAAATGGCCATTTAGTGCTTTGGTTTACCCATGACAAATGATGATTTTCCTGTTCGCTATCTGTTAGTTTACAGTACCTGGTGATATTCAACACTTTCGGCTTCCACTCTCCAACTCTTGATATCCGATGCTTGCCGCATACGATGGTGACGGAAAGATGTTCCTCGCTATTTGACGGCAGTACCTTGGGGTATACCTTGGTTTCTGAGCCACCAAACAATTCCTTCTGGGTTCCTTATAGTTCATTATTGTCAAGCAGGTTAGCTGTTGGACGTATGGCAGGTATGTCTCTATGCTGAATGGGGTTTATAAACCAAGATAACTGGGGGGCACCACCTTGCAGCAATGGATGTTCATCGCATATTCAGTATGGATTGAGAATATTGACTGATCATCGATTGATGAGATGGATAATTGATGCTTATCCATCAATCCCCTTGTGATTGTATATTGTAATACACATCTATGCAATGTATATATATATAATTATATATATATATATATTTATATATATATGTACACACATTAGGGTTTGTCATAAAGTAGAACACAGGATACCACCAAAAAACACGGTGTAATCATCCATTTCCCTTCCAAACATGCTATTTGGGCATGGGAGTATACCCCGTTTTCAGACAAAAGCGAAATCTGGTCCGGATGATAAAATTCTCTGGAAATTCCACCAGCCTGAATTAAGACCCTTTCCCATGGAGATAATCCATTACCAAGCATCATTCCAGTGAGGCTGCGACGTGAGGTCGTGATCAGATTTAAGTAGACATATCCCATCATATCCCCATTGTTGGTTTGTTGGTGATATATTCCCACTTGTCCACTATATCCCTATTTTATCCTTACAATCCTTACTCTATCATCATTACATCATGATATATCATATCCTTATATCAGATGATAAGTGGATACAATCATTACAGATGATATCAGATGCTTCTATCCTTACTATATCCTCACAATCCCTATTGTTCACCAAACGTTCACGGCCCCCTCCTCGTGCTCCAGCCCTTCATTCGGCGGCACCGCCGAGCCAGCAAGGGCAGGCGCCGTTTTGCCAGCGGTCATGGTCACCTAAAGCTCCAGCGGAGACGTTTGAACCTTAAAAACACTGTTGTAGAGCTGGGGGTTTCCATAAAGGAGGATACCCCAATAGCTGGATGGTTGATAATTTGATAATGAAAAATCGTCCCAAAAAATGATGAGTTCCTGGTAGCCCTATTTTAGGAAACCTCCATCTACTGAAACTGACTGGTTGTTACAACTGAAACTCTTGGCCGAGGTCACTATGCCAATTCTGGAATAATGTGGAATATATATATATATACATATATATACATATATATATATACATATATATATATACACTAATATATACGAAAAAAAAAGGCAGAATCAGAATGCCTCTCAATCTTTAACATTACATGTTTCAGCATAAAAGCATCTAAATGATCTCAGTGTCCTGCTTTTCCCCATCAATCCTATCTCGTAATATCTAACAATAGATTATCCAAATCCAAACCCCAACAAGAAACATAATCAAAATACTAAACCAGGGTTTCTATAGATCTCCTCTATAGATATTCCTCTATAGAAACCCTGGTTTACTTTTTTGAATATATAGAGGAATTATCTATATTTGTTCTGGAGATCGAACTTGACTCGGACCTCGGACCTCGAACCTCGGACCTCGGACCTCGGACCTCGGACCTCGGACCTCGAACCTCGGACCTCGAACCTCGGACCTCGGACCTCGGACCTCGACCTTGGACCTCGGGTCGGGCTCGTTGCCAAGTGCGTTCTGATAAAAACCATACTAAACCAGGGTTTCTAGAGGAATATCTATACTAAACCAGGGGACATGGATTCTACGATTCTCATATTTCAGTTACACCTCCTGGTCGCCGCAACACACCATTAGTTCCGGAAACCAAGGTTCTTCTTTACGAAGCCCATCCAGAAAGTAAAGCCGAATTTCACCAGCCCGCGCCATCCTTTTTGGGAATTCTTCTATAGGCAACAACCACCTATATCATTCTGACAATCACTTTTATAAGGTATCATTACTACACGTATGACTGCTATAATTATTATCATTATTACAATAATTCTTACTCAACATGTATATTAAAATCAAGTCTATATGTGGGTGTATGTATATACACATATTATATATATATATATTACTAAATATATATATACTGAATATATATATATATATAATATTATATATATTATATTATATATATAATAAAATATAATGTATATATATAATATTTATAATATCATATGGCAAACATGTCCACAAGATCTTGCTATATCCTTTCAAATCAACCCATAGCCACATGAATGACACCGGATCTGACGTCCTCTTGTAGCAGGAATGGCAGCTGGAACGCCAGCACCAAACCTCCACCGTCCAACCCTCAACGCGGCTGGCGATGGTCCGCACGAGGTTCTGAAAATTGGCACCTGCCTGAGCATTGTTAGAAGATTTTTTCAGGGATTGTTCCACCATGTTCCAGCCATCTTTCCCAGCAAACATCATTGTAGTTGTTGCTTCAATCCCCCATGAAAAATCCTGCTTATCCCGAGAAATCGGCCCTATGGGTGCTGTGAAACTTCCGTGTTCCATAGCAGGACGAATTTCATAGTTGGAGGCAAGGCCTGACAATCAGCGAGGATGGTGGAAGAAGTTAAAATACGTCTAAGATGTACACAAATCAAGCATCTAGCGCTGTGAAAGCCAAAATTTGATTTATTCATTTATACTCGGTTCATCTCAGTGCATAATCTATTGACTCTTCAGTACTGTTCCAAGATGTTGAATGCTCAGTTTGAAAAAGAACGAATTGAACGGGAGGGAATGGCTGAAAATTATGGAGATCATTTGCTACAAAATCACCAGGCAATCTGTGGCCTAACATCAATTCAGCCACAGGACCCCAATACGAAAGCTGGTCATGGGCAGGTTTGCATCTGGATTTGCATGAAAAAGCTACCTGTGGATTTGTCATGCAAACTACAGACTTTTTAGGCAAGACCTACTATACCTACTGCTGTATACAGTAGATTTGATAATCATGTACTCCCATATGCTAAAATTATTGCTGGATGTTGGTTGGCAGTGTCTCGTGAAGTACTTAGTTCACTGGGCTATACATTACAATTTCAAACTGCTTGGATATGCATTCCAGTCCGTAGCCAGTTTTCACATTCCACGAGTAACCGGATGATGCTCATGGTTCTGAAGCACTTACGACTATATATATATAACCATAGCAATATACAATCATAATGATCATAAGATATCATAAGCAAATTATGATCATTCTAATCATAAAAGCTACCCTCCGGAAATTCATCATAAGAGCAATCCTCTAGTAATTCAACATAGCTAGTGATTGTTTTCCATGAGTTTTCATGCTTTTCCATGCTTTTCCATAGGTATGTGAATTACCAACAGATATATGTATCCCCAAACTAGAAGTATAACCCCAATAGACCCCCCCTGCTATGATCCCCCCTGCCATGATCTACCCAAAGTGATGATTCTTCAGTTCACTATGTGAAACTACCAAAGGTATATTCCAGGTCGTATCTTTAAAAAATCCCAATTCAATCCCATTACTGTACAATAATGCCCATTAAATCCCACTATTTCCCATTAAATCCCACTATTTCCCATTAAATCCCTATTCAATCGCCACTATGCCCCTGGTTAGCCATGGCCATGCAGGGCCATGCAGCTGTGTTGGGCGCTTGACCCTCCAGATTTCCATCGCCCGTCGCAAGGACCAGGACGTGACTGCCAGATCCGACAGGTTGCAGCACGTGCATCAAGGCTTCTCCTGGAAGCTTCGCCAGGGGAGATAAAGAACATGTGTTTATTTGGTCGTTTTCCTATGTATAATAAATATAATATGTATAAGTACATTGTGTATATATATACATATTGTACCATATATATATACTATATATATAATATAATCTCGCGAAAACATCACATTACAGTAGGCTTATTATTATAATGTAGATATTGCATTAATTCACATTAATTCACTATGTTTATATTATATTACATGACATGATAGATATTCTAGTTATAATACAAGTAGTGTTAGATAGTTCTATATAGTATATTATAGGTTATCATATGTACACATCCAAATATCTGTGCAACACGATTGACTAAGATGAAAAATGCAGGTGTCTCCTACAAGACGTCCATCCACAAACTCCTCCCGGTTGGTTCTGGGATCTCGATGTGCAGTGCAAACTTCATATCCTTCACCTGGTACAGAGTTTCAGCAAATCCCACAACAAAAGTGACTCGATCATTCCAAGTAACATCTCATCATAGAACATCATATAACAAGAGCAACAACGAATCAGGATAAATCATGGCAAATAAGGATACATCATGAACAATCAGCAAAAATCAGCACCAAGAAAAGTGCGTTGCCTTTCGCCACGTGACGTTTCCAAGCCGCCCAGAAGCGCTGACTGGAAGGCCGCGAACCCATGACCACCCGACGTGACAACTTCCTGACGCCCTGTACCATGGAGGTGAAGCCCCGAATGGAGATGCGTTGCCTTGGGCATGGACCCATCGAGGGCCAAAGGCTTGGATGAACGGCTCTATTTGGGTTTACCACATGACTATGATGATTTCTGATGATTTCTGATGATGATGATGATTATGATTTTGATTATGATGATGTGTTAACCATTGAACCATTCAGATGTAAAAAAACGCTAACAGATACCTCACGTATTTCCAAAATGAATCAAAATGATGGATTCGCTTCAAAACCCACAGCAAGTTATCAAGCATCTTTTTTCCCACTGCCCAGTGCTGGTTTCAATCACCGAACTCCACCGAGCTCAGCCCGGGACTGAAAGTCGCGGAAACCGTTGGGGAGCAGCTGACAACCGATGCAAATGTTGCCTCGCTGGATCAACATCTGGGTGGAAGAAATCCTGCACCACCTTGGATGGTGGAAATCCTATATATGTATATGTATATGTAAATATAAACATATATATATATATGTTATATATATATATATGTAAATATATGTTAATATATATATACATATATTTACATATATATATATATGTAAATATATGTATATATATATACATGTATGTATGTATATATATGTATATATATATATATATATATGTAAATATATGTAAATATAAATATATAAATATATATATATATATGTATATATATAATGTATATATATCATGGATAAATATAATGGGTTTATCCTTGGATATGTATAATGGATTATTATAACGGGATAAAGATGGATGTGCACAGTGGATTTCCCCCCCTTGCTTTGTGGCGTTCCCTGGTTCCCAGAATGATGGACTGACCTGACTGACACTCTCTGGGTCAAGGCCCGTTTGATTAGGTCCGCACCATGCATGTTAGGAATAAACAACACTAATTATATATATATATATATACTGTATATATATATTGGTATATATATATATCTTTTAAATAGTGGGGAACTTCAAAATTACATAATCAATCTGGACGTATTGATCTGATCTGGGGTTGACATTGTGGATGTTAAAAACTGTAGTTTTCAACTCAGTCGAACGCTTACCTAACTATGCTTCTGGCGGCGAACATCCGCTGGTTTCTTTTTTTTCGACATCCTTGGACGGTGACATCGAGGTGTCATATATAAACCAACTGCGGAACCTTAGTTCTCAAAAAATGGAAACCAAAAAAAACAATAAAAAACATGATCAGAGATGGCTAGATGGGATATGTTTCATCAGGACATCCCTTTTTTCGGTCGCCAAGTCACTGTTGTCCACAAAGACATGCACCGTTTGAGAGCGTTCTTGGAGGATTGATTGCTCAACTTCTGCAAAGGGCTGCTGAGTGCTGCTGAAAGAAATCAGGTGATTTTCCAAGGCGCTCCTCGCAAGTCGCGGAGATGGTGAAATATGTGAAATGGTCAGTAACTGGGGTACAACATGCTACAACATATCTTTAAAATCCTTTAAACATGTCCCATGCCAGTATGTTAAGAAGCATGGTTTATATGGTTTGTTCCTTCATGCAACCATGCGCGTTGGGTGGCCAAAAAAGGGGTTGGGGTTCATGCCACCAGTCGCCCCAGGAGTCTTTGCGGTTTGATTGATCCTGCTTGTTCCATTCAGAACGGCCGAAATTCAATTCTGTCTTTCATGACACTTTTTAGAAGGGCCACCCTTCTGAAAAAGAAGTGAAACTCTGAGAATCTCTCAGACCAAGTGTAGTGCAACACAACTAAACAATCACAAACAAATGACCCCAAATCATCCAAGTCCTTAGACCATGACTTAGAATTGAAACCCATGGTCACTTGGGGTTTTAGAACAGTTCCTTCACCTGCTCCAGTTCGGCCAGAGCCAGAACTGGCATCAGGGTCACTGCAAAATGCTGCCTCCCAGCTCTGTGAGTTGGTGTAGTATTGTGTAGTTATATGGGAATGGGTCAAAACCCTGGTACCTAGTGAACCCCAAAATAGCTGGTAAATGGATGTTCATCCCACTAAAAATGGTATCTATAGGTATTGACCCATACCCATATATAAACCACAATCCCATCCTTGAACTACCGAACTCCACAAACTGAGCTTTTTTCACTGTGGCACCAGACGTTAAAAATCTTCACCGCACCGCCCGAGCCTGGCATGTTCCAACACATCAGGTGGCCCACAGAGGCGCAGGGCACGCAGGGCACGGAGGTCGGAGGCAGGCTGTGGTTCCACCAGGATCTGCAGATGCGGTTGGCATTGGACAAAATTGGACATATGGGATTTAACCATGTAGATCATTGGGGAGAACATTGTCAAATCTCAAAACTCTATGGTTGAAAGTTCATTTGAAACTGCCAACCAGGTCTTGTAGCCAACATGAATGGAGATTCTCCTATGAAAGCAGGACATATCGTATTCAATAACTAGTCACCCATGTTATCAACAGATTTCAACATGATCTTTGCCACAGAGTGTATGGTATGTTCAAATTGACGCGTAACGGAACATGGGTAGTATAAGACACACAAGAAGGATCGAGAAGAGGGGATCCAACAAACTGGGAACCGATGGCCAGAGCATGCCTACTTTGGACACGACATTTGCGGAGCTGGGCTCAGCTCATGAGAATCCGACCCTAAGTCAGCAGAATACATGCTGCGCGTAATCAGATGGGCACAGGTCAGACATTCTATGACCCACACAGAGTTTGATCAACTTGGATAACTATTACGCTCCCATATGGTTTGCAAGAAATAGGGTAGTCGGGTAGTCCAACAATTATATGTTCTTTATTGTTTGTTTCCATCAATCGCCCCTATTGAACCTTGCCCTTCGCAAGTACCCCCCATTTTCAAAAACACCAAAATATACATTATGATCAATATCTAAACATATCTAAACAATATCGATTCATGGTTAATCCTTATTTTTCGAAATCATAGATGGTTAAATATGTTAAATCCCACCATCTTCAAATGTTGAAGCCTCCTTCCGGCGCGGATCCCGGGCCGACCTCCACACCCAGGCTCCGACGCAAAAACTGAAGGTGGACGCCTGTGGAATTATTTTGGTGGGAACATTGTGTAATGAAAGATCTTCCATTGCCATGTTTGAATGCCATGTTGGGTATAATTTTTGGACTTTATTCTGAAAAAAGACATTCATCCAGCTTGTGATCATGGAATGTGAATAGGTGCAACTGGTTTTCAGGTCATGTGTAATGTTTCAAACCATGCCCCCCCTCCCCCTTCGAAGGTTGGATTGCGCTGATTTGAGCGTCAGAACTCCAACCCTTCGAAGCAGGGCAGCACCTTCAGGGCCCATGAAGCGCGCCAGCAAAGTCTCAGGAACCAGGATCTGCTCCTCGGCATGGAGAAGTGGTTGGGCGTTCCAAAGATGGGGATAATTTGAAAACCTTACCCTCTGGTAAACTAACATAGCCATGGAAAATGGCCCATTTATAGACGGTTTACCTATTAAAGATTGTGATTTTCTATAGCTATGTTAAATTACCAGAGGGTAGTTGATATTTTTTTTGATTTCCTAAGTGATTCAAGCTCTGATGAAATCTAAAACAGCTTCACCGGTGATTTTTGGATCCCTGTTTCAATGATTTAATAGCACACCTTTGAAAGCCTGGCCGAATAAACACCGCGTGTTCGCATGTTCTCCATCTTTACCCCAGGTACACATGTCATGTCAGCATTTTCAGGATATTGGGCCATATCCACCAGAGTAAAATCATCTTCGGGACCCTATACAAATCTATATACAGTATATTATCATTATATAATTCTAAATACAGTAAATATACAGTAAATATAAATCTAAATACAGTATATTAGATATAATTCTATATATATATATATTTACACATGTAAATCATATCTTCATTGGATCTGGCTGTCGCTGCAAAGCCGCTGTCAACTCCACCCTCAACGAGGAGAGGCGCGCCAACTCCTGGGCGATTATGACCCAGTCATACCCAGTCGCTCCGAACAAATGGTGGCTTCACTGGACATTTCCTTAAAAAAAAACTGTAAAAAATGTGTCAAAACCTTGTACCCCTGTAGTTCACATCAAAATAGCTGGGATTTATGGATGTTCATTCCCCTAAAAATGGTATTAATAGGTATTGATCCATACCCAAATGGAAGTTTGAATGGGATGATTATCAGAAAATCAATGATCATCAATGAACATTGAACATCATCGAATCAACATTGAAATGGGAAAATCATGAAAATCAAACCGCTCTTGGAACATCCAGGTAGGGTGGATTCTAACTTCAATGGCTCCAGGCCGGACTTTTTGTGGCGAGGCCCAACTACAATTCTCATCAAACTTGTGGACTGTTCGTCATCTCTCCTCAGAAAACACAAAAAAAAGCTGGGGAGATTCAGAGTCTACTCCCCATGTTTTCTCATTGCAGCCCTCCAAGTCTGTTGTCGGGTTCAATTCATATCCCCACCCTTCCAATCAAAGGTTCAAAGGTTAATAAAGTGAATTTTCCCATGAAAAATGGTGATTTTCCATAGTTTTTTGTGTGTTTACCAGAGGTTAATAAAGCCTAGGATCTACCTGAATCTCCTCCTGCAGTGTGTTCAGATCCAACCTTTGCCAGGACCGAGAGAAAAGCTCCAGCTGCTGCTCCGAAATTCGACCGAAACTGGCGGTGAAAATTGGGCGGAACTGACCCAAACTTAAAGGATGGACATGCCAGTCATGGCCAAGCATGGTAGGAAATCACTGTCATCATTATCATCTCTTTTTGTGCCATTGGTTGTTTTTTAAGTGTTGCTTCTCCTAGTCGTAAATGAATGATATGACTGAGCATTCTGGATTGAATTCTATTTGATGCAGGTTAGCAAGTCTCAAATGAATCAAGTTCATATCTCCTGAAAACCGTCACATGATACTGCAAGCTTTGTCTCATTCATCCTTGATGCTGTTCTGGCAGTTTCAACTCTCTGGAAAAAAAACTTATCTACCTTAAAGCCACTGAGGATCATCATACCATTGTAATCAATCGTCGTTTCCAAATTCTTATTTGTTTTAGTCACTTCCTATTCTGCGAGTATCAATAAAGATCCTTATTTATTTTCCAGTGTCAGATACCCTTAAACATGTTGTTTTTTCATAACCTGTTTTTTAAAAAATAGTTATTCACAGTTTTATATCTTTAGCAAGCTACACTATATATATATATATAAAGTATGTTCCTATCCAGTTGGTCTCTCCATTCAGTTGATAAGAACTTCCATGTCACCCTTGTGTTCCGCTCCAAGCAACAGCTGATACCTTCGCAGGAAGAAGGACAGGTGGTACAGCATCCCATCCTTGAGCTGCTTGCCTCAGGCCACCACACTTCCCAATTTTGAGAAAAAAAACATGTTTTTTACCAATCAAAAAGTAGAGCTGTCTCCATTCGGACATGATCCATCCATCCCAAAGTAGGGCTTTCAGTTTCCGGCCGGTGAATTCCGGGCCCATGGCCATCATGGTAACCGTTGTCTTTCAGCAGCCAGGCAACTTCATCAACCCCTTGGATTTCGGTATTTCTTGTTATGAAACCATCCACATTCCCGGTATCCAATGCTGAGCCAAGACATTCCAAGATTCCAAGACAGCATGAATCTAACGAATGGTTTCAGGGCTATAGTTCTCACCCAACTCATCATATCTATTATATAGGGTTTCTCTGAACTTGCGTATAGTATAATAATGTATGATATTGTATGATATATACCCAAATTGCCGCCTTTTTTTTGGGAAAAGTGAGGGGTAATCCTTCAGAGTTGGATCATGTATGATCATGTCACATGTCTTTCAAACTTCGAATTCCAGTGGTCATTTTTTTTTCCATCTTGCAACCCTGCTGCAGTAGTCCGGGTCCAGATCCATGCGTGCCACGACCTCCTCATGATCTCGGCTCACGGATCGATGTCTCGAGCTCTCGCGCTGGCTGGTGGCTGGCATCAAATCTCTTCGGCGGCCGGTGGGGTGCTCAAAACGACAAATACCTCAGGTGGCTTAGAATTCTCCAAAGATCACCAAAAGTATCCAAAAGTACGGGAACCACATATCCTTTGAAGCTTGAAGGTTGCAAGAAAGCTTTGCAATAGCAAAATGCCATGGCTTTCCTGCATTTTGTTTCCTTGATCCATCTCCAGAATGTCCCTGAAACATCCTGAAATAAATGGAGGCCGGGGCCATTGGACATGGATAAGGAACATGTTTGCAATGTTTAGCAGCAAATCAGGGAACCCAGAAACATACACACACGCGTTTATAGTTTTTTTTCGCCGGGGGCCCAAGATGGCCCAAGCACTTCTTTGGCACTCCAAATCACGGTGCGGCACAGAGGTGTAGTACGCAAACATGGGGAAAGGTTACCGAAGTGTGTTAAGGGTGCAATGTGTTGGACGTACCTGCATGAATTGATATTGCAAGAATCTTCATTGAACCCACTAGTACAGCATAACCCCAGATACTCATCAACCAAGGCCAAAAAAACTGAAGCGGTCTCCGGATGAACAAAGTGGAGAGGTGCTGCGTGTGCATTCGAAGCCATCAAAGCAGCGCCCTTTTCCTCGAGCCTTTCCTCGATCCACCGATGCTGCACGCCACCCATCGATCGCCCGTCCATCAGGATGCTGAAACCAACAATCCACACGTGTGCCTCGGATGGCACACTGGTGGCACGATGTGACATCCTGGGAGTCTTGAAACTCGCTGGAACAGCTACTGATTCAACAGATTTACTAGTACATGCAAGATCAAAACTGACGAACTTGACAAGCACTTCTTTGAAACTTGCAAAACCACAATGAAAAACCACAATTGTCACACGGGAAACACACCTGGGATATCCGCATAAATAGCTATGGATGTTCATCTCCCCCAATCCACATGCAGATGGTCTGTTGGTTTGTAGCCCCCAGAGCTGATATGTTGATATGTTGATATGGCTTTGTCGGAAATAGGACATTTAATTAGTCCAAAAACCACTGGTGAATCATATTTGGATATACAGTATTTCGATGTATTTCGTGGGGTATACCGGATCTTTCAAACTCCCATCTTATCTGGTTGGTGGTTTTAACAATCTTGAAAAATATGAAAGTCAATGGTTGGTGGTTTTATCCCATATATTCTGGAACATAAAAACATGTTTGAAACCACCAACCAGTTGAGTTAACATTTGCTGTTCGTCATGCCACCCACTGGATCCAACGATGCCGGCGTCTTCTTTTCTGAGTTGGTTTAGTTCAGATCCAGGATCTATGGTGATTACATACATCTAGATATCTATCTAGTATATTTATAGTATAATATAGTATGTAATAAGGTGTATATATATATATATTATGTAATATAGTGTGTATATATATAATATACATATACTGTGTATATATATAATTATATATATATATAATACATATATAATATAATACATGACTGGATAACTATGGTTTACGGATGTTTACAGTAGATATTTCCACAGTTAATGCATGTTAATGGGCTTTTTCAGCCAAGGTGCAGTGGAAACCATAGTGACATTGGCCCCTCCCTCTCCAGCCATCCAGCGACGCTGCGCGAGATCGACTGGCACCATACCTGGGGGAAAGATGGGAAAGGAAAAAACAACGACTTGCTCCCCTCAGTCTGTTTGGGACAAACGGGTCATTTCACCAACAAATGAAGAAAACACATGCTCTATAAAACATGCTAAGACATGCTAATAAGATTCTAATAAGACATATATAATAGACCGAACAGTGAAACACTGTTGCCCCAAGAACAACAAACTGCACAACTTTCAACAGTTGTCAACAGCCAACATTGTCAACATTGTCAACATGACCATTCTAACAGCCCAGATACCCGTCTTGATATCCACCTTTTCCTTTGCCCTTCCAGGTAGATCGTCCCCGTCTTGGCGTCACAGCGCTCACAGCAGACTCTGGCGGCTCACGGACAGAGGCCTCGTTGGGCTCGTCGTTCCAAGGACCTGCAGCCCTTGGGCCCTTGGGAGTGGCAATGTAGTTAAGATATGTTAAGATTCAGCTCCTAATATATACACTATCTCCCATGCAAAATCAGGACAAGTAGAATGTTTTTGTTGGACAATTCTAGAAAATGGGCGGAATCATCACACACTATTCCCAAGCATCAAATGTTCTTTTTGGTCATAGCACATGTCCTTTTCTTCGCAGCGAGCCGATTCATGAGATCACCATAGATCACCACAATCCGGCACAGCATCTCCTGCCTGCCGTCTCTGGCACCGCGGCAGCTGCATCAACTGTAGAGGGCTCGTGGTTCAAGGAGGCATCGTTAAGCTGGCCTGGAACAACTGTTGTAGCCAGTTGAGACTTGATTATTTCACATTTCAATGGGAATATGTGTGTGTGTATGCACTATGTTTATGTTTCAGCAATAATACTTGGTTGTTCACCACACTTAGGAAGTCGGTTATGACCCCAGTCATACGTGAACAAACCCTACTTACCCTTTTTTGTAACTCAGGCATACTTAGGCTATAACTATGACCCACTTACTAGCTATGGTGAACTGAACAGCCAGTATATAATGTAATATAGCCAGTCCATCCCTGAAGCTGATGTAATTCACTGTACGACTTGCCAAGAACAATAGCTCGAGTCTGCTAGAATGGTTGTGGACTATATACTTGTGATTAGGTTTACAGTACATATCTATGATTTCCGCTTTAAATAGCTACGTGACAGCAACTGCATCATTTCTTGATGTCTTCGTCTGGACTCTATACATGTTGAAGCTCGTTAAAGCTGCACATTCTCACAGAAGTCTGACAGTCTAGTGACCTGGTGGTGCTAACAAGCTCTCTTTCACCATTTTGTGTGTGGCAACATATGGTAACTATCAAGCTATCAACTGCTATCTATTATCCCTCCGGAAATCAAGCGTGGAAAATCCAATATTTATAGATTTATACATGATTTCATAGATGTTGTTCCCATTAACACCTCCATGTTTAGGGCATTCCCACTCGCCACGTTTGACTGGGTCGGGTCTCTGGCCATCCGTAAGGCCCATAATTTCTCTGGGTAAATACAAAGAATTCACTCACCTGAAATAACCGCACCCATACCCTCTGGTTTTTTAACATAGCCATGGAAAATGGTCCATTTATAGATGGTTTACCTATTAAAAATATTTAAAAATGGTGATTTTCCATGGCTATGTTAGTCACAACCACATGGTAAGATGAAATAAAACTATTTCAAGGGATAATTCCAGTCTGGTATCATTTCCCTAACCATGGCACCATGACACCATGGATCTAGTGAGGTCTCAGTGAGGTTGCTATATCCAGATTTGTCTTAAGTAACATACCCTCTGGATCCCTCTGGCAATTAAACCTATAGCAATGGGACATTATTGAGCAGTATGAACCACTTATCTACAAAGCAAATGTCAAATGGCCAATTAAACCAGTATTAAACATACTATTTCTGACAATGTCAAATGGAAAAAGTATGAACCACATATCTACAAATGAACATCACACTGCTGGTTTCAATCCCCAAAATTATGAGTGAATTGAGACTATTCTCTCAACATAGGGTTGAACATGAAACATATGTGCAACAACCAAACAGAAACAACCAAATATCCAACGATAAAAATCATGGTGATTTTCCACTGCTGCACCTTCAGTCTCTGGCCCATTTGGAGCGCCAGCTGCTTCAGTTTCGAAATCTTCAGCCGTGCTGGAAACATCAGCTGAAGGTGAAACCTTGGATGGATATCCTACCCATCCTACCCTCCTAAGACCGCTGAGTTGCTCGTCTTTGGGGCGGTTGGAGAAAAACATCACTCTGGACTTGGGGATGGTGTAAAGTGCACGTTAAATTTTGAACTGCTTGATAGAGAGCAAGTGTCTCTAACTTTTGGCTTGCTGTCCATCTCTAGAAGTATCGGCTGGGAATGCTTGGTAGGATTCTACGCACGCTCTTCAAGATTGAACGAAGTGTCAAAGACTCTTGTATAGATCTGGAAAAGGGTTGATCTACCATTCATGAGCCCATCTGGTATTGGTACTGTACTGCAAAAGTGTAATGTCCAACCTATCCAACTGATGAATATCTTTCTGTCTTTGCCTCTCTTTATGCTTGCTGGGCTGCAACATGGCTTTCCAGTGATAAACAAGGTCGTGCCCCCGGACAGTTGACTGCCATCACCCCACGTGTGACAAGTAAATCATCCATTTTTGCTGCTTGAACTGTTTGTTCCATCTCCATCTGCTGTCCCCTGGGCCCAGGAACCTCTTGTCTTTCGAGAACCTCCGGTCCAGCTTTTTCCAGCTCCAGAGGCTGTTTTGAACAACAGCGAAAGAAGGACAGAAATCGAAAGCCTGGGGCAGATGGAGAAAAGATCGGGAAGCCTCATGGGCGTTTCTAGGGCCGCGGGGAAGGTTTTTGCCTAAAAATGGAGAGCAAACAATCTCAGATTTGATTTAGACAACAACAAAAAGAAATAGAATGGCCTACGGCTTAATTTGAGTGATCAATTGGGGTTGAAGTGGTGGGATTTTTCGCTTGAGGCCATGAAGGTGTTTAGGTGGACATGTCTCGAATGAAGGTCGGATCCTCCATTCATCCAAGTCTCGGTGGCGAAGAACGAAAACGTGGGCAATCCGCTGTCTGGAAAGTCATCCCAAACTTCAAGCCGGGGGGATTCTAATGGATACTCTCTCTCTCTCTCTCTTTGGTAGATGATGATGTTGGGATATTTTGGTATATTCAATCATTCACCATGGGACCACTATCAAAGTGAATCGACAACAACATCAACACTGGTGCTTTCTACGCATCCCAAACACATCCAAACCATTCTAATCCCAACAATCGCCCCCGGATTCTCAGGGCCAAGGCGCCACTTCTTCTTTCGCCCGCCATTTTTGTTGGCCAATCCCAGGGAGTTCAGGGTAGTGGAAACCATGGCCGTGGAATGCCATGGCTGTGTGTCAGTTTAAATATGTTTGAAACACAGCCAACTTTCTTGATGAGCTTTTCTTTGCCAACTATAGATGATAAGTATGTAAGACACGCAGATACGAAACAAGATCTTTCCCTAAACAGACAATGCTTCGCTCCGACGCCTGTATGGATCATGTTTGAAGCATCCAAACGGAGGGTTCCCAAAACCAACAAGTTGATCTTGGCGTTGCCGTGTTTTTGATGCTATCCTCATGTATCCTCCTACTTGATCAAATATATCAAACAGAATAACATCTCTCCCATGGTTCCGGTAGGCCGCTAGCAATTCAGCCTTACCACCAGTTTGATGTCAGAATTGGGTGTCACCCTTCTTTTCCTGGATAACTTGGGCCCTTAATTATATCATGTTCCATCCCAAAAAGTGACAATCTGCTGGAGAAATGCTGAGGCAAACCTACCAGCCTACCAGGTGGTTATTAATCCAGTGCTGGGGCTAAAACTGGATGGACCTTCACATGCCTTGACCTGCCCGAAAAAATGACTGGCACCCAAAGGTGGCCACTGTGGCTGGCGTAGCCCTTTTGCCCTTTACCTTGACCCTCAGAGCCACAGAATACCCATTAAAAAATCGGAAAAAATGCTGAAGTCATCCAAGATACCCGTTTTCAAAGAATATTTTGAACTGACCTGTTATTATTTTCTTCCCCCGGCCCTGCTCGTCAAAACACTCCCCAGGCTGCAGCGATTTTCTTCTTTGAGTTTTGCATTGGCCTCAGTGGACAGCAAATTTAAACGGGAGAATGAAGATATAGACCACTCAATTATGGGCTACTACCCAATCTTTAGATCAACCCATTCAAGGGTACATCCGCCTTTTTGGCTGTCCGTTCGCTAGGAGTATAATATAGATATTTGATGATATTGGTATCATTGGAATGCGTTGATTGTTTCAAGCCACCGTAGCAAGATTCGATTTGGCAATCCGGGACCTTTCCATTGTCTGTTTGAGATGATGCACCATGATTATATCCAAGACACGTCTCATCATCGCTATCAAGACCTGACAGTTGTTCTTCTGACACGATGAGCTACACTGATAATTAACTCCCAGAAAAACGGAAACAATAACAGAACCCTTTTGTGACTGCGACTCAATTTGGCATACTCCCATCGTCCCATTTGGCTATACCCAGAGCTCTTTTCCCGTCGCAGCCATAGTCACTTGGTGATGTTGTTTTTTCTCCATTATCTTGTAAGGCTCAGATCACAATATATAAAAAGGTAAACATACGTAAACCCAGACGGGAACTACTTGGGATATTATACAAAACAAAACATATCAACAAAATAGATATCAACAATATATCAAACTACACGTATGTTTTACAGAGTCAGAGTAGAAAACCAAGTCCATCAGTATCATCAGTCGTCCCCAATTTGGTCTCAAAAAACACCTGGTCAGCTTCCCTCGTTCTTAGTCATCGCCTGACAACTTCCCCCGGCCTAATTTCAGACACAACTCCTGGTATTTGGGATTCGGCCTCGGTGGACCCACACGGCATGCTGCAGAAAAATGCTATGATTTCACATGATTATTAACTGACCGGGATGATGTTGGTGAACAAATTGGTGAACAAATACAAGCACATGTTCGGGAAAAAACACATGATTTGGGCATGATCTGGAAAATGATTAGATGATTAGACATTGCCAAACTGACATGTGTACTGCAACAGGTTTTTTTTGAAGGTTCGCTTTTGGAATCACAGGTGAGTTCAACAAAATGAGGTCGTTGGAGGCACCACCCTGGTCGATATGAGTGCTGGGCCCATGCAGTGGGGGTTCAAGGAACGCATCGTATGCACTTCAGGTAGGTGGTCAGTTGATGCATAAACACACCACGAAAGCATTGACTCCGAAATCATGACATAGGTGTCAGCTTGCAGACCCAAAGGAGGTATATTAGAAATGGGTTTGTCTTGAAATAGGCTACCCCATTATACCCCATTCATTCCATCCATTGGTTAATCATCATTATTGCATATTATTGCCATATTTCATGGGCATTCTATGGGTCCCATACATCCCGTCAGACACATCCTTCAATTCATCGCCGGTTCTTTTCCGCCGCTGCGTTGAGCGTTTTGGAGATCGGGGATCAGCATCCCTTTGGGATGCCATCGGTGAACTGATCTTGCTGCCGGCAATGAAGCGACGTGGGCACGACAAGATTCCGCCCCGCTTAAGCGACGCCGGAAAGAGATTCACATCTTATTTGATGTGTACCGAATGATATCTACAGTCTAAGCACCCGAGCTAACTAGGTTCACGGCTCATATGTTGCGTCAAAGTGACATTCTGATGATGTCGATGTTGCAGCCAAATCAATGCAATTCCATGGGGTTTTATTCATCTGTGGTCGATGTCTTCAATATATATTGCCTTTTTTCCCTTCTCTGCAAAACTTCACACACTGCGTGCCCGCCAGCGTCCAACTTCGAAGAAGTTACAACGTAGAAGCAGTGTTCAAGAGGACGTTACACCGTAGAAGCAAGTTCAAGAGGACGGTACACAGCATGACGTAGGTGTAGCAACTGAAGAGAGACACGAGTCTGTGGGGATGGAAGAGAAGCACGTTGTTAGCCCCACCCCACCCCATCAGAAACCAAAAAATGTGAAAAGCACATATTTTACCACGGCAGATTGTGAGCCGTGGTCCACGTAGCAGCATAGATATTTATTGAGCGGAATACCTCCTTTACAGCAAAACATGGCTTGTCCAGGGATCGATTGGCAAGGTCGGAACAGCATTGGATGATGAAAACACTCCGCCATAAAAAAGCCCGTTGATGGCCACTTGATACCAATACGTTACAACCTTTAGCATTGCCTGTATGACAGTTCCCGAATTGACCGCATCCTCAGGAAATTCGATGAAATTCGGCTAAGCAATTCACTAAACAAAGTGTGGCATCCAATTTCTACCTCAGCCTTCAAACTACTCTTAAGAGACATTTATGTACTTGACATTGGTAGTACTAAACCATCCATTTTTGGGGGCCATGGGCTGACCATCTATTTTTAGTACTCAGCATTCCTGGGGGTTGATAACTTTGACCCAAAGCCATTTAAGCTACAAAGCAAATCAACAACACGAAATAATCAGCAACAAGTCCATGCCAGCATGCAGAATCAAGCGAGCTACCTCCGTTTTGAAGGTGTTGACCTTTACGGCTTTACGGTAAATTCGGTGTATTTGAGACGTTTCTTCCGCAATTTTAGTTCCAAAAAATATCAAAAAATCAGTCAGGTGAGTCAAAACAAAGACAGTCACACAGCACATGCGGCGTTTGAAGAAACATCCTTCACACAATTTCCCTGGCCACAACTGATTGTTGTTTTGGAGTCAGCGAATTTCCTGTACATTTAATTAAGCGTCTCCCACATCCGAGGAAGCTGGGGGAGAACGAAATCGTACAAAAGTCCAGATTAATGCAGCAGCGCTGATTCAGCAAATTCACCATTTAACCAAGGTTTCTAGCAAAGCAATGAGAGTGGGATGGGCTTCTATGGGGTCGATCATTTCCAAAAGGACCAAATCATTCTATCTGATTGGAATCTTCGCACTGCGACTGCACCAAGTGGCACCAAGGCATTTCATTGCTGGGGGAATTGAATTCAACAAAAAACTTGTGGAAGACTGTAGACTCGGTAGCCATCAGGATCCCACATCATATTCTTTTCAGATCTCTCCATTCTGGACTTTCACATGCACCACAAAGCTGCTTGGCATCCTGCAAATCCTGCAAAGCTCTGCGCCGGGGGGGGACAAAGTCTTGAAAAGAAAAGATGTGTTCAATGTTTAGTGCTCTTCAATTCTTCAATATCTGTTACCCTCTGGTAAACACAAAAAAACAATAGAAACCCGTGCTATTTCCCCGGGACTGCTCTACAAATGGTGAATTATTCAATGACTACGTATTATATACTGTGTTAGATTACTGGAGGCTATCTATTTAATCTGTGTCCATTCTAGATGGCTAAAACCAGCAGCTTCAGGCCACTTCAAGTCCACAGCCGGCAATGCATGAGATAAAACGACAAAAATTATCCACCAATTTCCTGGAATGATTTGGACTATGTATCGATTTTGGAGTCCAAAACTATTTTCATCTAGTCTTGTTGCTCGAAAATGAGCCAAAACATTTTTTTACAAGTCCAATTATACTGTGCTTCGCTTAGTGACTTAGTGCCCTCGATGTTGCTTCTCTCCTTTGAGAAAATCGGACAACAAAAACAACAGCAATCGACTCGTCATGGCCGAACCGCCCACCTCACATGTTCGAAGTGCCGCGCCGCGATGACCGCAGGCGACCTGAAGTGGCGGCCGCAGGTGACAGTGGTTCCATGCTTTCAATGTGCAACGAAAACATGGTCCAACATAGCAACGCACAGCAACCCCACAATATAATGAAATGTATGTGTAGCACCCCCCCCCGATTATATACGTGTCTATATGATGTACACTATATTTGCCACAGTTATTGGAGTAGGATTTATGTAACTGTTCAGAACAGTTCCAGCTATATTTGGATCGGGGCTTTGTATGGAGACGTGGCAGCAGAGCCACAGATCAAACAAACTGGGCCAACTGGTTGGCGGTCAGCCGTGGGCTCAACAAGAGCTCAAGTTTTCACGGCAGCATTCTGGTCCCCTTCAAGGTACTATTTTTTTTTGCGGCAGATCTTATTAGATGCATATGAGCATTCCACTTATTATTTTATCCCTTCCCGCACTAAATACCACCCCTGATGTGCCCCCGAAATGAAAACATCCGATACTGAACCAGGGTTTCCAAGGGATATTAACCGTTAGTATCTGAAAGTCCTTAACCTGGAGTAATGAATCCCCGCCTACAGGCCTAACCAGAATTACTGGTCATCCCAATGATAAGCGTGCTAGGATCATACACACTACCAAGCTATGCAAATTGAACGTTGTGTTTTTGTCCCCATGATCCTCATTGTTGCAGGTTGATCTCCTCATTTTGAGTCTTAAACATGAACCAGTTCCTCATGTTTTTTCTTCTTAAGCTGCATTAATCACAAACATGTTGCCCGTAAAACCACCATTTTTTGATGGCTCTGTACCCCATGTCCATCTGGTTGGTGGTTGGACCACACCTCCCAAAATGCCTTTTCTTTGCCAACTGGGAATCCCAATTTGGGTGACGGTATACTTATACAAAGAATACAGTAGTGGTGTTATACCCATGATACTATATATGTGTTTATACATGTATATACATGTATATATATATATATATGTAAGTATATGTATGTATGTATGTATGTATGAATGTATGAATGTATGAATGTATGAATGTATGAATGTATGAATGTATGAATGTATGACTGTATGAATGTATGCATGTATGTATGCATGTATGTATGCATGTATGTATGTATGCATGTATGCATGGATGTATGTATGTATGTATGTATGTATGTATGTATGTATGTATGTATGTATGTATGTATGTATGTATGTATGTATGTATGTATGTAATATGTATGTATATATGTATATATGTATATGTATATGTATGTATATATATATATGCATATATATATATTGATATTATATGTATATATATAATATATATATATATATTATTATATATATATATATTATATAAATGATATACTATATACATGTAAGTGTATGTCATTGAAGCAATGTCCACCGAATATAAGATATGTAAATAAACCTATATAACCACACAATATATACTTATAATGCATATAGTAGTCTCTACTGCACAACATATTTCATTGTGGCAAATGCATCATGATACCCTCTGGAACTTTAAGATAGCTATGGACAATATCTCGTTTACATATGATTTACCGGAAAAAAAAAAAAAAACATGGTCACTGTCCGTAGCTAAATTGCCAGATGTTACCCCCTGGTTATTTAACATAGCCATGGAAAATCACCATGCTATTAATAGGTAAACCATCTATTTCTATGGGCCATCTATACCATGGCTATGTTAGTCATAACCAGAGGGTAGGGATTTCTGTACCCGTTTTTTCAGGTATCCCATCTGAGATGGTGGGATGACCACATCTCAGACACCATGTTTGACCATGCCACATGTGGGTCGCTAAATTGCCAGAGGCTTTCCGAGAACATCCCAGTTGTCACCCAAGCCACTCTGTCGCAGCTCCCGCAGCTCGTCAGCGCCGGAATCTGAGCGTCCTGGTCCAAAGAAAATGGGGGAGACCCATGGTTTGACATATATATATATATATATTTATATACTGTATATATGTATATATACATAACATATTACATGTATATGCATTCCATATTGGATCTAAGTACCTTCTATGGAAGTATGACAGGGGTATGATTTGGAGTGTTGAGTCCCTTCTCAGGAAGTACGCATCTGGATCCATATATCTAATTGTTTACAGATTCATTGCCTGCTTGGATGGTTAACTTGTCCAGTTTGTTGCCGGTAAACCCGAAATGGATCCCGACTGATCATTTCTGCATTATTTGATGGCCGCTTCGGGATGTGCGCCGTTTCTGGACAACCAATACCTGGAGACCCGGGGTCCGTTTACGGATATGTGGTGTAGGTTTCCGGGCTCCGATCTGATGAATCATATGATAGGCTTTCTGCATCGTAGTTGAGAAGCAAATCTGAAGGCGCATGCATGACTGCAGAGATGCAATCAAGAGCATAATTGTGAAGTAAACCCCGAACTTCTGACAAGTGGTGGGTGGTATCAGCCAGGCTATCAAACGTGGTAAGAGCATGGGTGGCAAACGGGGATGCAACAAGATAATTGGGATGGCCACAGAAGAGCTGAAAAAGTCTCTGGTGGCGTAAGCGACAGTCAAATCAACGACGAGGTACCGATGATTGCGCAATCCAAATCAACAATTTTTGTCTGACAATATGGCGAATATGGTACCCCACAAATCCGATGGTTAATATCATTGGATTGATTTAAGGGAAAATCTACAGGAAACCATGGTTTTTACCATCAAATATAGGGCTTTCCTGTAATTTTTCCCATCATCCAATTCTATGATAATATGGTTAATATGGTACCCCTTAAATCCACTGGTATTCCAGTGGTGAATTTCTTCCTTTTCCCAAGGCACCTTGATGCCGGTTTCTCTCCTGACGGGCAAAATGCCGTCCCAGGGGTGTCGGTCTCATCCGGTGGGAGTTTAAGCCAGTAATGAAGCGGCAGAAATGGAGATAAAGTGAATATATATATAATAATAAAATATAATATAATATACCATAACATAATATATAATTATATTATATTATATTATATTATATTTTATTATATTGAATTAAATTATATTATATTATATGATATGATATTATATTATATTATATTATATTGAATTATGTTATATATTATATTAAATTATATGATATTATATTATATTAGATGATATTATATTCAATTATTTGATATTATATTATATGATATTAAATGAAATTATATTATATTGAATTATAATATATTATATTGAATTAAAAAATATCATATTATATCATATTATATTAAATTAAATTATATCATATTATATTATTTCATATTATATCACATCATATTATATTATATTATCTTATATATTGTTATTTTATATTATAGAATATTAAATTGTATTATATTATATTATATATGTGTATGATATATGTATATTATATATAATATAAAAATAATATGTACATTCTAGATATGTAAAATATGTAAAATATATGTATGATATATGTAAAATATTTTTAATAGGCGTATAATATATGTACATTATATTATTTCAAATAATAATATTTTATATTATATTAAAACATATTATATTATATAATTATATGATAATATATCATATTATATTATATTAAATTATATTATACTATATTATGTTATATCATATCATATCATATTGTATATATTTTATTATTATATTATATTATACTATAAATATATGGGGAAGGACATCTATGAATACAAATACCTGCGTGCTAATCAGATAGAATTTTATCGCACAATTGATATGGCAATGTAACAGTCAGAAAAGAAGTATACGAAGAGGTTTCAATGCAATTTGGGAGTATTGACAGAACCAACAACCTTCCAAAATCGTAAGATGATGGATTTTCTGGTTTCTCAAACAAGGGGACGGATGAAACATGGAACCTTCTACGGAAGATATCCAGAGATCTGACTGGAGCATGGAATCTACACCCAAAAAGGTAAACACACCAATGGGCACCCCCGAACGCAATACCTCAATCCATTGGGCATGATTTGGATTGGATGCAATGTTCTGAGACATTGCTGTTCAGGTAACATGTGCCTGTATATTACAAATATAATGACTACTCCAAGCAAAGTGTTATCGTTTAGCTACCAGTTCCATCAAATTCCAATCCAGTTCTGAAACGTAGGGGCGCTTATTGACAGGCCGAGCCCAAAATAAATAGTTGGAAACGCCGGAAGTCACGGAAATGATGTAGTGAACATCATTCATATGTATAAATTTTAATAATTCTCATCAGATCCAAGAATTCACTTGAATAGTACGATTAATTTGATCATAAATATCTAATATCTAAAAGTATCTACTTCATAATTCATTACTTGAATTATCTCATAAATTACGTTACTCCACTCGTTACTCTCCAATTCCGACGTCTCCGGATCTCCTGAGTGCCATCCCTGCAGCTGGTGATATCATGGAGAAACACGGGGAATTATCATACACAAGATACAAAAAAATATCCCATTGGAGGATATACCATTGGAATATGTTCCAAACTACCAATCATTATTCAGAATTATTCATCATAAATTGATATTGAGCAAGAACATCTGGACATTTTTGAAACATATTGGGCCCAAAGGGAAAGGTTTGGAACAATCAACATCAAAGATATGAACCAAGTTGGGTTCTGGGCCAAGCTAACCACCATAGAGGAAACGTTTACTAGTAGCAAATCACTTGCCACGTCTGCAACGGATTTTTGTTCACATGGGGAGTGGCTAACTTGACTATCTAAAAGGCCATCAAACACAATGAAATTGCTTTAAAAGAAATACACATGGTTCACTCAAAATAAACACTTCCTTTGAGGCCCGATGTTGGAGTCATGCACTGCTTGCCATGGGTCAAAATTTCATATCTGGCTTTAGGGGGAAGTGAGAGCCGTTTTTGGGAGTAGATCATTTTGTTTTGGGGTATTCTATTTTGACACATTGCTGCCCATGTCCGAGGACGAAACATAGTTTCAAACAACTGAAACCACCGAGTAAATACAGTAATATATGTACCATGTGGTACCCATGTATCCCATATGTGTTTGATTAAATCCACCAAGTGTTTGTTTGTTTGAAAATACCATAAATCCCCAAATTCAGTGGCTTAGCATCATTGAAAAAGAGGCAATTTGGGGGGTAGCATTTTCAGACACACCATGTCGCTTCAATCCCCATACTTGTTGGTTTAATAATGTAAAATGGTTCAACGGATGGGCATACAAACCAAACGACGACGCTGTAGATCTGGATGCACTACAGGGGACCTTCGAGACCGCCGTGGCTCCTGGCGGGGGCAAACGCCACAAGGAAAGACACAGGGGTCACTGAAATTGACAAACCATATTAACAGATGTGGCAAATACATGGGGATATACTGTAGTAATATTATTGAATACATACATAGTAATAGTGTATATATTTTTAATATATATATAATATTTTTTAATTTATATATATATAATATATATAATATATATAAAATATATATAATATAATATATATATATATATATGTATAATATAGTAGTAGTAACGACATTAGTTGTAAAATTGATGTTAACCATTGTCATACTGTATGAGAATATGGATCTAAGATTATGGGGATATTAATTACAGTACAAGTATCTACCATCAATGGGGACCCATAGCAACGGATTCATGTAGAAAACCCGATTGTTGTGATTGAACATGGAGCATATCCGCTCCCGAAGCAAATACATTTTACCCCAATGCTGTAGACAGCCACTTGATCACTTGGGGATGGTTTGTGAAACCAATTTCTGGTGAAACATTTGGGCAAGTCATTATCGGGATACCCCTTGGTTTGGTAAGATTGTCATACAATTTCGATACAATGCCAACATGGTAAGTGACAGCAACTACCCTGGAAGTCCGAATCATATCTGAAGGATTGGGGAGGTCAAAATAATGATGATGATGATGATGATGACGATGATGATGATGATGGTGACGATGGTGATGATGATGATGATGATGACGATGATGATGATGATGACGATGGTGATGATGATGATGATGACGATGATGATGATGACGATGGTGATGATGATGATGATGATGACGATGATGATGATGATGATGATGACGATGGTGATGATGATGATGATGACGATGATGATGATGATGACGATGGTGATGATGATGATGATGGTGATGATGATGATGATGTTGATGTTGCTGCTGCTGCTGATGATGATGATGATGATGATGATGATGACGATGATGATGATGATGACGATGGTGATGATGATGATGATGACGATGATGATGATGATGACGATGGTGATGATGATGATGATGGTGATGATGATGATGATGATGATGATGATGTTGATGTTGCTGCTGCTGCTGATGATGATGATGATGATGGTGATGATGATGATGAACAAGATGATGATGAGGATGATGATGATGATGGTGATGATGATGATGATGATGATGATGATGAGCAGGATGATGAGTCGGATGATGATGATGATGATGATGATGATGATGATGATGATGATGACGATGATGGTGATGATGATGATGATGATAATGATGATGATGATGATGATGATGATGATGATGATGATGATGATGATGATGATGATGATGCTATTTGGAACATTTTATGATACTGCCAAAATGGGCGGAGGACGTATAGATTTGATGCCAAAGCATATGACCAGCCTTGAGATGATATCCCTCATGGCGATCGATAGCTTTACCAGCTGTTCCAGACAGGGTACCTATTGATTAATCCCGGAAACGAACAGGAATCCCCAAAGGTCATCCAATCGTTCACTAATGGTGCTGAGTCCAGGGTAGATCTGAAAGGGATACCCTCTGGTAAACGTTAACACAGTTTGCTGTGGAAAATTGCCAAAGAAATACTGGATTTACCCATCCAAAATTGTGATTTTCCATAGTTAGTTTACCAGAGGGTATATATCCTTATATTACATGCTCAAGTAACCGTCATGATGCTCTACCCGGACTTTACCCTACATGGATTTGTCTGAGAATAAAATACCCCAACTCCACACAGTTCTGGCCCCAGTAATAGGATTATACAGTAAATGGATTGTAACATATTATCACTCCTATATAGGGCAGTTATAACATGTTATAACTATTAAGGGCTATAACTGCATGGGCTACCTTCAATTTCCCACCATAAAACCGAATAAAACCCTTACCATAACTGAGAAAGGTCTCCTCATAACGTCTGGAGCGGGGACCAATCGTCTCCTCAGATGGCTTTCGGAGTTTTCCGCTGCACCATGGCATTATACGGGAAATCATGGTCAACCGGTGGAGAAGTCCATCATTTTCACAGAAAAAAAAACGTTTTGCATGTTGACAAAATTTGGATTTCAGGAGCTTCGGCTTGTTTCTTGATCTTTGTTCATTCGAGATCTAAGATCTTTCCCGACGACTGGATTCAGATAAGAACAACTTTTGGGTGTGTAAAAACATAGGATGCTTCGTGCTATCCAACAGTTCAAAACCTTCTGGTCTCAAGTCATATATAGCAATTTTGGCGTATACGCAGGTTCTAAATCATGGGGCTTGGTCCGGTCCTTGTACACAGGGTATATCAAACAAATGCCGACTAAAATGGGAAAATAAGCCAAACGTTGCAATGAAGCTAGTAAGAAATAATATATATATATATAATAATATATATATATATATATTTATAATATAATATCTATATATAGTAGATAATATATAATATATAATATATATAAATATATATCATAAAAAATATAATATAATATATATATATAATATATATATATATTATAAATATTATAAATATTATATATAATATATTATAAATATTATATATATATAAACAATAAAATAAATATAATATATATATATATGTTATATATATAAGTTATATATATATATGAGTTATATATATATATATATATTAGTTATATATACATATATTAGTTATATATATATAACTAATAGATATATATAACTAATATATATATATATAACTAATATATATATATATAACTAGTATATATATATAACTAATATATATATATATAATTAGTTTTATATATAAAATATAATAAATATAATTAGTTATATATATATATATACATATGAAACAACTAAAATGAGAGAACGAAACAACAATTGCCACTAAAACAGGCAAAAACTGGGGAAACTCTGTTGATAATCCCTTGGACATTTCAGACCAAAACAGGATGTGCGTCCTGTGTGGAGTAGCGCGCTCGTGGCTCCGGCTCCCTGCAAAAATCGCTTGGAGGGTCCAACAAGAATAGAAACCCATGGCAAATGTATACAAATTCGCTCGAAATTGTAGGAAACTTCTCTTGAAATTCAGGGCGAAACGGCGAAACGTATTAGAAACGAGACACATTTCAAACAGAGGATGTGGTGAATCCAATATTTGATGCAAACAACTTGCAAATGATTGATGAACACTTTGTTCTAAAACATATTGGTGGGAATGCCCAAAAAATACAGCATGCGACCCAAGCGTCAATTCTACTGAACTCTGACTTGAACTTGTGATGCACAGTCCTGTTTTACACAACTTCACTGGTTCTTCGCAGGTACCCATGGAGATACTCTATCAATGTTTCAAGCCAAATCATTCAAATATTGACTTCTCTCTTTAAACAGACAGTACATTCACTCCAAGCATGGCCCTCATATACCAGAGCAAACACAGGGATCAGCCAAGGACTAGGTCTCCATTTCCATACAGCAATGAAGGCCGGGATGAACCCTGGCATGATACCAACTACCCTCCGGTAATGAAAAATGGTTGGCTTGGAAACTCACTATAAATGGGTCCCTGGAATGGGAAAATCATCTATAAATGGGGAATTGTCCATTGCCATGTTTGATTACCAGCCGTTTGTTTCACATTTTTTGTGTGTGGGGGACTCAACACTTGCTGTAACAAGAGGATTTGTGAAGAATTATGAAAGGCTATAACCCAATAAATAATAAACCATCCTCGAAAATCACAATTTTGATGGGTTCTATAAACCATCCCCAAATGGCAGGTTTACCACATATTCATTCACCATTCAATGTTCTCAGGTTCTCAGGCATTGGTGGTCACATGGGATCCATTCCCGCCTGTCGTCGTGCCAATCGGCCAAGGAGGTTCGATCCTCAGTGATTCTGACCGCAAAGGAACACAGGAATCACAAAGGTACTTATACAGCACTTCATGTAAACATGTATCATATATACCATGTGAGTATCTCGGTCCAGTGAAGATCGAGCTTGAAATCAACCTTTTGCAAAGAACAAACAGAAAAACAATGGGATTGTCCATTGTCATGTTGCTTCACTCAGTGATACATGCTGCTACCATTTGGGGTGTCTATAACCGGATTATCTTCCCTTTCTCGTGGTTCGATACGCTGCATTTCTCGTTGTCAAGCCGGTTAAGTATACATCTAGTGTACAACAGTATCCCCATTGAAATCATAAGATTCCATAAGATTCCGTTGCGTTAAACTAATGTTGATTGCTACATACCCTACAGCTCCAAACACCTTCTGAGACTGTATTTGGAGTTGTTTTGTGGGGTCTGTTTACACCTTCTCAGATGGTATTTGGAGCACTAGGGATATTTGAGCTATATAGTTATCATTAGTTATCCATCCAAGCTTGACCCAACCAAACTGTCAGCTGAGCGTCCACCGTCAGCGTTCGGGGCCGGCGGACCCGAGCCTCTGAGCGACGCGAAGTGCCTTGCAAGCAGGGGCCCCGTGGCATGACGAGGAGTATGTCAACTGTATGTCAATAAGTCAAAGGTGAATTTTGCAACGATATAAGTGGGAAAAATTGATACAATATGTGGGAAACCCAAATAATAAAACCAATAAACCTACCATTTGGGGACCTGGGGAGAGTGATTTTGGAGATGTTTTATTATTGGGTTTACCGTTTACCACATTAGATGATGTTCTCAGCTATTGATCTCCATTTAGTTGGGGGGACTTCCCAGCTAGCCATGTTTGATGACACCGGACACCGGAGGGTACAGATTTCTCTTCTTGTGGGATCTCTCATTTAAAGGCCCCTCAGCCATTGAGGCGTTCCGAACAATTGGAGGCGTCAGGGGTGTCCACTGAGCTCATAGTTGGATGTTTTGGGATCCAGTTGGTGATTCTCAAGTGTCTAAAATGTTCCACTGTTTTTCCCTGGAATAATAGATATAATTTGAAACGACAAAGAAAATGTGCAAATTCCCATGAACGCATTCCCACACCAGAGCGTTGGGTCAGCGAACGGATGTATACAGCTGACTACCGAGAGGCTTTTCAGCGAGTTCGTCATAATTTAGATCCCCATTCTGAATTTCCTGATAATTCCCAAGAAGCTTCCTCTTCCAGTGGGCCTGCACCCAAGCCTAGATATCGATTGAGAACCAAAACCAATGTTACTGACGCTACTCCAAGTCATACCAGAAGTGACAATGCTGTTTCATCAGAAGGATTGCAGCTCTTTGTTCACTTTGACGACATGGGCTAGTTCCTACGCACTGGGGTACTGCGGCACCGGCCCAGTCACCCTCGACATGACAAACTTTTGGGATCCAGTTTGCGTGTGGTTCATATTCAGGGTGAATTGTTGCCAATGGGAAAAAATGGATGAAAGCGGAAAATGTACCCCAATAAAATGTATGGGCCCATCACGTGTGAAAATGTGGCACCTCCAATTCAATTGGATTAAAACCCACACATTTTCTCTAGACTCTATGTGATGGCAATTTTAGTGGAACAAGTCGCTCATTAAATAATCTGACCAACCTGTTGTTGTCCCGTTCATAATACAATGATTACCATCTATGTAATAGGTAATGATGTAATTATGGTGTTATATCACTGGTGTAATTAACCTATTTACCTATTATCATAGTGTAATTTATGTAAATTAACATGATATACCACCTATTATACTCCAGTGATTTAACATAGCTAGTTCCGGGGTCTCCCAGTGGTCCGCCATGGATGACAGGGAGGGTACATCCCCATGTTTTTGTTGCGTCCCTATATAATCTCAAGATATTTTAATAGATCTCAACTATCATTCCAGTATAGAATAACTATTGTGTTCTATCATGTTCTATCACGATTATTTCCTGATATGTCCTAATTAACCTATTTTTAGTTCACCAATGCTTGCTTTCATTTCCCATTTTTATTGCAGATCTCCCCTGCCCTGTTGCAGATCACCTTCGACAGGTGGAACTTGGCGCAGATCCGCAGACCTGCAGGTTATGGTTTTCTTAGCCATGGGGGGTACCCCCAAATGGATGGTTTAGAATGGAAAATCCTATCCAAAATGGATGATTTAGGGGTATCCCCATTTCAGGAAACCTCCAAATCGTTGGAAGTTCTCATCTTTGACTGATCAACACTGAAGGCTCGTTGATCAATTTGTTGTTTTTGTCTGTTTTCGTTATCATATACCTCGAACTTTTGGGTCATCTATTTATAGAGGTCACTTTACGTGAACTAGGTTGCTGACTCAAGAGTCTGCATTTATTGGTTTTCACTGAAAAGGCCGTATGGTGTGAATCCCACCTTGGTTGTCTTTGAAAACATGTCCCCATTCATAGGTCCCATATCTCCTGCCAAGGCGTGATTTCAGGATTGGACATGCCAATCTTACAGTAGGACAGTAGGATATCTGTAGCACTTCTATGAATCTTGTTATGATTCTTCAACTTAGTCCGATTTACTGGTTGGGGGCAACCTATCCCAAACCTTATTACCGCCATCATCATCGCCATCACCGCCATCATTGCCATCATTGCCTTTATTGGCATCATTGCCGTCATTGCCATCATTGCCATCATTGCCATCATTGCCATCATTGCCATCATTGCCATCATTGCCATCATTGCCATCCTCCTCCTCCTCATCATCATCATCATCATCAACATGATCATCATGATGATCATGATGATCATGATGACCATGATCATCACCATCACCACCATCACCATCACCACCACCACCACCACCACCATCACCACCCCCATCGTCATCAACATCATCATCACCATCATCATCATAATCATAATCATCATCATCATCATCATCATCATCATCATCATCATCATCATCATCATCATCATCATCATCATCATCATCGGCATCATCATCCTCATCATCATCATCATCATCACCATCATCATCATAATCATCAGCATCATAATCACCATATGTTCAACACATATTGTTGTTAGTTAACTCCCAGTTGTTCACCTTATTATTAGCGCTTCTTGAATCCTTCAATTTTGTCTGGCTAAAGCTTTTCAGGCCATGCCAGGCCCTGCTTGATGCATGGACTGGACGTACAAAGTCTTGCTGTTTTTGACTCGATTAGGAACAGGAGGGATATGAAATCACAAAAAAAAGGATCCACTATAAAATGCAAAGGTCATATCCTTTGGGCAAACTTAACAAGTCGGATGGAACCTCAACATTATCGTTGCAGGCCTCTCATCTGGGGAATCTTGCCAGTCTGCCAAGGACATTCTTTCCATACGTTCCTTAGTGGCACAAGGTTTTGTGATGAATAGCCTAAAATGGCTGGAGGAATTCGAGCTTCAAGACCAATTGTAGTTTAGATTATATATCAAATTTGTATATATATATATATATGTATTTATATTTATATTCTTCTAGGAAACCCAGGAATCAAAATAAAACATGAGACTGAAACCACCAACCGGATTCTTCGCAGCACATCATTCTTACATCATTCTTACATGTTCTGATCTTGGAGTCTGAACAGGATACTTGCAGGAGGCTTCAAGATGATTTCCGGATTGATTCTCATTCCTATTCAGTACGTTAAACCAGTATCAATACACGTCCCCAATCTTCCCGTTGATGAGTTTTTACTGCTAGGATGATGCTACCTGGTTGTGAAAGACCCATAGCTTTGTGCAATTCCGTGATCTTCCGTGCTTGTTCGTTAAATTAAATAACCGTCACCAAGATTCACCAAGATTTTTTATACCCATTCATGTTCGTTAGATAACCATGTTGCTCCGATACATGTGTTTCTTGCTTCTGATCGCAATGCTCTAGTGGAAACAAAATTCTCAGGGCCGGTCTGGCATACTATTTATCATCCGTTTTTTTTTTTATAATCCCTGTGTATAAACCAATGGGAAAAGGGCACCGAGCTGCTTCGGATTCGCGAAATACCCATCATACAGTTCTAGCCCTTAGCTATCACTGGTTAATAAGGATATATGTAATAAGATGTTATAAGTTATAATCCCATTTATAGCTTTTGAGGGCCATAGCTGTACACCCATTCTAAGGGCGCAGAGAGCCGACTCTGTCCAAAGCTCCCGCTGTGATCGCCGTGACGGGTCCAGTTCTGGCGGAACTCGACATCTCGAAATGGGACTTTACATTGTACCCTGAACTAACATAGCAATAGGGGAATAGGTGAATAGGTGTACCCTGAACAAACTATTATAACCTATAGTAGTGAAACCAAAAACAGTGAAACAAAAAAAATAAACCTAATTCAAATTTTAATAAGAAATTTAGCTATTAAGAGTGGTGATCTTCCATAGTTGCGCCAAATTACAAGAGGATGATGCTTGATGATGCCTCGAGACATGTCTATGGGGTCAGCAAAAGACATGAGCAATATGAATATAATCCCAATAATCATTTAGGTATATTTATATATATATATACACATAAATCATATTCATATAGATACACATGCATATACTCATTTACAGGAAGGTTCACTAACAAACATGGCAAGCCCAGTCCATCTGCAATTTGTCTGCCGTTTGCCACCGCCAGAGTCTTGAACTTCGTCAACGCAGGCGAATCATTCCAAATAGAGATGAACAAAACAATCTACCCTCCAGTAAATAAATATAAACCCTGAAAATGGTGGGTATCTAAATATATATAATACATAATTCATATATATATAATATATATGTATTTATTTTGAAAGTATTTATAATGAATGTACTGCAATAGAAAAAGTATAGCCCCTTGATTCAAGATGTGAAGATCGCAGAACAAGTGCCACCCTCCCTGGTGGAAACCCTGGCTGCACCTCTCTGGGTGCTCCTGACACTGCGGACAAACAAATGCAATTGTGGTAGCCGACAAACCACAATACGTATATATATATATTATATAGAGATAGAGATAGAGATAGATCTTTAGATATAGATGGGTGGAGAGATAAGATTAGAATAGATCAGATTAGATTTAATAGTTTTCAGTCAAATTTGTTTAGATTTAATCAAATTTAATTAATTAGATTTAATTTAGATTAGATAGATAGACGGATAGATGGATAAGATATATGGGGAAGAATGGAGGAATGGATGGATAGATGCATAGATAGCTAGATAGATGGATGGATGGACGGATGAATGGATGGATAAATGGATAGTTCGGTAGAGTATATCGGTGCATGTGTTGGACGTGACATCAGCAAGAAAACACATGGCCGCGCGAGGGCCAAAACCGCCCTGAGACATTGCCCATCTGAATAACTTAGTGATTGCCAGTTCCAGCCTCAACACACAGCCCCCAATTTTTCTCAAAATCACTAAAGCATACTGAGATGTTGAACTTGTTGATTCCAATCGTTCATCCAAATTCGTTGTTTAACCATGTTTAACCAATCACTAGATTGATGACTGAGAATGATATGGTCGCAAGCAAGGACGGAGAATAGCGTATCTGTTGAATCCATACATACTGTAGAGAATGGGATAGCACAATATTTGATAAAACTGTACATAGGATGATATATTTATAATTAGTGGGCTATAGCTAGTGGATTTTCCATTACTCGTTTTGGTAAATCCAACAATAAACGGATTTAACATGACATGTCACCATCAAACTTGGTGGACACTGGGGACTGAAACATCAAACACACCGACTTGACCATAGCATTCCCAAATGGTAGGTGTACGGCACTGGGAAAATCCCGACAAGTATTTCTGTGAAAATGGTCAAATACCATCAAATCCCCATGGTAAATCCCATTGTTAATGCTTAAATACCACACTAAACCCACTCAAATCTAATTGGTGGTTTCAACCCCCCTGAAAAATATGAAAGTCAGTTGGGATGATGACATTCCCAATATATGGAAAACAACATTTTCCAAACCACTAAACCCACTAAAATTCTATGAGCAAATCTTTGAAAGCCAGATTTCGCACCAACCCATGGGCCCCAAATTGTTTCACCGACAAATGTGCTCTAAGGTCCTGTACGGAGAGTCTTCCTCAGACCTGCCGGCGTTTTAAAATTAAATTTATGGTGCTATAGTAGCTACAGTAGATAAATATCGAGCTAGTCAACGGATGTAGTTATCAATATTAACCAACAAACTAGGGTTAACTAGTCATATTCCCCCGGCCCCAGTTATGTTAACCCAATTAGGGTGGACATCAGCCAACAAACACAACTGGAAGACCACTTTGGGCTGGGCACTCCCCATGTCATATGGGCTAATTCATAATCCGAAAAATAAGTCAGTTAGTCGAACCATGCATAACACCTATAAGAATGTATAAACGCATATGTAAACCCATCAACAGTGGTATTTTTACTGGCTCAATCTCTGGTGACTGCGACTCGTTTATATATATATATATTAATACATATAAAACTAATGTGCATCCCATTTTTCCTTGCATTCTTTTGTGTTACATACGTTTATAAAATGTTTATGTGTAATATTATGTAATAAATAATTATGGATATACCAATCTATTACAGTATATTATATAATAATAATACTATATACAATACACCATATTGTAATATGCAAGCATGATACAAAAATAATGATACAAATAAGAACAATAACAATAAAAAATAACACAGTGATAAGATTCATATGAAGAGGAATAACATCTGTTTATCATGAAATACACATAATATAAACCAATATAATATATTGCTATACTGTGGATTACAGTGGATTACACCATTTTAGTATGATAAAATATGGTGCTTTATCTATTGCTGTGTGGCACATCTCCATTTTGTCAAGCCGCCTGTGCAGCGTCTCCCGCGTCTCCAGCGTCTCACCTAAATGCGTGCCTGCAGTGGCACGGCATCTTGGGGCCATTTCAATGAGAAAATATGGAAAACATAGCAAACATATGGAAAGATATGGGAAACAATATGGAAACATGATGATCATTTGATGATCATTTCATCATGAGAAACTGGGATATTTGATTATGTTGATGTCCAAAATGCTCAAAACAAACCTCATCTGTTACCGTTTATGCAGGAGACCGATGCTCTCGGTCGCTGGAGTCACAGCGCAAAAACATTGCTACATGGTTGCTGGCCTATTCGCAAGTCACTATGCAGGGATATGATGGAATATTGTAACTGGTTGGTGGTTTCAACCCCTCTGAAAAATATTAGTCATTTGGGATGATTATTCCCAATATATGGAAAAATAAAAAATGTTCCAAACCACCAACCAGGTAAGAATATAGATCATGGATAATCATGGTCCTCTTGATCAGTGAGCTAATTCTGAGCCCTAGATACGACAATCCAATTTCACCAATTCACCACAGATTTATGTGTCAACAGAGCACCTTCAAGCTGGCAGCGAAAAAACAGTCGTGGCTTTATGTTCACCCCGTGAACTTCGATTTACCTCTACCATTATCTACCATAAATCCAAGTGTTACTCTACTGAAGTAAAGCAACTTAGCGAGTCCGAGCTGGGACACCTCAACGAAACATAACGAAGCCATCGCACCTTCAACCACCGTTTCAAGCCGCTCTCGTGGGGACTCTGGCCGCGCTGGCCTACTCAGGGCCACCCCAGGTGCTATACAGGGACTGTGGATGGAAGAAATCCTGCACCAGTTGATAGATGGTTTATCCTATTATTGATAGGGTTTCAACATGTTTCAACCATCCAAGTTGGTGCAGGATTTCTTCCATCCACAGTATTATGTCAATTTTCCACCCAGTGACCATTATTGACCTACAATGGACGCAACCGTGCTACACTAGTGATGCGTCTATTTCAACAGAATGGGCACACTACTACCGCATTCTGTTTGATCAATTTTTGATTATTGTTGTCACCCCAAACGTGTCTCATAGATGTCCTACAATACTCCAGTAATTTCCCACATCACATTGCATGTGTTTTACATACACTAGGTGATCAAACATGGCTGGCTGGAAAATCCCTTATTCGAACAATGGCGCTTTAGTTCGCTGGGAAAATCATCGAACGATAGCTGGGTGATTTTCAGGCGCCTCTCTGATAGCGGCTCTTGCTGCGCCTGGAGCTGGTCGTAGGTGATTTATCACCAACACTTCAATTCCACAAAATGGTCAACATGGACCTCCCCGGAATGAGAATTGGACACTTGGAAGATGATTTTTTTCCTGCTTGGATCTGGTTATTTGATGTCATTCTGGGGCTCATTCTGTTTATATAATTTTAATGAGCTGGAATTTATGCCTACTAGCCACGGGCATGCTGAGGATTGAACATGATTGAACCAACAACCAAAACTGGCGGAATTTACATAGTGACTTAAGGCATCATTGGCAGAAACAGCAGAATCAACACACATTTTGAATGTTTTTGGCTGCCTTGACTTGGCCGTCAAAACTCTCCGTGGACCCTGTGGATCCCTGTGGCTCTGCCAAGCTGCTTCTGGAACTTCCTTGTCGCCGTCGCCCATTTCCTGCAGAAAGTTCTCCTGTAGTCCCTTCACTGCATCACCTCAACGGCCGAAATCTCCACGGCAACGACATGGAGAATGAGGATCTGTTGCATAGCCATGGAAAATCCCTAATAAATGGAGGTTTTAATGGGAAAATCATCTATAAATGGAGAATGGGGATCTGTTGCATGAAGTCTGGGAGGTACCTCATCAAGCGTTTCACTAACGTCTTTGCAATCGCTTCCCTTGGATAAGGCGCTGCACTTCAGGATTTTTGTGGCGTTTTGGAAGCTTCAAATTATGGCACCAATATTGTCATGTCACAGCACACGTGCCCAGCGTCACAGCCACACCCAAATCTGGTCACCCAGATACAGGTAGGATTGGCCCTGGGAAGATGTTGATTTTGATCACATCCCCATTGCTTTTTGATTATCCTTCTGAATTACTGAATGTATCACATGGGTACGGGTCAAACCTATGGTACCCTTCTCTTCACCCCAAAATAGCTGGTAAATGGATGTTCACCCCCAAAATTCTATAGAACATCACAGGCAACTTACCACATCCCCAAATCCATTATTGATGGTTGATACATGTCCATATCATTCAGATGTCCCTATATATTCCGATGATTGTTTGTTACTGTAATTTGGTGATAGTTGCAGGGGTTCTTCCAAAATGACGATTCAACCAATTTGGTTACTTCAAAATTATCATTTGAAGCTTTCCCAAGTCGTGGGGGTACCCCAAATCAAATCATCCAGTCGTCAACCATGACTCAGTATTGCAACAACCATGGTGACGGCTGGGGATCCCAAAAATGACTTAGGAAACCCCATGAAACCACCATAAACCACCAACCGCAGCCAGGCAGCTGATGGATCCTCTAGAACTGCGGCTGCCCAGGGTCCCAAGGCTCAGTTCCATCAATGGAGCTGGACGTGGCAGCCTGGGTCCCGTGGTTGTAGTGGTGCCACCCAGTTATATACTAATGGTGCGAAAACCACGGCAACAAAAAATGAGTTGACGAAAACTCATTGGGATTTATTACCCTATGGATCCAAGTACCTTCTTAGGAAGTGTTTGGGGTATAATTTACTATAATTTGGAGGGTTAAGTACCTTCTCAGACATTGTTTGGATCCAGAGAGTAAAGATATTTTGATAATCATTTCATAGTTATGTGTAATTCGCTGATTTCGGTTGGCTAAGTTTTGTTCTTTTATTGGGCCCCCATGAACCTGGGCCCCAGGGCACCACCTTGCAGTTGTGGTAGAGGGGTCCAAGAACCGGGATTCTCCAGTGGTATTCTGCTGAACATGATTAAAAGAAAGGAAGTAGATCCTGTTGAAATCTTCAACTCCTATATAGACGCCAAAAATGTATCTATGACATGATACTGGGCTAACTTTGGACAGCCTTCACTTATAGCATTATAGCCTATAGCTTGAAGCAAACATAAGCAATTCAACCAAAACCAGGTGTCTCCATATATGTACAGCTTCCTAAGCGCTGGTTCGGGTCAATTAGGTTCCATACAATTCCCTTGGCTAGACTTCTTGTAAGCGAGATGTTGAGGTATATGCGATGTAGATCCTCGAAACAAAGCCAACCGGATCTGGATCAATATGCATTGTTCCTAAGTTGGGTGAACCCCCAAATCATCCAGTCGTCATGGATGACCATGACTTATATAGTTTATTGAAACCCATGGTGACGACTGGGGATCTCAGTGACTGAAGAACCCCCCAAATGATTTCTGCACTGCATCATAGGCCAGGTCAAGCGTCGTGTTCCGCTCTTCCCGGTTGCCGCCAGCGTCACCTCGCAAACATCTGGCTGGATAATGGGATCCATCATCCCCAATGACCTACCGATCTTACCATATTTTTATGATGGTTTTCTATGATATCAGCTGTCACATGCTTTGCTACTGCGTTTTCCACCGAAGATAAGCCGGCACATGTGCAGGCACAAGCGCGGCCGTTTCTCAATTCATAGACAATAGCCGCGCAAATCAACATTGCAATGAACTTCCCCCAATCTTTGGAGGAAATCTCAACAGGATTCTGCGCATTACCCCTCTTCCTACCCTCTCAGGCAATGCAGTGAACATGCAACATATGAAGCTACAACTTTGATATTCATATCCCAAAGAGAAGTAGATCCTAGAGTTGCTTGTTGCTTGTGGTCCATTGTAATTTATGTAGTCAAACGACACCGAGCCTGAGCCTGCTGGTTCTTTCGATTCCCTCAGTGCTGGGTCGGTTGGAACAGCACCTACCCATGAATGGAATGCAATGTTCAAACCTCACAGTCTGACCCACTTTCTAAGGCTTCCGGTAGCCCATATAATTCATAAAAGATCTGGCAGCCAGTGCTGATCCTTTCTCCAAAGCCTTGTTGAAAAAGCTCATCAGCATAAACCACATGCGATTGCCCAAAATAGGGGTATGATGCGATATGCAACAGTTCATGAATCGGTCAATTGTGGTCTGACGGACTTCTGGAGGATTTGAGATGTGGTCGGTATCCCGACTCTCGAACATGATTCAACCATCATTGCCAACTCACCCAGCTTGTCAGCAAATCTAAGGTGGATTTAGTATTTAGCTCATATTTAGTTTTCCAGTTTTCCACTAGTTTAGTATTTAGCCCATATTTAGCCCATATTTTTCGTATTTAGTATTTCAGCCCACTAGTTTAGTTGGATTCCAGCCCAAATCTAACATATCACAACAGTTCTCCATTCATTTCTCCCGTTTCTGGATCCATCAGAATTTCGCCCACCGACATCTCCAAGTGACTGGTCATCTTCCACTTCCACCTGGCCCCGAATGGATCATGGCTCGCCGTGATCTGGGAAACAGCAATGGGTATATGATGTCAGGGATTTATAAATGGGGATAGAATGAGATTTAACCAACAACCATGGAAATGTAATGGGAATATCATGCAAATATGATATAATGATTATAATGGAATTATATCTAGTAATAATATGTAATAATGGTTCTTGATATATATATGACATGGGAATAATGGGATATATCTATGTACAGTAACAAACATCAGATGGGATAAAAAATGCAATTCATCCAGATACAATGGGAGTTCATAGGAAATTAGAGGGATGGGGTTATATCTGACTGAATTATATATCTGGTTGGTGGTTGACCTACCCCTCTGAAAAATATGAAAGTCAGTTGAGTCAGTTGGGATGATGACATTCTCAACCAGATATGAGTACACGAACCTGAACATAACTGAAACTTAAGGACATCTGGGGATGATTCCCCGTATCCAATTCCCACCACGTCAAAGGTCATTATAATTCAGACATGATGGACATATCCCACTGCACAACAATTGTGGTGCAAAAACAATACAACATCATCCAACTTTAGTGATGCTATGGGTGAGGTACACTCTCGCAATCTAGCATGGCAATGGAAGACTTCCCATGTGGGTTGATTTTCTCTTCCTATTGGACATTCATTGGAGAGACATTATACAACCAACGCAAAATCACAAGAGCGGCATCTGATGGATCATCAAAATCATTTGTGTTCCCAACGAAAAACAACATACGAGCGTTAAATCAATGCGTCCAGTCATACGAGCGCGTATCAACAACAAGATATGATCAACACACATGGATATGGGTTTGCTTGAAAACAGAGCGCCCACAAATCTCATCGTTCACATCAATTATCCTACAATGATATACAATGATGATGTTCATGTTCCCCATGAAAGGGGCATCCCCAGTATTCCCCAGGTGAGGACACAGCTTATGTGGGTGATACCCAGTAAATCAGAAAGGTTTCTGACTTAGAAAATTCCATGGATGAGCGCCTTCAATTCTTCCGCAGCCAGCTCATCCTGTTCCTCCTGAAACGTGGCTTGAAACCACCATGGCAAACTGGATCCTGCTTTGGATGTTCCATGGATTCCATGAGGTCTTTTCGAATTGTAAAGAAAAACCACATAATATCAGGTCATGGCTGTTGGGAGGAATCTCATCAAACAGGAGTTCTGATGCGGTTGAGATTAGCAAACAAGAAACACATAACACATGATATGACAGAGGTAGTGTTGACAAGTGTTGAACATATTATGTACTAGGGTCAAAACATGGTATATGGATGTATATAGTTCATGGTCATTCATATAAAATGGGCGTATTACACCGTATGAGTGGATTGACAACAAAATCCTTTATTGGGAAGTTGTAGCCCATGTTTCGACGTGGATTGGGAGAATGTTGGATTGACAGCGAGTCGCCGCTTGGATTTGTTCGTTCCTGAAATTTCACCTGGAAACCACAGAAACTGGCTGTGGAAGATGATATGTTCTGATACTGGTTGGTGGTATTTCAACCCCTCTGAAAAATGATGGACTTCGTCAGTTGGGATGATGAACATGTCCCAATATGATGGGAAAAATAAACATTTTCCAAACCACCAACCAGTTCTATGATCTGATATGATTGTCTTGCTGGAAATGGCTGATCAAAGTGATCAATCCCCTGTAGACACCTATGGGCCATTGTGGGCCAAAGGGATCTATGACTTGATCCATACAGTATACTGTCATAGAAAAGTCATGGACCATAGGTATCATACATATATATCATATATATACATATATATAATATATATATACAGTATATATATATATCCCAAAGGATCCAAACACGTGATATATAGAGATTCTAGCACAAAAGCTGTGAATATGATATTAATTGCCAAAGCATGTATATAGCAATTCCTCTTGATCTGGCAGTTTAGAGGCCTTTCTGGGTTCAATTAACTCAGCCTGTTCCCTTGCCATTTTCTTCCCCAGCAGCATAGCTCTTAGACAGAATCTTCACTCTCAGAGGAAGACTCAGCCCCAAAACGTAACCTCAAGTAGACACCATGGAGTAGCCCCAACTCCAAAGTATTGACATGAGCTCGCGATGCCACTCGGATCGCAAATCTGTTCCAATCCTCTTGTTGGAAACAGTGGACAAAACGGCTGTTCAGGCCTGAGTCAGAGTCAGCACTAAGATGTATCAAGACCACCACCCACAAACAAGGAAAAAATAACAGTTTGCACAGGAGTCATCTAGTGAGACTAGGCACCAAATCTCATATGCAGATATTGCAGCTCTTGATAGGCCTAAGTATGGCCCTTGGAGGCCAAATAGTTTCCATGTGCATGAATAGTTTACACCACCAATGCGCCACTTGCCATGACATGTGCGTGACAAGGCACATGGCACTTGGGTTTGATTGGGAACAGGTGCTGCATTCCAAGATCCACGGCTTGCTTTGCCAAGGAATAGTAGGAGTTTAAGCTCTGGTCCTAAATAGGGGGCAAAATTATAGCCATGAAGAAGGGGTGCATCAAACCAATACACCTGTAGCAGTTAATTAGCCAAAGCTTCACATGCCACCGACGTGTTGCGAATAGATTGTTCATCCATGTACCGGCCAGTAGCTTCGACAAAGTTGAACCACTCCCCAAGCTGGTACCTTTGAACAATCATGGTTGAAAATAATTTGACCAGATTCAGTAGTGGAATGGAACCAAGTGGAACTCATGTTGTCATGCCCAAGGTACACACAGTTTGCAACATGGAAACGGTCAAGTTCATGACCTGGCCCAGCATCTTGTTGCAGAACCCTCACCATCACATCAGCGAGCCATCCCACCACAACACGAGCCTGCACAGGTGGGCTAGAAGGTGACAGAAGTAGACCGATTGAAAAGCAGATCCAGGACATGGACTTGCCATCTTGATCTTTGGCCAAAGATTAAGATATCATATTCACAGCTTTTGTGCTAGAATCTATAATTAAGAATATATCATGTGTTTGGATCCTTAGGGTGGTGATTTGAGACTGTGGCACAAAAACAAATTGCCAAGAAGCATTCCATGCTTTTGCATGGAGTTCCGCATGTCCTCCTTGCACACTAACACACCGATTGTGAGAGAAGACCCCTTGCGAATGCCTCAGCTGACTCTAGTTGGTTCAGCCCCCCGACCTGTGCATGTGGCCAACAGTAACGAATTCCAAAGCCCAGACCTTATAATGTATTGGAACTAAGATACTGGATTTTGTTCGCTTTTGTCCAACCATTGAAGTGAAGCCATGCAGACTTGTATCGGTCAGACATTTCCACATCACCACCTCCCCAAATTTCATAGTGTTCCACAAGAAGGATGAGTGTGCTTCCTGCAACCCACAGTCCATAGCCCAAGTTCACCGAATGCATGCTGCAAAAGCAGATGTGGGAGGGGTCAAAGTAGACGATCCTCATCAAGCCACCTTGACTACATATATCTAGCTGTGGGTTTCAACACTGGACCGTTCCAGCATATGACATATATGTACTATAGATATATAACACCTCCCACAAAGATACAATAGAAAACTATTTTTTGAGGGCTGCTATATCATAATTTGCAGTCCAAAGAGCTTTGCTCACCAGGTCTCAAAGCATCATTCAAGAAGCTTTGCAAGTCCCTTCTGGGGCGTTCTATCAACGGGTTTGGCACAACTAAGGAGTCCGATTTGGTCATGAAACACCCATGGCAAATATTGACTGCCTTCCACCATGCTTGTAGGTTGAACCATTCCTTAGCCCCAAGGAAATCCAAACTGTTTTTTTTTTGCAATTGAACAACTGCATGTAACAGTAAATCCATGAGATGCTGACCAGAAACTCTGTGAAACTTCCAATCACCACGGTATTGTGTGACCATGGCACGCACCATTTCCCTTTTCCCTCCAATATCAACTTCAACTCCATGATAGAGTCGGTTGAGGGCATCTGCCACCTTATCTAAACAAAAAATCATGAATGTTACAACCTGGCTTCTCTAGGTGTCACTGGGGTTGACAAGTCCACTGAACAAATCCACTATATGCCGCCATAGGACCGGTTTCAAGAAGGCTTGCGAAGTTTTGAAACCCAAACTTTGCTCCTTGGCTTGACTGAGGCAAGGGAATAGGATGTGCAAGTGGGCTGGTGTTTTTCAACAAAAGATAAACCAATTTCAGATAAGTTTCTACTTGGTAGCAGAGGAGGGGGTACACCGTGTCTTTCGATGATTTGCGCTCATCAAGCACTGCACCCATGGCAATGATCACAATTTTGTGACCCTGCTCATTGAATCTACAATCATCACCCCACAGCCAAAGGGGGATGCAGCCACTTCCGGGTTTGTCGTAAGTATGAGGCACCCCTTTGGAAGCAAGATATCGCCAGTATTCTTCAATTTGTTCATCCATGTGAGAATTGTTGGGAAGAATGGCATTTTTCAAAAGCCACGGCACCAACCCATCGGGTGGAACAAAAGGCATCCTCCTGGCAAGGGCCACGTGATTCAAGCCTAAAAAGAAATCGAACTGAATAGAACAGACCCATTGTTTCCTTGTCACTTCAGTATCTTTGAGCTTGTGGACCTTCATTGGGATGGACAACATTCGGAGTGGTACCTTAGGTAACTGGTTCAAAGGGGATATAGATTTAGTTCAATCACTGTTTAGCCCATTCCAACACACACCATAAATCAAAACCATCTATATATAGTAACACATATTCAATCAAGGTGCCACATGTCCAACCTTGCGGACCATGTCCCGTTTGATGTTGGACTTGTGCTTCCCAGTTGCCCCAGTTTCCTGGAGCCTTTTTGATGGCCCAGCAAGCTCAACTCCATGGAATTTAAGCTCCTGCGCAAGTAGGAGCAGGCCACAGGTTAGTTTCAAATCCAGGTGGAAAGATCCCATGACCATATGCATAGATTTAGACCTAAGGCTACTGAGTGACAAGTCCTTCACAACATCACATGTATCCCGGGCTCTGCTAAATGACGATTCCTTACCAGCCATGTGATGCCAAGGTTGCTTGAGGAAGACATGTCAAGAAACTTCAGTGCAGCCAGGACTCACCACCACCAGCAGTTTCCATCACAAAATCAAATAGCGGTGACCGGGTAGGGGCACCAACACCTGCGTGGGTTCAGGGTCCAATGGGAAAATGTTGGGGTCTACAATCTGGGGTTCATTCCAAAAAAAAACAAATATTTGGTGGATCATCCCATTAAGTTTATAACACCAGTTATAAGTGGATTCACCCATATTCACCCTATTTATTGTATAACTGGGCCCATGGAGTTATAACCCACTTCCTGTTTGGGATGAGCCACCAAGTAACCCTGGTTCAGGGAGAGCATCCAACATTCCCACATGAAAGATTGATTTTGAGGGACTCAAAAACAATGTTTGATAATTTTTTGGGTGGTGGAGCCCCCATGTCATGCCCATATATTCTTGCCACATGCGCATTTTTTGTTCTTCCAGCATCAGCTTGGATGCCAAATGAGCCAGACTTTGGAAGGTTTCAGAATCGCACCCCAAAACACAAGAGCCAAAGTATGAAGTTGATGTTTTTTTCGACTCTCCCTCCTAGCTGGCTCACCCCTATGCATGGCCAAACTGGTCTGAATGTTGCCGGTGCAACCGCATCCAAATCCCAAGGAAAAAATACATAATAAGGAAACATATAAATTTAAATATGAACTCAATATTGTCTTCATGGTTTGTTCAGAGAATGGTATGCATGGCAATCATGACTCAATTTCCTACAATATAAAGTTTTTGTTGGCTTTGGCTTCTGTGAGCCATGCCCCAAAAGGTGATTTCGAAGGGACCAATCCAATCCCCACAACCTAAACTCCATATTCATTCCTTCTTCACTATCGGCACCCCAGCTTCAGGAGCAGGTCTAGGGGCAGCAGCAGACTTCGCCTTCGCCTTCGGAGGAGCCTGGGCAGTGAGTCATCTCATGGGGAAACATTGGCAACTTTGAAATCATATATCATGGGTTGAAAAAAACATGTAACATATATTGATTGGAGCTAGGTACAATTGCATTCTTGACAACCCGCATCGAAGCCGTGATTTTGGCAATGAGAGAATCGCATTCGCCCATGACCTGTTCATACTGAGTCATGTGGTCACCCGTCACTTGCTCATCCTCAAGGCGCAAGGCATACCAAGATTCCATGCGTTCCCTTAGGTCATCAAGGTCTTTCAAGAAGCCACCAAAATCCGCCACATAGGCACTCTTCATCCCATCAGACCTGGGATAAGGTTGGATAAGGACAATTTTTTAGGGCATGTATAGTTTTATTTGTGAATATTAGTTATCAAAATAGATCTATGTACAATCGGTATCAAAAAAACTAGGCTTAGATAAGGTTCAAAGCCGCAGTAGATTGAACTTGGGTCTGTAAGCAACGGATCTCCGTGGCTTTGGTCGATAACTGAGAGATCTTACCACCAAGCTTTCGATTGTAGTTGGGTTTGGTTTTTTTGTCATCACCAGTGCCATTACTGGCATCAGATCCCTGGGCAGCCTTGTTAGCACGAGTTCCCCGTCCTGGCTTCGGCTTGGCCTTAGGAGCTGTTGCATCTGGAGCTCCAGCATTGCCCTTCACACCCTTCAAGAAGGAGCCATGGGACGGTGCAGAGTGGGCCGCTTGCCTCAGATATTCAGCCATGGCAAGTGTTTCTTAATTGAGTGGGTTTTAAATATGTAATATTTTCATGGGGTTACTTTCACTACCAGAGACTATCTTGAAGGGGTTTGCTTCATCAAAATGGTATTGTTGCCATCAAGTAGCAGCAAGGCCTTGGAGTGTTCCTCTGTGACATGGCCTTGGTGTCTCAACCCCCATTCCTGCTCATTCTCATAGCTCTCCTCTAGCTCCAAGGAATCCCACATCTTCAGCAGGTCCCAGGCCTTAGGCAACAGGCAGAAGACCCCCAAATCTTAGAAGTACACAATTCAAAAAGAAACAGTACATCAGTAAAAATGTTATATACCAAGCAGAGACTAAATACCTCATCATCAACCTCAGGATGCTTGCAGTACCATGCTTCTTCATGCTCAGCTCTCTTCTGCTCCAACTCAAGCTTGTTCTTCTTGATGTTTTTGGCAACGGCCGAGCCATACTTTTCCTCAACATCCTTGTATGTCATGTACACATACTTGCCCCTTCGGTTGAACTTACTCTTCTCCAAGCTGTTAAAGTAGATGCTGCTCTTGGTCCAATCACCCCCTGCATTCAACCAATCTTCAATCTTCATACAAGAAGTGTAAGAGGCGTCGGTCTCAGCAGAATGAGATGGTTATAAAATAAAACAATAGTTTGATTGGGTATCCCAAGACCAAAAATTACTTGGGCTGCCAAAAAAAAACAAACAAACACTTGTTGCAAGCTACTGTGCTTCCTCCCTGCTGCCTTTTCAGCAACAGCTGCTGGAAGTTCTCCTGTGTCACTGTTTCATATATCATCCCATGTACCCAGTAATCAGTATTCCATGATAAGAAATATTTGACCACATATTTTTGGTGAAACAAATCAACACTGTTCTTTCATCAAACTAGTCCATCGAAGCTGCGGGAAAATTTCATGTAGGAGTTGTGGCCCAATCGCTTTTCTCGCTCATCCCATGTCTCAAGCCCCCCCTTTGGTTTCTTATACATCACCACCCCATCCACAATCACCTTGAGCTTCTCCAGGTCCTCATTCTCTAGGTCCGAAGTGTCCAAGCGCCTGAACTCTCGGGTCATAGCATTTGCCCGGCGTAAACCTGGAGCAGGTATGGTAGGTGCAGCTGAGGGAGTGGCAGGTGCGGCATTTTCATCAGTGGCAGCAGCAGTGGCAGGCACAGCTGGTTGTGTAGGGCTACCACCAGCATTCCCTCCACTCTCTGGAGACCATTTGATGGCCCTGCACACTTCTCGGTCAAATATGTTCACCTTCGTGTGGACTTGTTTGACATCAGAACCTTTGGGGATGATGACACGGCGCTGGTGGGATTCCACAGTGTTGCCACCACCTGTTTTGCTTCCCTCCTCCCCTACAGGTTTTTTGGGCGAAGTGGTTTGCTCAGGCAGTGTCTCCTCAGGTTTCTGATCAGGTTTCTCGGTCAAGGTGGGACTCTTGGGCTTCTCCCCCATGGTGCCTTGCTCAACCAATCTCTTGTCAGCAGGTTCTACTTTCTCCAAGGGGACCTTAGGCTTCTCACCTCCTGCTTTTGGATCCTGGTGTTGCTCAGAGTTCAAGTTCAAGCCAGCTTCAAGCTCGGCATCCAGCTCTTTGAGGAAGTCATCATTGTTGAATTCGATGGCCATTGGTTTTGCTTTTCCTTCTTGCCAGTCTCTGAATGTCAAGAGAATCACTTCCTGGATCTTGTTATCAAAGATGCATCGGAGACTTGATTGATGCAGCTCGAGATCATCTTCCCGCTCTTTGACTTCTGCCTCCTTCCCACACAGCCATGTTTCAAGGGCCACCTTCCGTTTCTTGAACATCTCATCTCCCAAGCCCGAGGCTTCCTTCATCCGATGCTCCACAGTTGCCCTGGCAGTAGCCATCAACTTTGCACGGTGTTCCCGGTACTTGTCTAGGTGAGATGTGGTGCTGCTGAAGTTCTCAAAGTCAACCAGCAACTCCTTCACCAAATCCGGAAAGTCCGTTATAGTGTGTTGTGACTTCACCATGGACTTCAACCAAACCACAGACTCCTCAAGGAGTCGGTACATTCCACACTTTCCAGGTTCTGGACTCCACCCTTTGTCAAACAGGCTTTGTAGGCAAACCTTCAAGCTCACAGGTGTATCATCCAAGGAGTGAGGGTGCCGAACAAGATCATCTATTGAAGACGTCGAATCAGAACGGTAGAGCTGGTCAGTCGGTGATTGGGATCCTTTGCTTTCAAAAAGCCAAACAAGAAGCAAACAAACACCATTGTTTCATTTTTTGGGGTGCGCATTAAAAACATAATTGGCCAAGAATCCAGTGAAATGCATATGACCCAATGGAGACTCATGTACCTTGCTGGGGTTGTGGTGTGTCTCAACTCCATAAGCCCTTTTTGCTTCCCATGTTTTGAGGAATAATTATCTTAATATACCCCATACATCCTTATAACTGGGATTTATCAATAATAAATTATACCAAGAAAATATTTATTTGGAACTAGGTACTTCAATCGCATCACTTGCCTCTGGACCTTTGCCATGTGTGGCAGCATCATCAAAGTCAGGCGAAAGGTTTCTGGGTGTAGCCAATGGGGTCATGGCTGTAAAATCTTGAGTAGGCAAAGAATCCATACCAGAGGCCTCAGGGACATGCTCTGGTGGAGTAGGATCCGAAATCTTCACCTTCTTCATCTCAGGGCTCTTGATGGGGGTTTGCCCTGGGGTATGCTCACCCTTCAGCGCAGGAGCCTTCGAAGCCGGAGGCACGATCGTGCCTGAGCTGGGCATAGGCACCCCTATAGATGGTCTTAATTTATGGTGTACTTTTAACTTCAACCTAGGGAATGAATCAACACAAGGTGGTGATAGGTGGCATCTCATAGTTGTCAAAGTTTGTGTACATGAACTGCATGGGGTTCATACAGGCTCATAGATATATATTGAACCAAACATCATTTGTTTAAAACACCAAGGAACGTTTTTGGACATCAGCAACTTGTTGCAGACATGATTGGAGCTCAGCCTGATAGTCGAAATCTTCCTTCGCCTCATTGAGCTTAGATTCTGCTCGGGCAAATTTTGGGAATAAGTCAAACAGATTCATAAGTTTAGCTGCACAAATGATATCAAAGATTGCCAATATTTATTAAAAGTCACTTTCCGAGGTGCCATGATCAGATGAGGCACCACCAGTAAGCTGTTTGAACCAAATTTCTGGATATGGGCCAGTGGTTGATCAAACATGGTGGCTATTCACACAAATTCCCAAAGTGCCAGAGGGTAGTTTACATGTTGACATTTCACAATGTGGTGAAATTTTGGTTGCGAAATTAGTACCACGTGAAATTGACGTGAAATTCCTGTGAAATTTCCATAAGTTTCTGATATGTACCTTCAAAATCCATTAAAATTAATTTAACGGAATTTCACGCAAATTCACGCCGGGGAGCTCGTATTTAGAGTATTTAACGCAATTTCACGGAATTTCACGCCAACAAATTTTGGTAAAAATTATGCACCACTGGTAAGACTGCCCATTTCAGGCAGAAAAATCACCTAAAAATAAAAAATGCTTAGTCTGTGAGGGTGTGATTGCAATCTTCCCCTTACTTCGAACATGACATCAGCACATCCTACGATTGGAAGATCAGCCCAAGACCGGCATAAAGAGTCAAGGTCAGCTGGACTGGCTGGTACATACAGCATTGTCTGATGTGACCTCTTTGGAAGAGGCAATCTACTGGCATTGAGATTGGGAACAACAGATGCATGGTGGATACCAACACTTGTTGCTGGAAACACAAGGGTGCTTACTATGTCACGAAGGGCAATCGCAGGGTCATAGGGACCAATTCACAATCTTTCCTACCAATGCATTGGTCTGGAACTTCATGGGCAAGCTGATCCACTGGCCAAAAAGTTGTAATCGAAGACAACACCACCCCTTGGGACTCCATTGGATGAGAAGATTGAAACATATATATTGAATAATTATTTCTCAAAAGGATGGATGCATATTATATGTTGATATTTTTAGGAATTTTCGATCATCCTCCATTGTAAGAAATACCCATAAGACTATAACCTCAACCCCATTGAATATGTCAACTTGATTGCAGGGAGTAGAATTCAAACCTGATGCCCCCCATCCTTTTCTCACAGAAATAAATGGTTTCGTTTTCATTCTTGCAAGTGGTCCCAACATGTAATAAGTGGAGCATGAAAGTCACGCTGCCATATATGAATTTCCAATTTTGGATCATGGGAATGCAAGCGAAAGACCACAACCTTTTAGCCGTGGCTAAAGTAATGTGCCACATATCTTTTGAAAAGTTCCTCACTAGGCTCTAAGTCGAAAGGTAGCAAAGGGTCAGGTTCATACTTTCCTGCCTGGGCTGCTGCAACCAGCATCTCCTTGAGAGAAACCAGATCCGCAAACTGCCATGCCAGGCCAGGGTCCTTCCAAGAGTTTGCAAGTCGCAGGGCAACCCAAGGAAAATGGGAAGATAGGGTTCAATATCAATATCAATATTCAATATATAAATGTAATCCCAATGTATATATATATATATATATATTAATACATTGACCCCTAAACCACATCAAAGACAGATTCACACACTAAGAGGTTCACAACAGAAACAACCAGTTAGTTGATATAATGTGCAGTCCTGATAGCCAGATTTGAAAAGGGCATCCAGGTCACTGGTAACACCATACCCAGGCTTCGATTCCATGAAAGTGGTGTGAAGCCGCGCCACTCGATGACCAAATTCATAGGGATAGGATCCAGAGGCCGTCAAGTCTCTGCCACCACTCCTGGGATACAGGCATCAACACAACAAATTCTTGGACCCCAAGTAACATCAGTCATACATATCCCAAAAAATATTATGGCTTCTGAGCCTAAAAGAAACATGTAATACAATATGAGTTTGATTCAAAATTGAAGGGCTAGCCACAGATCCCAAAACATATGTTAATAAAACAAACAACAACATATCCTTTAGGCCGTCAATTTTGAGATACACCCAAATACCAACACATAACCAAGCCACACTGAAACACCACCACCTTTTTTGGGATGTACTCGGACCATTTGTTTATCCAAGTCAACTTTCCTCTTGTCAATGTCCGCTTTCCTGGTTTTTGTCATAGCTATCGGAAGCTCATCAAGCCATGGCCTAAGCTTGGGAAGTATTCATAGCATATAAGTTAATAATATGTACTGTTCAGGTGCAGTGCAATATTGTCATGAATCACAAGATAAGATTCTGACACATTTGCCAGTCCCAGTTGGGGTTTGGCACACCATCCACCCATGGTCCCCATCCATCTTGGTCAATGTGGGGCAGCCATAGACATTATGGAAAATCCCATTCATTGTTTTAAAGTAACTGACAAAAATATGCTTAAGAAATACTGAGGCCCACTCCATCGAACAAGTCTTGGTTTGAAACAATGGTGAAGTAGGATCTGTATGGGAGGCAGGTGGTGCAAAGTTGTACGGCCCGGCTGCTCCAGCATCCATGTGCATCCACGTATGATGCATAAGCATACCAATATCGCAAATCTGGTTGCACATACATTTCCAATCCAGCAAAATGGGAACGGATTGCCCCATGGTGAGGTAGCACTTCTCCCATGTGTTCCCGAAGCCATGAACCCAAAAGATTCACATGGCACCCCTCCAAAGAGAAGACCAAGGGGTACCAGCCTCAATGTGAGCTCCAGTGCATTCACAAATCCCAGGTCTGAAGTCAGATCACCAAAAACAGCATCCTTGGACAATTCGAAGGCTTGCCTTGCAGAGCATGGGGCAGGGGGTAGATTCAGTGGATTAGAGCTAGACTTTTAATCATCAGTCATGGAATGAACTATATCGACACAATGTATCCAAAACACTATTTTCTTCTGGTGCAATTTTCCAAACTTGGGTCTTCATGACAATAGACTTATTATGGCATGCTTATGGTTGTGGGTTACAAGTAGGAGAAGATATCAACATAATAGCATTCCAAATGATATCTGTTCATAAGCCAATCAGTTTTGGGACATCATCATCGTGATTTGAGATTCCAATAATCCATACATATGGCTAATACGACAATGACTGCTTATTTTGAAACATGCCAACATGAAGGACCCATCTAGGGAATTCATGAACATGAGATTTCCAAGATCCACTAATCCCAAATCTATAATCCTCATTCAGAGCACCAAAATTAAACAATAATAGGTATCCTCAGACACACATATGTCTTTAAGTTATCCCACCATATATTATCACATGGGAAACAACATCACACACACAGAGTATAAGATTTATCTATAAAAATATTATTGTTTCAATAATGTATGATGTATATGTGGTCATTGAATAACCCCATTCAAATAAATGGTTTCAGCCAGAGATACGCTGCATGTCCTCGCTTTCGAAAACCTCCCACCAGCGTAGATCTTCCGGCAAACACTTCCACACAGGACAGCTCCTGGTGTTCATGCTGGGCGCACTAATGAAATGATTTTCCGGATCAACAAATAATGAGCTGAAGGAATCATTCCAAGTTGATTTCAATGTTGTGTTTGCTTTTGACTCATCATCACCTATCAGGAATGCAACATGCATATGTATGTTATATTGACTGACCAGCAAACGTGTGGATCACTCAAAGCACAAAGATCAAATCACTGAATCAGATGCCAATGTAAAGAGACATAGGCAACTAGCAGCAAGGGTAACAATACTGGGATGGTGTGGTTCCTGAGGTGCCCCGATTGTGACATGTCCCACCAACCGAGCATGCCCAGTCCCTGGTTTTCGGTGAAGAAGCTGCTGCAAAATCAACAGCATGGATCCTCAGAAGGGCCAATGTACTTTGAGCAGGTTTGGGATTTAAAAGAGCACCTTTTTTTGGTTTTCAGTGCCATTATTCCACACAAAAAAGGCACCCTATATATCAAATTGGACAGGTTACTATAAAATTGAATATTGGATCGAAACATATTGGCCCAAAGAATGTCCAAAGAAAGAACATACTTGACAACATTTATTTTTTGAGGATAATATGAGAATACCTGAATAATACCTGATTGCATTCTAGAATCACTATAGGTGGGAGTCCCACAAGTAGCAAAAGGGCTACTTGCATTCGACTCAGCCGGAGAGTGGTTGGAGGGGCCATCATGCACCACACACCTTTTGGGAGCCAAAACTACAGACTGATAGGCAACAACATGCATATGTATTTTCCCCTTTTTTAGGTGATCAACTTAGGTCACACAACCACCAGACCCCAGCCGCAATTACAAACATACAGGCAAGGCTGGGAGGCACCTGTTACATAGGCTGGAGCCTTGTCCTTGCTGTTGCCACGCTCCACAGCACCTGACGCCAGGGCTGCCCATCCCAAAGTAAAACTGATGTGTATGTAATGATGCACATTCAAATGATGACAAGTCAGGGTTCCTCACATGTTCATCACATTTTACATTATAATGATTTATAATGCTTTCCCATTCCCCATGATGATATACAATTTACATGTCCTGCAGCCTGCACACAAGACTTTTGTTGCCACAAGCTCATGACCACACCATCAGATTGTCACATCAGGAGTCCCGATGTAAGATATCACACTTCACCATGCAGATGAAATGCACCCACATGAGTTCGAAAGAGACATATGCCAAAAACGGCACCGTTTTGCAACCTGCATAGTTGCTCAACCCCAAATGTCTTGAAAGACAAAGCAGTTGCCACTTCTGAGCAGACAGCTGCCTTTTGAAATTTTTGCTCACTCATCCAAAACATAGTCAGCCATTTTGGCCTCGGGCACCCAGCCAGCCACAATCTTTGCGATGCCCCACCTTGGAACCACAAGGGGAGTTAAGACTATTATGCATATAAAATTATCATACAATAACTGCAGGAAATAACATGTACAGGTTTAGCAATGAACTTTGACAAGCAACTGTGCCTTGCAAAATCCAACACACACACATGAAACAGCATGAAACCAGCTGAGGTTCGCTTGCTTGATGCTTTTGAACCGTGTCCACCCCAAGCTGCAACCCTTCTGCGAATCAGCAACTACTTTTGTGGTCACCCCCTTGCTCTGCAAGATTTCATGCAAGCCCTCAGGGAACTTTGCCTTGTAAACATAGAACGAGCAGCGGTAAAGCATGCACCCAATGCTTGTGCCTTCCCCACCCCCATAGGGACGTACTGTGAAACTCTTGAAAGAAGGTGTTCCATCTTCCAGGGCAGGAAAGTAGTCGATGTCTGCAGCAATTTCATGTACTGCTTTCAACTGCTGGTATGCTTCTGCCACCTTTTGCTGCAGTGCATTTTTCTTTGCATCCACACCCTCCCCCTCTTCCTTGCTACTCTCCTTGCTGCCAGCCGCAATCCCTTGGTCTGCAGCAGCAACCCTGAGCCTTCGCCTTTTGACCATTTCCTTCTGTCGCGGGGTGGCAGCAATGAGACGGGCACCTCGTTTCGGTGTGCCTGGGGCAGGGGAATCTGGGCTAGGCATGGCATCAGCAGAAGCACCCCCACCCTGATTTTCCATCTTCTTGTCTTCTACAGAAACTGTTTTTTTCTTGTTCGTTGCAGCTGCTTTGGCTGCTGCTTTTTCCGCTGCCTTTGCTGCCTTTTTTTCTTCCTTCTCAATACGTTTTGCTTCCTCTTTGGCTTGTTTGTCTGCTGCTTTTTGTTTCTTTTTTTCTTCTTGGGCTCTCAACTTCTGTTCTTTGGCATCTTTTTTCTCAGACAATTTCCTTTGTTTCTCCATCTCCAGCTCAGCCTCCGCCTGCAACAAACTGAACAAAAACAACTAGGGCAGCCCACACATGTAGCAAACTGCAACACTGAACTATACCATTTTTACAGCAGGCCTGTTTTTGGGCCTTCTTAGATCGTCTCTGCTCAAGCGCTAAATTACCAAAATTCATTTCATCCACAGGCCCCGGAGCTTGTGGAAGACGAAGGGCATTAGGAAGGAGAGGGCCACGATCCTCCTAGAGACCAATCCCACTTAGTAAAGAAACCATGGGTGAATGCACAGCAGGATATACAACCATGTTTTTAGAAAAGTACATGTACATGTAGGAATGGAACCACCTCAGGTCCTGAGAATCCTTCTTCGGTTTCAATGTCTTTGGAGCTTCCTTCTTCAAAAAAAGGTCAGCCAGCTTCGCATCATGTTCCCATGGATAGACCTAGCAAACCAAGAACATACCTAGAAAGTGTCCAGGGAGATTCCTGTCCCTATGACCAATGGACTCCATGGTGGTGGAATACTGGAATACAATTTGGGCAGCTGCTAGTCTAGCCTCCTTTCGATTTGCCAAGTAGTAGGCATGGAAGTTGCAAAACATATGCACCGGGTTGTTCAAAACCAACTGCTCCACATCAGTCACAGAACGTCCCAGCTCTTTCTGGCACCACTCCCCAAGAAGCTTGTGGAACTCTTCTTTGACCCCCACCAGCTTAGCGTCCAATGCCTATGAGCGGACCCAGGTATGTTGTGCTTGTTTGGTGTGGTGTGAGTTGAACAAATTTGCAAGTACCAATACCCAATAATGAGCAAGCTGAACAACCAGACCTCGGCATCAGGCATTTTCTGGGCACCAGTTCTGACACCATCAAGCTGCTCATCAGGGGATGTTTTTGCCTTTTCATCAGCCTGTCGGCAGTTAGTTGTCTTGGAAAACAAAACATATTGCAACATGAACAAGGTCAAAAGGAAAATTCACTAGTGTAACCACCAGACCTCATCATCGGAATCAGGCCCAAAGGGTGGAGGCTGGGGCGTCTTGTAAGGTGTTTTCTCAAATGGATCCTGCAGGTGCCAACTTGGACATGTTGTTTTTTTTTTCAAGTTGAAATTTCGGTGAACATCTCCGAAGGGAAATGCATAAAATAATGCAGAAGTAAACACATACACAACAAATTGACAGCATCACATCAAAACCACTCCTCATTCTCAACATCTTCAAGTCCCAAAGAATCCGTCGAGTTGGAAGACACCAGGCCACTTGGTGCCACATCAGCATCAGGGGCCCCTTCCAGCCCAGGAGCTACCAATCCACGGTGCAAGGCAACCACTTGCTTGAGCACCTGAACCTTTGGAGACCTGACCAAAGAGCCCCCCAAAAAACAATGAACAAGACAATTCCAATCAAAAACATAGGGACTCAATTCTTTCCAAGAAAGATGATGACAAAACCTCCCACCTGGCATTCAGTGTGCGATAGGTCAAATTGACCACATGTTGCGCAAGCAGTTTCAACTTGCCACTCTCGACCACAGCCCAGTCCTACACAAAAAATGAACATACACACACACATGTACTACTTGTTGATCAAAAATATGAAAACACAACTCCAAAACTGTCCTTCACCTGCCCTTTGCCACCCCGTTTCTGGTACAGGGATTCACCAAAGAGGTTCATGGTGATGGCAAGGTACACAAAAGCTGCCTCCAAACAACAAATCAGGTTCACCCATAATAGGACCGGGGATAGTGATGTTTCCAGCATTAAATGCACTTGAACACAGTTCAGCTAACATAAGTCTAGTACTGGACCCAAATCTAGATCCCAAGCCTGGTGCTCTTGGGCACTTGGTAGTCTGTCCCCAGAAAACGCAACCAAATATGGTTTCAGAATGTCATAGCGTGCAACCAGATCATCCTCATGAACCTTGTTTTTTAAGCACACAAGCAATTCACTTGAAAGTGCACATGCAAGATGTAGGTGCACATGTTCACATGCAATTGCAAATTAATGTTGGTGACATATAAGCCCCACAATCATTGATTGGGTGCAAGACAAGTAGCAACCACATTCCGAGTAGGCTTCGACCATTGCAGCAGCTTCTTATCCTAACATATGGATTGGCGGAGAAAGGGTCATTAAACCATATATGGGGCATATTCTGGACTTAATAACATTGGAAGCCAAATTCAGTCAAGCCAAGGATCTGGGTCAGACATGATGGATGGGAGATGTGGCCTAAATATGGGCTCCACAACCTCATGGATCTTCAGGCCCACCTCCTGGCAATGTTTGTAATAGAACTGGAATAAATAGCCGAATCCTTTATACCGAATGTATATTAATTGATTTCAAACATATAATCAAACCATCAGAGCACAAAGCCCCCCAACACCCCAAAGCTCCGATAGATGGACGGTCATCGGGTGAAAGATACTTTTCGCCGCCATTGCAGCGCACTGCCAAGGCCAAATGCTCGAGCAATCAATGGCCGCTACCGACACGAGCGCTGTGGAAGAAAAAAATCAGCATGTCGAGCCCTAGAGGGCAGTGGGCCAAACCATCACTAATCACTACTTGAATCGGCATTCCAATTTCGGGTCATCAACCAACAATGGCAGCATGACAAAGGGGGTTGGCACCTCTCAGGAGTGATCGAAACATGGGCATGGCCACAGTGTCAGGGTGAGAGCTGTGAGAGCTGTCGAGAGCTGTTGAAAGTGCCTTCATGTCACACATGTACCATGGCACACACACAAGGGCCAAGCAAAACTTGTTTGATTTGCCCTATCTTGATGTTGATTCGTTATATTTCATGATATGCTATATTGTTGATTTGTGTTGATTCCTCGATTGCCATCATCTATCACTTGAGATTTGAGCCTTGGCACAGTCACTGGGAATGTGGATGAGGGCGATCATATGATATTCACATACTTTACCACCAAACATGTACATAGCAACACAGCCCCCAAAGTACGTGTATACTAAAGTATTGGGAAAGTATGTGAATATCACATGATCGGATTCTTAGGGTATTATAATATGACTTGTATGGATACTTGATCCTATATAATATCATATTTGATTGTCTCATATTGTATCAAAAAAATATGGAACCTCGCTGAAGTCCATGAATTTCAAGGGTTTTCCATGGATTTACCATCGCTTTCCATATTCTTCCCTCTTCTGCAGCTTCTGCACAGCACCCCACTGACCTCCTCATCCACTTCGAATCCCAGCAAGGCAGCGCAGGAATGGCAGGACCTGCTGAAGGTGGTTCCCGGGCCCCTCAGAATCTTATTCAAACAACCGAATGAGACAACAAACAACCCACAGGTGTCAAATTTATGCAAAAGTGCGCCGAGTTTTTCATCAAACGTGTTCACTTTTGGAGCATTTTTCGAGTGGACAGGTTTCACCTCTGAGGACGGAGGTCGCACAAACCGAACCCCCAGGGCCCCAGGGCAGCCTGAAGAGTGTTGCCGGTCCATGATCCTCGTACCTGGCTGTGTTGAGGATCCATCATCCATTGATGACTGGTAGAACACATCGATAAATTTTCATATTTTTGCTGGTCAATTGGGATCATATCTCCCAGAAGCGCTTGCTTGCACCGAACATGGCTGGCGCTGGCGCCTGGTTTCCAACTCTTCGGGCTGTTTGCCGCAGAAGACGCAAATCCCAGGCTCCACCTTGGCCAGAGATCCAGGTTCCGAGATTGGGCGTGAAGGAAGGCCCACCATTTAGTGGAGTATGATATTATTCCCCATTGAAATGGTACCTGGGCACTGGGCACTTAAGATCACCTGAAGCTTGGAACATGTGGATGGATTCATGCTGAACAGATCGTTGGTGATCCTCGTGACATTCCGCAATCAATGGGAGGAGGCACAGCGTTCCAAAAACTGCTCGGAAACAAAATCTCTTGTGTCTAAAGTACCGAAAGAAGAATGATTCTTATAGTGGCTGATTTAGGAGGGGATATCATGATCCTCTAGTAATCAGAGATTGTAGATCATTATGGTTTCACCTGCAACAAAACAGCGGGCCTGTCTTTCTTGCTCACTAGGGTTCCCGACTTCTTTGACACACTGCCACCATTCTTTCAAAGGATCACTGGCTTCTTTCCTTCCAGCCACCGACTTATTTTGGCTTGCCGAACCCGGTCTCAGAAACTTTGCTGGGTCTCCCACATCTCAATACCATCAAGATTGTGCAGGATCTCATGTAATAGCCCAAGGATGCCCAAGGGATGCAAAAACCAACAAGCATAAAAGTAAGTGTGGATGTTTCCGGTGAACTTTTAGTTCCACCTGTCAGAAATCTTCGCTGCATTTAAAACCCTTATGGCCACGGGGCTGCCGATCAGTTTGTCAGAGCTATACTGTGTGGTGATTTAACTGCAGCCATCCAACAATATCCAAAACGCAGATTAGTTCCTGCAAGTTCGCATCATCATATTATATACATTTTTTTAATTATATACCTGAATAAACCTCAGCATTCTGAAAGCACCAGTATATGGAATCCAAGGCTCTCTTCCACGGCTTTGGGTCCCCGGAAGCCTCGGGCGTTTGACCGTTTTACGGCTTCGTTTTGAATGCCAGGACGGGGAGAGTCTGGCAAAAAAACAGCAACGAGTGGACCATTGAGATGGAACAAGCAACGTGAAGATTCACAATAATCATCTAAAACTGATAATTCATTATATATATAATTATATGATATATATATATGATTATTGATAAGTTGAGTTATTTGCATTGAGTTTGATATAAATATTCAATTAGATGATAGTGAATGATGAATACACTAAATATATCCATGTGATTCACTATAGGAATAGTATTTATTGAATTATGCGTCCATAATTTTACATATAGTCAATGGATAAGTATTGTCCACAATCGTGAAACCAATCTTGTTACGGAAGAGACACTTTACACTTTAAAGAGTGATCCCAAGCTCAATCTGCACGGGCTAAAATTTATTTACTGAGGCAAAATATCAGATGGAAAGGTTCATACGAAGACAGACCATTTTGGTATAGATCTGTTTGCCACCCCAAACATTCTGGACCAAACATTCTGGACCAAACGAAAACACACCATGTGTCAGTAATCCCATCCCCCTAATGTTCAACACCTCCCCAGAAACCATTGTTTAATCGGGGATATGCACATTGGCGGATGGGATTAATCCTTCGATATCCATATACCCTCTGGTAACATAGCTATGGAAAATCACCATGTTTAATGGATAAATCAACTATAAATTGCAATTTTCAATAGCTATCTTAAATTACCAGAGGGATTGTATATATATATGATTTATGTGTATATATGTATATACTGTATATATAGTATCTGGTTGGTGGTTTCAACCTACCCCACTGAAAAATATGACTTCGTCAGTTGGGATGATGAACATGTCCCAATATGTGGAAAAAACAATCCGTTCATGTTCCAAACCACCAACCAAATATAATTTATATATGTATATCATCCACTATTTATCATCCACAGCCTATCCATTTGGAAGGTTCCTAACATGGGATCCACAAGCGACCCATGGGTGGTACCTCCATTTGCGGAAACCCTGTTGAATCAAAGGACCACAACTTCTGAACATTCATGGAACTGTCCACTCGAATGTTTGTTGATATCCATTTATATCCATGTTTATTTCCATCAGAGTCATATTCCATGTATATTTGGAGGTCGAATTGCTAGAAGTTTTCATGTCGCTATGCTTTTGGACACGCCAAGATGCAGTAGGCCGCGACCAGCGCCAAAGAACCAGCCAGTAACGTGCCTCAGAAGCCGCCTTTTGCACCTTTTGGTGTTGAGATGCTGGGATTAGCCAACTGGTTTGCTCAACACCAAAAGGTGCAAAACTAACTGGTGGAAAAGGTTAGTAACTGGTTAGTAATCAAACTGGTGTTTGCTAACTGGTTAGTAATCAAAAACCTACTTAGATGGGACATGGCATTAGCTAACAGTCTAACAGGTTAGGATCAATGGTTAGTAACAGATTCATAAACCACGCACTATCCCAATTGTAATCCATTTACAAACTAGTTCACTGACTCCATGGCCCCATCTGATGGATTTTTTTAGGGAAACAATGAAATCCAAGGGTTGAGAAGATTGATAATATCATATTATATCACCACTGATTAAAACATATGAAACTATGGATGGACAGATCTGCCCAAGTTTGGGAGAAGCAAACAAATCTTACAATTGGATAAGTGGCAATTAAGAATTAAGGTTACATAAGCTGGCCCTGGTGAGGGCTCTAAATTTCTCAAATCATATCATTCTGAATTATTCTGAAGGTGGGTTGGTACTAAGTTAGCAAGTGATACTGATTGAGGGAATAAATCATTAGCATGGGACAAACTGGGGCATCCCAACTTTGGATACGTCAATAAGCGATGAACGCACATGCAGGCTTTTGAGGCTTGATGTCGAATCAGACTCTGCCGTGTATGTTTCTCTCTAAAGTTGCTAGAAACCAAGGAAAAATGGTCAAACCTGCGTTCATAACAGTACCTGGTCATGCCCACGACGCTCACAACACAGTCCTCCGCAAAAACATGGCTGATCAAAGAATAGACGGTAAACAAATCAAAGACACATTGGTACTGTAATAAATACTACTTTTGAATACTTTTGGAACTCACTGCAGTGCTTTTTAAGTGACGCACTGGATTCTATCCACAATTGGCCATCCATCGGACAATGGAAATCCAAAATTGGGTACCAATGGAGGTTTCCTGAGTCATAGGGGTAGCCCCAGTTCTCATCCTTAAAAATAGATGGCTGAAAACCATGAAATAAACATAAATAAACATAAATCCAGCGATAGAGGGGTACCCCCATGAAACAATGAAACCCCCATATTTTCATCCCTGTCAATAATCAATGGATTACTGTACCATTGGTACCATCGTCCTAAAAACGTGGGAAAATATGGGGCCAAGCGACTTGGCACACTGGCAATGATGATCCCCACATCAACGTTGACACCTTCGCTCAGGGACGTCATGGTGTCAACGGGTCTCTGATGTGAAGATCTTGGGTTTGATCCAACCAGGATTCCAACGTACATTCTGTATCCTATTGAAAAAGACGCCAACCTCCACTCTAGCACCACAAGAGTGCCCAAACAATTGGGATCTCTTAACTCCTGCGGCCCTTTCTTAAAGTAGAACTGAATTGATACCATAGAATCATTTTCGAATCATATTTCTTCTTGTGTACATCAAATTCGCAACAAAGACCTGAATACCATTTCATTCTCAATCCCATAGTCCCATAGTTACTTAGAAGGAGAAGGAGGAAGAGGAAGCAACTCTGATAAAATCTAGACCCTCACCTGGCAGGTGGGGATAAAACTCCGCCGCCATGGGCCCCTCTTCGAATAGGCGCGCCTGGCTCACAGACGAAGCTCTCAGGCTCCAACTTCCCGCGAAGGCACTGCAACAGGCTCTGAGAGGCCACATAGCCATCCTTCGCCGGAACCGAGGTTGTGGCGCCAAGTTTCATGGCAGCGCTGCCAATAGACCAGGTACAAAGGGGGAAACATCAGGTAAGAAAAGAGGTAAAACAGCAGGTTCGCCTAGAATTGGTCACAGAACCCGGCTTAGGCACTGACATGTTCACAAAAAACTGTTCATGCCCAGCATCAGACCATCCATTCTTGGGAAGAATCTTGAACCATACCCAAAGGGAGCAAGCTTCAAAATGTGTTCTAGGGACACAGAAATTTGACCTTTTGACATGTTGCGAGGGTGCAGCACTATCAACTTGAAAATAAAGACGGTGATGCCCCATAGTTGGTTTATAAGCAGCTTCAGCTTCATTCGGATTTATAGTAGATATTTCATGGATATATCCATGGTTCATGGAGCATCTACTATTAAAATAAAACTAATATTCAGATAAATAGCCGATTATAGCCGGTTCATGGATGTTCATAGAGGTTTACAAAGCAACAACCCTTTCACCGGGCAGTCCTGGCACTGAGGGGAACAGCTTTCCCTGGACTTCACCCGCGGCAAACCACTGCAACTGGGACCTCGAAACCAGTGGTGAAATGGGATCATCATCACATGATTTATTTGAATTGAAAATCGGATAAGATGTGTATATATATATACTGTATTGTACTATATATATATATTATACATATATGTGCACCTATTGCAGGGATTGAACAATATTCAGGGATGGAACATCAAACCAAAACTGAACAACACTCAGCATCAACCACAGCACGGAGCAACCTGTTCACCCATGGGTACCGGCTGGTGGTCCAGTGGTTAACCAAAAGCATGTCAAAAATGGGAGCGTTCGGAAATCATCTCACAAGAAGGGATGACACATGTGAAACATGTGGACATTTATTTTTCAATCAGCGATTTGTTCATGTGTGATAAGTTCCGGCCAAGTATCACACACAGTATGAAAAAGAAAACATACAAATGCCGTATGTATATGTCTATATGTATATATATATATATACATATGTATTACATATTCAAACATAGGTATATGTTCATAGATACAATAGATGTCATGTGGATATACTTCGAATATGCCCAATATTTTGGTAACATCTCCAACGGGCATGTATGGTTACTCTCTGTATTTCTGTTTGTGAAATCCCAGTTTTCACCTTGTTTGCATGACACGTCAGACCGGCTCACCCGAGATACCCAACTGTAAACAAAAACATGTTCAGTTTGACATCAATTATTTGATTTGTCAAAATGACTAGACAAATGGGCCATAAACCATGAACCAGACTACGACCATTCATAAGTTGGTCTTCTTGTTTGTCTGACCATTTAGTGGATTCACATCCCACTCTTTGTAGCACTTATACATTTCCCAAAAGAAAAGACAGTAACGGTTCCTTAAAAACAAAAACACATGAGTTGATTTACAGGATATCACCTAGAGGAAGTGCTGTTGTTGTCTTAAGATTAGTAAACCATTTCATCTTCAATAGTCTTGAGCATCATTTTCCCATTGTTGGGCATGCATTGGCCGGGTATAATTATACAATCATAATCATAATCATTCATATATTTATAGCATATTCATATATCATCATCATCATCATCATCATCATAATCATATATATATATATATATCTATCCATGTACCATCATTTACCTATCCATACCCCAGACAAGCTCTTTCTCCGCTTCGTTCCCCGCGACTCGCGCCATAGATCACCTCGGGCGATTCGCACTCCGCCTCGTTGCAGATGAAGCTGCTGGGGCTCAAACGACCTGGGACCATCGGTGGACATCCCAACCGGGCTCCAAGCGATAAGCGGTTGGTGAAAAATTGGGGGCACCAATTGTTGACCGTAAAATAACGATGTTTTTTTAATGGTTCTGGGAGTTCTGGGATAACCATATTCAACCAAGATTTATATGGCTATAAAAATGGTGAAGCCAATGTAGCTATAAAAATGGGACGTGTCCTTCATTTTTTGAACCAACCAAAAGAAGGCTGAACATTGCTGAACATAATCACTTCAAAAAGAGTCTTAGGTATGAGCCCCTTGGCATTGGGGATGAGCCAAGGACTGCTCTTCAGCAGCCATCACAAGGTGTGTCGATCCCATAGATCCCATGTTCATATCCTTTTCTGATGGTAAAATCAGGTTACCATCTGGTAAAATGACTCACAGTTTGCGAACTGGAAAGATCCACCATGCTATTAAGTTCGGTAAACCATCTACTTCAATGGGCCATCGAAAAACCATGGCTATGTTAGTCATAACCAAAGGGTAAATCATGTAAAATCCTCGATTTCCTATTTAAAAAATACAATTTTAAAAAACCGGCCTCTGGAGCAACTGAGGCGACTGATGGAAGGCGTATAGCCAGCAGCACACTGGGTCGTACAGCTGCCGCCTGGCGTCAAGTTTTTGGGGATGATGCCCTGTTTCAAGCATCGAATCTATTGTGAAGTCCGCATAATTCACTCAAGATACCCTCTGGTTATTTAACATAGCCATGGAAAATCACCATTCTTAATAGGTAAACCATCTATAAATGGGCCATTTCCCATGGCTATGTTAAATAAACAGAGGGTAGCAACTGTACTGTCTACAATCCCATCCCCCCAATCCTCAATTCCCCCAACAAATTCAAGAGACCCAAGACTAAACCAGAAACACTGGGTCTCTTACGGAGCTGGAGTTATGGGGTGAACGGGGGCCCGCAGATTCCAATGTGGCTCCACTGGGATAATCACGGAATCACCGGGCGATAATAACCCGAAACTATCACAGTAACCCATAATCAAAAGAATGATAGTCGTTCATACAATAAATGACCATCAATTCGCCCAAACCTGCGGATTTCTCAAGCCATTGGGGAACCTCTTTAATAATCCCATATCACATTTTGGACGACATTTTAGACTCTAGACATCTCTAGATCATTATATTGAAAGCGCCATGGAATGCCGGGGTCCCATCTTAAGAACACCTCCATATTTCATCACATCTCTGGATGAATTAGACACATTCACCAGCCTGAAGTAAGGCTACAAATATCGACGATCACCCAAATCGCAATCCCAAATGGATTTGTCTGAACACAATGCACAGTATCCCGAAATCCATGCAGGTTAATCATCATATCATTTAATAAAACAACCCGTTCGTAGTATACAGCCAAATATGTTTTTTTCATCGTTGTCCATTGGTCAAATCCCGATTTTGTTGTGGGTTAAACCCACATTCTTCAAGATATTTGATAGCTAAATCCCCATGTTTACAAGCAAGCGTGGATTAAGTTGATTATATATTATATCCCATTAAATCCCAATGTTTCTCCATTCTTGAGGCTTAAATTCCAATGATAGCCCGATTGTGGTTGGTTTATTCCCTAATGTTTCTTGGTGAAATCAAAATGGTTCACCATTAATCAAACGTGGCAATGGCCATTTATGGATGATTTTGTCACCAAAACCTCCATGTACAAAGGCTTTTCCATTGCCATTCGCTGTGTGTGTGTGTCTGTGTGTCTGAGGGTATCCAATTGAATCTCTATATGTTTCATGGTTAGCAGCAGTTCGCAAGGGTTTCACATCGAGCTGTGACAGTATCCGTTGGAGAAATCCCCAATAGTTCAATAGTTGGGTGATGCTCATTAGGACAATTACCAACCCCCTGCGACAGTTGTAAGTTATGCATAACCAGTATCATTCAACAGTCATCTTGTGGAAATGGGTTGTTGTGGCTATTTGTTGGTTGTTGTGCTGTGGTCATTTTTCAGGGTTACCCACACAAATCAACATAGACCGACCCTGCCATATATAGAGGGGGTTGAAGATTAGCTTCCACTGAACATGGAATATGTTCAGGGTCTATGTTAACTTTGAATCATCAACTATGCCCTTAAATCCCCATGAATATATAATTTATGTAACGCTCCATTTTTGATGGGTAATTCCTCCGAGGGTAAACCAGAGGGAAGACCCACCATTCATGGTCAATCTTTGGTAGCCCACAAAAATGCTCATCTGTTGTTGCTTATGATTACCCTCTGGTAAACTAACAGTTTGCTATTGAAAATGGCCCAGTCGAAATAGTGAGTTTTCCTAGCTATAAAATGGTGATTTTCCAGTTCGCTATGTTAGTTTCCCAGAGGGTATGTTCCAGCAAAAATGAAAAGAGCACAAAACTAAAGGATCAGCTTCTACCCATCCAATCAGTCGGGGATATCCCCACCTGGCGCCATGGTGTCCCCCTCCAAACAGCTGCTGCTGGCAAACGTGACCTGGCGAGATGCCGCGAAGCTTTTTCTAAGAAAATTATGGCGTAACAAAACATGGGGATTTCAAGTGGATGAAAAACCATATCTAACCCATCAAACTATTCGACTATGGATCAGAGAATGGGATTGAAACAGCAAACATGGGCTGTGGCTGTATCAATGACTTAACGATTTTTCATCAGCCATATTTGGGATGACACCAACATTAACTGAATAACAACCATTAACAACCTATGAATTGGGATCGAACTAAAAAAAACAAGGGTTTTTAACCAGCCCAACATGGAACACAAATATACTCTTTGTAAAATCTGACTTGGCGAAGGAACACAGGCCCGTCTGATACGAAATACATCTGTAAATGGGCAGCAATTGTGGATTTTACAGTGATCCTGTAGTAAGAACATAGGGGTACAGTAATATTCCTTCTAAGATTACCTAATTGAGTTTTGATCACTAATAACGCAAGGGTTTTGCCGTGTCTTCTTTGCACAAAACGGACGCAAGGATCATAATTTTGATAACCATTTTTTCCGAGGTTTCATTACGTAAACTTTGGGCTCATGGCCAATTATAGATACCAGTATCCAGCAAAAGCAAGTCGTTTATCTGGGTAGTAAAACGATTATCATCAAACTCTTTATTGCTAAAATGATCCTATAACCAGGAGTTTTTCACGGCGTTCTCACCAGATTCTGTTGGCCACTGCATACCCATTTGGAGATGGATCAAAACCTATTGTACCCTAATACGATACCATATTTTGAGGAATGCACCCGATTTACCAGCCATTTTGGTGTTACCCAGGGTACATCAGGGTCCCAGATTTTCGACCTACCACTCATAGCCCATGTTTGATGGTCACCAGCCCTATCCAAGCTGCATTGCTCGGAGCCATACAGGGATCTTCTGCGCATGCGAATTGCAAAGGCGTCAAAATCCCGCTATTGCACAGCAGCTGTGGAACTGAAGATGAATAACCTTGGAACAACTGAAATGCTTTGCTGCTTGATGGTTTCAACGCTAAAAAGTCTGAAAGTCAATATGGATTATAGTCGCAGGTAGGATGGAAAAGGCTTGTTATATATGTGATGCACAAATGGCCGTTTGGTCTTAAAGCCGTTCAGACTAGCTGCGTACAGTGATAGAATTTGTTTTTCCGGATCATCCCACTGATCGCAAGTGGTGAACAACCCTGGTTATGTCCTCGATTCCCAGGCTATCCCACCAAACACTAACCAGTTATTATCGGCGGGATCCCATACAAGTGCTTCTGTTTCACCAGAGTTTTAAGGATATAACTTGATATAACTGATATAACCATCGTAACAGGGGGGGTTGAGGGTTCAAAATGGTAATCCCAAAGGTGGGCTGGTTCTCTGTGGTCCACACGTCGCTGTCCCAGGCACCCGCTTGACACGACGCCGTACAGGCGGCTCCGCTTTCAACGAGAGGACCTTCGACACAGCTGACGCTCCTGGATGCGAGCCAAGTGCCAAAGATGGCTGGTTGGTGGTTGACCTACCCCTCTGAAAAAATTGAGTCAGTTGGGATGATAAAAATTCCAACTGAATGGAAAGTCATAATTGAGTCATAATCCAAATGTTCCAAACCGCCAAGCAGATGGGAATATGATCGATACTGGGAATTTGGGGGTATTAAATGGATATTGTACTAACTTCATATGCTGGAATCTTCCAGCAGATGGAGATATTAGGGTTACTGGGAATGTGGGGATGTATGAGTGGGAATATGGGGGATACGATGTGGGGATAAGATACCTGACCCAAACATGAGAAGTTTACTATATCATATGGGAATATGAATGGATATGGATGGGATATGAATGATATGAATGATATGAATATGTGTTGAATCATCAAATATGAGGATATCACCATCCGTAATGAAGATACAAAGAGGAAAATTCCATCAAGCCTGGGGATATTAATTCTGAAGGATTTGGGTTTAAAGGGGGAAATGACCAATCGACCATGGGAATATTAACTCTTAATCACAGGGATATTGGGAGCACTACCCATCAAACATGGAATATTGGGAGCATGGTTTCATGGGTTTGTCTGGAAATGGCCTACCTCATGGCAATAAGTTTCCCCAATGAAATTGCAATGATTGGGGTACCCCCCATCCTTGCACAAACCAGTGACATTCACAATTGACATGAGGGTATGAATCATCAAAAAGGACGCATACATATATATATATATATATGTATATATATATATATACATACCCATACAAATATGTATACAGTATTATACATCGTACAGGAGGATTATGTTTTTCTTTTCATGGGGATACCCTTAGACAGTTGAATTTGGGGATTGGAAGACTACGTGTTTTTCAACCCAGGGATGGTAACCGACATGCATAAAGTCAAAACGGCTTGATTGTTCTGTGTGATGGTGAATAAACAACTAAGGAGTTTTTCATATACCCCAAAATTCTATACCACAACTTTATGGTATGTATATGTATGGGGTAAATCAGCTATAAACATCTAAACAGTCATCAACAATGACTTCATATCACTGCATCTGGATGAAGACAAGATTAAGACTGTTTTGAATCATCAATGGTTTTGGCAGCCTGTGTCCAACCCATCACAGCACATTATGGTTTCTGAAGGGTTGAGAGCCAGAAGTACCAGACTGCTGCTTTCAATCAACGCATCGAAACCACCCGGAAACAAAAAGGAACACACAACAAAGCAAACAAAAATAATCCCGCTACTCTGCCCCTATCTATATCATAGTTTATGTCTATATCCTCCGTATGGATATATCAAACATTTTTATATATCACATATATATATATATATATCATTCATATCATATCATATCATATCATATCATATCATATCATATCATATACACATATATATATCTCATATCATATCATATCATATCATATCATATCATATCATATCATATATATATATATCATATATATATATCCATCAACATATATAAACATATATAATTACCCTCTGGTAAATTAACATAGCTATGGAAAATCAGCATTTTTAATAGGTAAATCAACGATTTCTACGGGCCATTTCCAATAGCTAGGTATACAGAGATAGCTCCACCAAGGCTCATGGCATAGGCTACATCCATAGGAGCTTGACACATCTGCCCCACCATCAGTGACGTCACCGCTGAGCCGTGAAGCCCGGCACCTGAGTGACACCGTGCCCAAAGAGGCAAAACATGATATGATTATCAAAGATCTATAACCTATATGTGTATAATATAGTTCTTATATATATATATATATCCAAAACATATAGTTTTTATATCTATATATCTTTCTATAAGATCGTTAAATATATGATCTATCTATATCTATCTAGCTATCCATCCATCTGTCTATGGATCCGGGACGACGAAACCTGGACCACTGGGACCACTGGGACCGTGACCTGGAATTCATCCGGGCTTGTACTATATATATATATACAGTTATGGACTTTAACACTTATAAATGGGAATATATATATATATTATATATCGTTAGTTATAGGAGGTATGATCCCATTTATAACTTTTAAAACTGTTAAAGGCAATAACTGCAGGACAGTGCTGAGACCAAACACCCTTCTGGTAAGTTCTGGCAGTCATAGCTGAACGTGAACATACGTGAACAAAACAAACGTTCTGCCACAATCTACAGGTATACCTCTGGCAATGTAACATAAGTACGGAACATGCTCACTTTAATTCTTCAATCATCCATTTGAATGGGCCGGTACGGCTTCCAGTTGATTGATGTGACAAGCAACTTTCCAGTTGTGATCAAAGCCAAAAGGCCCAGAAACTGCAACACATTCCCAGAGGCTAAGCCCAGAAGGAGCGGCGAATAGTGAAAATAACTGTCTGAGCCCACCAATGTCTAGTGACTAGTGGTTTTCACTGGGTATGTTCTTTCCAGGAAAAACACGCATCATCAATTTCTATCTATTTCAGGGTTGTTTGATTTACAGACACGTTTAGGGAGAAAAAAAAGGAAAGGGCTTAAAAAGTCTACCCAACACTGACCATCAGAAAACACCCAACTGTGGGCAACAAGTACCACGGTAAAGTCGTCTTCCAACAGAATCCTAGCAAATTGCTGCAAAATGCACTCATCCCACCCCACCCTAAAGTATGATAGATCATCTTGGGCGCAGCATCAAAGTCTTGTGCAAGGCCGAGTGAGCATTATCATCGCCCCACCCCACCCCACCCCACCCCACTGGAGGCAGCATCTTGTGCAAGATCGAGTGAACGTTATCATCATCACCCCACCCACCCCACCCCACCCCACCCCACCCCGCATGTGAGCAGTGGGGCAAATTGTGGGCGTTGCGCCTAAAGCTACCAATTTTCCAACGGTGGCTATCCTCCACCAAGCAGCTATTGGCGACGGTCCACAGCGTCCAACGTCCGATGCTTGGAATGCTCAAGGTCAAAGGTGCTTCCGCCATACAAAACCTGCTGTTGGTTCCCATGAGGTTCGATAGCTACTTGGTGGTTCTCAGGAATCGTAAGTTGGGTAGTTCACCCTGAACATTGTCCCTACGAGTACTTATCTTACCTATAAGAGACAGAGGTTTTCCGTGTATATATATATATATACATATATATATATATATATATAGTATTATAACCAAATCCCTAACTGCGGTGATACACCAAGTAAGTTGGTTGAACTAAGTAGTTTTATGATTGGATTCATATTAGGTATATTCATTGAACTAGTCAATGAGTCAATGGGGTTCATAGCCAACTTACATAGTAGATAACTCCGGGGAACCACCCTATGCAAATGCGTGCATTTCATGACGGTGACACAATAAAACATAGGCAGTCCAAAATTGAACTTGCCCTAAACAATTTCCCATTGATTTTGCGTGCTAGTTTACTGAAGAGTAGAACTTAAACAATCGTTAATCAAACTGGTGTAAAGCATGCTTCGCAAGAAGCAAGTCTACAAGGCTCCCTGACAGTGGTCTTGTGATTCAACGACCCCAAAGCCAGAGTTGTTCCCAGAAATGCAGCCATTTTGTTTGGTGGGCAGTTTTCAAGTTCAGGTTCGAAACCATCAAATAGCATTGTTTCCCTTGTGAAATGTATAATATCTATCTATATATGTATTATATGCTATGTCTATACACATACATATGCATTTTATATAATATATAGTGTTTAACACCCCCAATGCATGGTCCCAAATATGTATGTTCATCCCCCTACATCCACCATGGTTTCTGGGGACTGTTTCAGATGATCGGGGGATAGAAGATATACACATCACCAAGGGGCTGTCGTTGTGCCGTAGCTGAATCTTCTGTCACTGTGCAAAAGGAGGTATCGCCTGGGCTGGTGGGTACGGTACTCATGGTCTTATGGATACGAAAAATAGTTTCCCATAGTTGATCATACTCTTCCCCTTATTTGAATAGCCATGGGGGATATCCCATAGTTTAAATATCCCCACCACTGTCACCTGGGGTCTGAAAATGGTGTACTCCCAAATCCATTGGATTCGATTATCATCTTCCCGACCTGGTACAGGTATTAGAACATATATGAACATATCAAAATAGCCATTTAGAGGTATACTGTGGGTTTTTAACAATCACAAACCATCCCCCAGAAAAATCACCATAAATATTTTATGGTGCTATGATTACCATTCCCAGTCATGGGTGGTAAACACGGCATTGTTTTTATTCACATTACCCTCTGGTAAACTAACATAGCTATGGAAAATCACCATTTTTAATGGGAAAATCCACTATAAATGGCCATGTTCAATAGCTATGTTAAATAACCAGAGGGTACTCCATTTTCAGACACACCTTCACCAGAAACCTTCGAGTCACTGGAGTCGTGCAACTGTGCTTCAGGATTCAGTGCGAAGGCAGTTGCCACGGAGATCGCGCCCTGGGCCAAGGATTTCTCCAGGAAAAGCCATGGATTTAATTTTAAACATATCATGGGAAATCTCATATTAACTAACTTTAAGTAAAAAAAAACTAGATTTCTAATATTTTCTAATTAGATATTTCATGGAACATAGTGGGATAGTATGAAATATCTAACTCATATTAATTGACCATATCAGACTCTATCCAATTTGGGGTCTATGATCGTGCTGGAACTAAGCCATCAAGTGCAGATCATGTTCCTGGGGAAAGCATGGCTCTATACCACCGCTTTTTGTATGTTTGCTACGAATGGCTATAATTGCTTAGCAACCTGACGAAACCAAACAAATCAAACTGTATGGGCATCCTGAAGATTGTCCAAGATTATCCTGGAATCCAAGTACAAAGTTTCTTGAAACTGATGCTTTCAATTCCCATAGGATCCATGTATGGTATATATGCTAACATTGGGGGTATATTGATGGTAAATGTTACCATATATAGCATACATGGATCCTATGGGATTTAGATGGTATCTTGATAGCGCTTACATCACGTTTCTGAAGATTTCAGATCAAGTCACCGCTTGCGACTGAACCAACTCGGCTCCTTGGTTGCGCGCGGGTCGGCTTATACTCAGACTCAAAATGGGATCGTGTCAAGGAACAACTAACCAACCGACATGTCGGTTTGATCGCATAGATCATCATATCATGTATGTATATATATATATATACACAATATATATATAATTATGTGTATATATATATATATATTTATTTATTCAGCATTCAATTTATGTAGAATTGATTCCTTAACGTTGTGCTGCACTTGTACACAGCAGCTGCAGTAAAAAAACCTTTCTATCGCCAAGCAGTTGGAAGGCCAACTGTCAGCAACAAACTGTTCAAACCGATGTTGTAGTCGTCATCGGCGTCATCATCACCATCATCGCCATAAAAATGGTAACACTAAAAACAAAACAATGGTCGTCTTAGTACTAAATATATTAATATATCATATATATATACATATATCATATATATCTATATACATAAATCATATATACATATAACACTATTATACACTATTCATCATCATTGACCATCATTGAACATCATTGATCATGGCTGTTCATGATTGATACAGTCATGATCACAATCATTATCAATGTCATGATCATAAACATTATCACAATCATGATCAGAAACATTATCAAACACATTATCAGAATCATGATCATTGCTCTTGTTGTCGTCGTCATCATCATCATCACCATCATCATCATCATCATCATCATCATCATCATCATCATCCCCAATTGTGACTACCCTCCGTATCAACCACCACAAATCAAAGAAAACCCCGCACAAAGAGCATGGAATTCCCATCAGCCGCTGAGTTCAGCTACAAGTGTCCAAAGGAAGATACAATGTCACCTTGTAGCCACTTGAAGTAGATGCTGCCTCGGTTTCCGAATCATTGGATCGGTGGAAATGCCGACAAAGGAAACCATGGTTGTTTTCAGGTACCATCTGGTTATTTAACACAGCCATGGAAAATGGCCCGTTTATAGATGGTTTACCTATTAAATTGTGATTTTCCATGGCTATGTTAAATAACCAGATGGTAAATGGGTTTGTCTGGAAATAGGATACCCTAAAAATAGTGCAACTTTACTTATCATCATGTTCACAAAAAAGTTCACTGTTAGAACGGCAACTAATTAGTTGGGACATACACCATTTTCAGACACACCCAATAAATGGGACCTTGTCTATCCACCTTCCCTTCATCCGATGAATCGGACAGCTCATCAACTGGACCATCTGGAAGATTCTGGACGTTCCATACCTTCAAAAGAGCCTGAAGTGATAAGTTGTCTCAAAATGCATATTATATATATATATCCCAACTTGGCAAACTCTATAGTGGGAAGAATCTGATTGACCATGGGATTTTGGCTTTGAACGATTTGACACAATCCCTTGCTAACGAACTTGGATTGAAGCGGAGAAACTGGATGGAAACTTCTTGGATTTTACACATCCCAACAACATCCAACAAATGGGCAGTATATGTAGCATATGGGTCAACATTTTTGCAACCCCAATGGAACCCAATTTGTTTTCTGACAACTTTAAGTAAGAGTATTCGACCCAGAGGGTCGCTTCCAGCTCGGAGAAGCCAGTGGTCCATGACATCGTTGTCTGGGAGCTTAAGTGGTTCATCGCTCCTTTGCCGGGATATCAAGCAAAAACCATGGCATCGGCTCACATCACCATTGTCAGTGACTCAACAAACATCTTTGGTATATTTGAACATCAAAAATGTGGCGAAATTGGGAAACCATCAATTTGGGGTTGTATTTGAGCTTATTTGAGAATTACTGTATGTAGACACAGCTTGCCACTTTGCTTGTTGCATTGGATACACAGTTGTTCACTATTGTGACTTCTTGTGAAAAGAAATTATCAGAAATTCCTATGTTTGCTGGTCAATGTACGCAAACCAGATTCGCACACCCACACCCAAACTTGAAACCTTTGTGGACTGTGCATGTTTTGGTTTCCCCAATCCATCCATGCTGGGGGTTTCCCAAGGCCACCCTGGACCTTAAGCTTGCGACTGTTCCCAGGACCAGTGTCGACCACAACGCTACGACCCACATGGGACAGCGATGCTGCTGGCTCAGTTCCTGGCTGCGCAATGTTGGCTGATCTTAAGTGCCCTGGAAAACAAATTTGGCTGGTGGGTATAGTTCCCCAACAGTGAACCATCCTTAACATCACCATTTTTATGGGTGGTAACTATCGTCCCCAAATGGTAGGTTTATGCCATTGGGTTTTGGCGCATTATGCATTATGCAGCGAACCTGCACCCAATATTTACCCGCACCTAACATCATCAGTGCTGCTGTGCGCGTCTCGGCACTCCAACGGTTCACGCCTCCGACAATGAAACAACGGATCCCACAGGGTCTTTTTGGTTCCATGGGTCACTTGGGTCAATTGGGTATCAGGCATTCTGTTCTAAGTTTAACACCATCATGTTTCCCTATATAGGGTAAGCAAGTTACTAAACATACAAAAAATGGAACATCTATGGTTTCTCTAGGAAAATGATCTAGATTTATGGTGGGTAAACTCCGCATCTGTGTAAACGTTTACAGGAGGGTAATATCTACTACTGGAATTTACATGAATTTACTTGATTTACTGGTATTTCAGAGGACCTCTCTATCTGAAAATCAATGTGCATTTCAAGATTTCCACTGAATCTGATTCATCCACATGTCATGTCCTTGTGGTGCCACTTTCCGAAAAATGGGGCAGGCAAATTCAAAGCTGTTTATTGGTCACAATATCCTTACATTTTGGATAAACAAAACTCCATCCCACATAGCCCTTCTCTCGACCTTTCAGTGAACAATTCAGAGGTGTCACAACTCCGAATCAAGACGTCCAACTATCACTGGATTATCTCGGGGCAAAATCTAGAAGGAACTAGGAACCTTATATGTTTTTATTTACCCTCTGGTAAACTAACATAACTATGGAAAATCACAATTTTTAATGGGAAAATCCACTATAAATGGCCATTTTCAATAGCTATGTTAAATTACCAGAGGGTATTTATTTTATATCTCCAAATATATGGTTTTCCACTAGACTTCCCATCATCCAACCATGAGAAACTACACTTCCAGCCTGTCAGCAATCGCACATCGACCACAAAAAGGACGTGATCCTTGAGGCACACGGTGGATGCCATGGGGATATGATAGAATAGGGTTTTCTTAGTGAACAATCCTGGGATACTAGTGGGATATAGTTGGATATATGATATTCATGATGATATATGACATATGATATTCATACAAATAGCACATCAATTATATATATATAGTTGTATATATACTTCTGGATAAGTTTCATCAAAATTACCAAACGCCTATTGGGGCCGTGGAGGGGGCCATTTGGGGATGGTGATCATCACATTTCAAAGCTTAAAGCATTGCCTCGTTGTTGCAGCACTTGATGAAACAACTTGGTCTTCCATGTCACACGCAAGCGAGTTTAGACAGTTTAGCATGTTCCAGTTGCCCAACAGATATAAGTTGGCCTTGTATGGCCTTGTTACCTTGAAGCAGACCAGCCAGGGAAGTAGATCTTTATTCGAATCGGGAATTCTTTGGATACCAGCGGCTGCCGTTGCAGAGCCACAACCAATGGTGCTGACAACGTGATGTCCCACCGTGTGGACATCGCATTTTCTTGCATGTTCAAAACCTTTCTTGGCAAAGGTATCCCGTATATATAAATATATCCCTAGATATGTAGATATTATTTTATATTATATATATATCTGTTCATTAATTTCATTATATATTTTGCAGCACACGCAATACAACCATTGGACCCCATGCCGCGCAATCATGGGGTTTCATCACCAGCTCAATGCAGGGTCTTCAGCCCTGGACCCATGGGTCGCCAACAAGGGCCCTGCCCGGGCTTGGTTGATATGCATTGGAAACATGGCCGTATGCCTCCAATAGTTGCTGGATGTTGCTGGTGCATTGTGGAAAAAATCGATGTCCCAGGTAGAAAAACCCTAGGTGTTCAATGCACCTTTTGGGCTAGGGTGCATTGAATTTGGTTTCTGTGCCCAGGATGAAAATCAATGAACTTTTTAGGCTCGCCCTTGACCACTGGAATGAACAAAATAAATGACGCCTGGCCCAAAAGGTACATCGACTCTTGCTACTATGCACCTCCAGACCATCTTGGTTACATTTGTTTTGTGGTTGGACGCCTCCATATACATTGATAAGATCATGGTTTTTGGGCCACAACCCCTTGGTACATCGATTTTGTTGGCAGCGGTCACATCGATTCTGTGGACACTCGACACTCCAGGTGCAGCGATAAGGAGGGCAAACCATCACCATTTCCATCGTTTTTTTCCACAATACACCAGCAACTATTGGGAAGAATTATGGGCCATTTATGGCCAATATATATATATATATATTTACAGGACATATTGTACATGTCATTTTACTGCCGGTTTTGTTTTGGGGAAACCAACTTTCAAAATCTGGCTTGTCAACCTTTGTTGGCGACACACAGGTCGATTCTCTGGTAGTAAACCTCAAGCGGATAGCTGTATTTAGCTCATCTATTTTATGCTTGAAACAACCCAACGATACAATAATACTTTTTGGACGGGATATAAATTGAAGGCCCAAGCAAACATTCAAAGCTGTTAGCTGGCAGCATGGTGTCTCATAGCTACATATGACATGGTGAGACAGCACACTTTTCAGACGAGGTCTAACTCATTTGGGGCTTTTGATTCGGAACTACCCTGAAATCAGGCCCAGATACCTTGAATACAACATCAGTTCATAGCCCATTAAGGAGCCTGCTGAGTGTTCCCATGGCACAAATCACCACTACATCGAGTGCATCCTGCAGATCAGCCCATATCGCTGATCCAAGGGGCTGAGATCTGACGCAGCGGCAGAGGCACTAAGGGCGTGTCTGCTGCCAGACCCAAATCCATCCAAGAAGAGAACCTCGGAGCCGAGCTGGACCGCCTTGCGGTCCTGGTATTGGAGGGGATAAAAGACGAGCAACCTATGGGATTGATCATCAAATCTAGTCAAATAGCATCATCAAACCAACTTAGCTAGCTATGGATTCTACCTTAGGCATAGCCTCCACCCCAAGTGGCTGAATGTGACCACCATTGTACAAGGTGGTGCCCCCCGTGAAATGTTTTTTATTGGTTTGTATACCCCGTTAACTATAGAGGTATCTACCATAAATCCTAGCCAACATACTTACAAACCAACTTAGATGACTATGGGGCACCACCTTGCATGGGTTTTACATGGTTTTACCATGTTTGCCCATCAACTCCGACTGATCAGGCATGATAATGCCAAAATCGTAAAACCCGACCCTTTCAATTTCTCTGGAAGGCCAATTTCACCTATGGACCACTGATTCACAAAAATCACAACATTCAACACCTTTTGCTAGCGACCCTTCTGCGCGTAGGTTGCACGGAAGAATGCATCTTGCCTTTGTTACCCAAGAGACCCTAAAAAAACAAAAATCCCAAGACATCGTGAAATTTGATAACATTTGCCTTAAATCAATCAGTGAGATATTGCCCCAACATATACTAGTTGCAATGGATAGATTGAGCAGTACCAGTCATGGTTCTGGCGCGAAATGGTGGCCCAAATAGCAAGACAAATAGCAAGCAGAGTCAATATTTCACTCAGCAAACCATGCCGGTGCAAATTCTAGAAAAAATGGATATTTCAGCTATATACTATATATATAACATAACATATCATACCATAACACCATATAACATGACATTATGTATAGAATATTTCATTACGTTAAATACACAACATGTCATTACATTTCACTACATTACATTACAAATATCCTAATGATATATACGCGTTCAAAAGGAAAACCAGCAGGACGATGCCTTCAATACAGTTTCCCTCACCCAGGACACATCAAGGCGCCAAATTTCGGCCGAAGCACTGCATGTTGGCGGTCAAGGTACTTTGAGTCATGCCAGGTTGCATCAATACACTGCTGTCAATGGCGGCCTCAACTGCCGGAAACCCTATATACTGTAGGCTATCATGGAAGTGGGGAAATGCATGTATGGAAGATTATGGAAGTATGTTGTATTCAATTGTATTCCCATCTGGATGAAAACAAAAACCTAAAGCAGTGCCAAAAAAACAAAACACACTTTGAACAGTGGAATCACTGCAAATACTTCGATAAAGATCCCGCCACTCTAGTAACCATAGTCACAGCAAATTCTCCAAAGTCATCACATATCTACGACCCTGTGTACCATTCATACACAGGGCATTGATGATCCCTGGAGCGACCAAGCGGTTATGCTTGGGGGCCCTGCATGGTCGGTCAATGCGGTCGTCCTTGCGACTTGATCAACCCCCAAAAAGTGATTGGAAACGAACTGTCACAGGCCTGGTGCATGATATATATTGATATATGATATACTTTAAATGGCCCTTAACAGTTGGAAACGCGCCAAATTTCGTGATATATAATGTCAAGTGAGGATTAATAATACCCCCAGGATTAGTCAAGCACCACTGCCTCCAAAAAAACATGTAATTTAAAAACAGGTGGTCCCCCCAGATTAATAAACCCCCCCGATTAAAAAACCACCAGTGCTGAAATCCATTTTTTAATCCAACATTTTTTATTTCCAATTCTATTTATTTCCATTTGTTTTTTACCTTTTTTTATCATCATTGTTGTACTTAAGGTTTTAGTTGATCATTGAAAATTTCAAAAAACAACTATTCCCCAAATGATCGATTTCTAATTAAAATCTTTATAAAAATCATCAGTTTGCATAGCTCCCAAAGGGTACCCCCCATGAGCCCATGTCCCCCATTAATAATAAGCAGGGTTTGCCCCTGATTAATCAACCACCTTTCTGATCCATGAAATTTTAACAAATCCAATGGAATTCTATTAAGATCTAATTGACGTAAGCCATATCCAAAGTTTTATGGTTCAGAGTTGCTTATTATTAAGGGGTCGTCAAGAAAACTAGCCAGAAGGTACCCCCCTACCTTCTGGGGGGGGGAGGTTTATTAATCCGGTGTTGGCATTAATCTTATTTGATTGATGCTATCCAATGGTATGTTATCTTATCCCAATATTAATCATCTATAATCCCAATTTATTTGTAGGAGTTGTATGTTATCATCCCATTGATGACTGTTGTGGTTATTAAGGGCCGCAACTGCAACCAACGAGAGCCGAGAGACCGAGGCCCAGCGGTACTGCAAGGGATGTGTCCGTGGCAGAAACAGCGGCATGGACTCGCTGGACAACCTGGAGCCGGGTGCTGGCTTATATATATATGTGTATGTGTATATAATATATATATATATATGTATATAATAATAATACTAATAATAATAATAATGTCTAATAATATTTAATAATAATAATAATAATAAATAATAATACATACTATAATATATATATATATAATTATAGAAAAAACGAAACAAAGATACAACAAGTAAAATCCTGCTGAAATATTGATAAATCATGACAAATCACAATATTCGGCATACGTAATATATTGAGTTCATGTACCACATAAAAATATATATATATATATATATTCATACATACTCCATCCATATAATTATGCATTACAGAGCCAGTAATTTGTATTCCATATGTTCAAATTATTTCAAACTAATACCGTGAGACGTCGAATCCATTGAAAGAAAACGTGGCTCATGCACAAGGCATGCGTGTCAACATGAGCATCCTGAATGTACGAAAACAACAAACTCTCTGGTACTCCAACCTGGCAATGGAAAATCCACCACCATTCCATCGTCTATCTGGGTAGATTAGAATATTTCACTAACCTGAATTAATGCCATTTGGGGATGATTTCCCTTATTAACCATGATTCCAGTGAAGGAGAACAGTGAGGTCGTTATAATTTACCCAGATCTATAGATGATCTTCCCAGCTATAAACCTCCATTATAGTGGATTTTCCCGTTGCCATGTTTGATACCTCTACTTCTAACATCTGGGTTATTTTCCCGTCGCCAAATTAGATTCACCGGCACCTTCGGCCGTTGGTGGCATTGGTGGGCTCGGTGCCTGCCACCGGATGCGAAATGGTTTTTAGATGCTTTTAGCATGAACGACCCACTCATAGTTGATCCAGCTTGGCAATGAACACCGAAACAAGATCTGGTTGGTGGTTTGAACCATCTTGAAACATATTAGTCAATGGGAAGGGTTATCCCATATATTATGGAAAATAAAAAATGTTCCAAACCACCAACCAGCCAAAAACAAGATGCCAGGAACAGAATCTACAACTTTCTTTGTCTGAAAATAAGGTGTCCCATTCCATCCACTGGTACAGCTCAGGTCCCAAGTATTTGCTGGCCATAAATGGGGTGTGATGTCCATCTTCAGAAAAACTGGAAGTGCCATTACTGTATTCAATGGTCAAATATGGTTAAATTCATGTTATAATATATATATATATATAATTATATATAAATCCCCATGGTCAATCTTTTATGAAACAAAACAACAACATATTTGCAGTTTTTTGTTTTTCGATTTATAGAACAAAACCTAAAGGATTAAACTACCCATCCAGGGTGAATCTGGAAATCCTTATTGTTGATGGTTATTAATAAGGATAAATAGTTATTAATACTGATAAATAATGATTAATAATGATTAATATGATTAATAATAGTTATTAATAATGATAGTCATGAAACTCTCATCTTCCACCAGTTTTGATGCTTCAACCGAGCCGCGAGGTCGGAGAAGCTCCAGACGCAAGGTGGAATCTCTTCCAACCTGCGATCGAAATCCCAAAAGTCACCCCTGGTCCTTTCAGTTGGAAATGACTGGTCCATTGTCGATTCTCAAAAAGTGTCTTATTCTACTCGAGGGTAATCTATAATATATATATATAGTATTTTTTTATTGGTTGATATTCACCCCATGAACAATGAACAACATCCGTAAACTAGTTTGATACATCTATAAATCCATGGCGATAAAGCTAAGGGAGCCCCACCTTGTGCAGGTAGACCATGGTCCGAACGGGAAACAACAATGGATTTCCGGTGTCCATAACAGTTACCCTCTGGTAAACATACAAAAAACTATTGAACATGGCCATAAAAATAGTTGATTTACCCATTTTTTAATGGTGATGTTCCACCAATTACCAAAGGGTATAACTTACCAAAAGGTATTTCATCGAAGATCACCGGAAATTCTGGGTGGTTAACCACTTTCTAATTACCCAAAAATCACTACATTCACTACATAGTGATGTTGAATCCTGGAAAATGGATAAATGGAAGGACCTCCATAGACCCCCTGAGTGGAAAAATCATGGAAAATCCCACTTTTTGACTCAATAAGCAATCTAGCCTTGTTTTTTTTTGCAATCCATCTATCTGTGTCTATCAATCTATTCATCCAAGCACTTGAAGGACGGAAAGTACCAAAAATCCAGAAATTAGTCACTCACCACCTTTCATGACTAAGGTCATGTGAGCTTTACCTTTCAACTTGTTTGTTTTTGGTTATTTTTCCATATTTTTCCTTCATTCAAAATTCAAACCCATGCCCCAAACCTTTGCAACATCTCCTCAGGAGAACAGCCCTGCCTGTTCAGGTACCAGCACCACAGTCTGCACTGGCGCCGGGAGGGATTGGACATCCACTTCACTTGGGGCCTTGGCAGTGGTTGCTGTCAAACATCCATGGGACACATCCGGGGTGTGTCTGAAACTCGGGGATTTAGCTCCAAGAATGGCCATTTAACGGTGAACGTGATGATTAAACAGTGCCTCATGTTCAAACATGTTCAAACAAAGCCTTGAATGAATGGGAGATTTGAAGGCACGTCTCGGCTGTATGTAAGAAGTGAAAGGTAGATGCTAAGCAGGAAGAAAAAATGTTGCTATTGGACGCCTTAAACTTAGGCATCAGATGGAATATGTCAAGCTGGGCAAATTATTGTTTATTTCCATATCCAATTCCCCCCCAACATGAAATAGCATGGGAATTGCCAAACTAACCATAAACATATCCAACATTACAAGCCTAGCACCAGTCATCCTGATGAGGTCCTGAGATCGCGACAAGACGAGAGAGAGAGAGAGAGAGTGATGTTTAGAAAAACGGCTGATCCACCACTAAAATGGCAAAGAGTTGATTATATGTGTATATTATATATATACATAGTAGTAAAAAAAATATATGATATACATTCATTTTTAATGTGCCCGTGCGTGTTGCGTACATCTCATCTTTTGTTGGCTCAGAAAAGGGTACGCCTTTTTAGGAACGTTCGAGAGAATTATCGATTGCCCCTCAACAACTCTTGGTCGGAAGGTCCCCCTGTATACAATTACATATGGGGTTCAGCTAAGTCATAGGCGTACCCCCCGAATCATCCAAAGTTAGACCATTGTAGTATTGAAACCTATGGATAGCTATGGTGACTTGGGGATCCCCCATTTTAGGAAATCGACATATGTTTTTAAGGGACCAATGGAACAAATGACCTACAAAATCAGTTTCTTTCAGTATTTACGCATCCCACGTGAGCATTGCCAACCCATTGTGATAAAGAACCGTCATCACAACAACCACTAATTGGTAGTACGCTACAATTGAGTGGTAATACTTGGTAAATATAAACAATGGTAATCCTATTTGGATGAACATAGAATATAGTTCAAACAACCACTATATAATATATTATATATATATGCAATTCAATAGTGAACCGTACCATATACTCTAGAGATCTCTAGAGGTAATTTCATGTAGATATGAAAGCCATTGGAAACCAATATATGTTCAAAGCTACCTTAGATTACCAGAGCCTAGTATCATGCACTTATTCTCTCGCAATGGCAATGGAAAATACACCATTTATAGTTGATTGTCCTAGCATAAATCTCCATTTATGTATGATATATATATATATATATATATCCAATCTATATATATATATTAATATACACATGGATCAATCCCCCAATAAATGGACCTGGTCCTTTCCTTCGGGCTCCAGACAAAGCTGGGCTCCGCCAGAATGCTGGGGGTGGAGCTCATGAGCTCACCTGAAATAACAACTGGGTGGTGCCAGCCCGTCAGTTCGAAATGCCGAGAAAAAGCCAGCAAAAATACTGGGAACAATGTGACTTCACCCAAGATGTGGATTTATACTTGATTTATGTTGGCTCAATTGGCTCAATGCTCTTAAACATCGTTAATGGGGGTTCAAAACCAACCTATGTCCTTGCATGGTTTGCTGAGGGATTTACATAGTTTGGGACCATACTAGGTTGTTCAAAATTAGGAGGATGGGATTCACTGGAATAGGGCATGGGGATTCGACCCCTAGTGACCCCGTGGCCCCCTCAATGATACGTAGAATTTCGTCCGATGCTTACGATTCGCCAAGGCAACGTGTGGTTCGTCATTTGGGGGGGGGGCTCACCTTTCAAAGGCCAGTTGAATCGTCATCAAATCAAACCTGTCATCCCTGCAATGATGGATTCAAGCCTACCCACCCAAACGGCGATTTAGCATGATTTAACCATTCTACATGGGGACATTAAGCAGAATATACCATAATAATGCAGGTATGAAGCAGCAATCACGGGGGAAGTCAGCAATGCTGGGATATGGTGCGCAGCAACAGCTTTTGGAATTCTGGGGGCCTTCCACCATCCCTTTCTACCCACCATCGACCAATCAGGGGTTTTGCGCACTGTTCTCTCAAGATACATCTCACTGCATCAGTATGTGTGACTAAGCTTAAAGTGCAGGCGGTCGCAGCCCATGAAAAAGGTGTCCCTACCACTACCCCCAGGTTGAAGCTGACGGTATGCATGGTAGATGTTGTGTAAGTCAAATCAATTATCGGATAACATGGACAGTATCACATACAAATGCATAACCAGCAAGATTTGTTTGCAACCGTTTGCAGATTTCTGGGGCTTGTGTGAAGCCTACAACGCCAATGTTGTGACGAACAACATACGTCAACTTCTTGGAATAGACATTGGGGTTTTGGAACCCCATGCGGGCATGACATTATATACAAATATCTTGCTTACAATCACCAAACCACAACAGGAATTATCGTTATGGCTCGATCAGAATCCCTAACCCTAACTATGAATGGATTGATGACCATCCCTTTTCTTGCTGTATCCTGGACCAACAAGCAACTGCAAGCGTTGTTGGTCATTGTTCGATGTGGCATTCGATGTGGCTTTGCGTCAAAAGTGGTGGTCGTGTGTGTATTAAACCGTCCAGTTTCAAAATGGGGAGTTAATCATTTTAATCATTAAACATGTTTTCAACTGTCCATAGACTGGGAAGTCAATCATTTTAACCTGTACCCATGTGTTTACATGTGGGAATGGTATTAAACAATCAGGATGCGGATGGTAACCTGTCCCAGGTCCCTGCAAATTGGGCAGGCAAATTCTCAATGGTAACTCGAGATACCACATTCAATGTACAGTACCCTCCAGTAATCAAACATGTCAATGGAAAATCGGATTTTCCCATCTAAACCTTCATTTATCAAACCCTGTTCAATTGCTATGTTTGAGTACATTGATTACCGGAGGCACTTGGGTGGCACCGGATGCCAACCCATCTTGCCAAGTGGCAGGCAGGGGCAGATTCCAAATAGCCTTGCCAAAGGGACCACGCGCACAGCCTGCGACGGCTGCAGTTGCACCAAAGTTGAAAGTCATGGGATGTCATGGGTCAGAAATGGGAAAGATGTTGGGGAGATCCGAAGTCTGGTCACGTCAGCAGACGGCCTCACGTACTTGAGCTTAGCCCCAAGTCTGGATGCAAAAATGAGAGCTGAAACCACAAGGTGGTTTAACCATCCCCCAGCTACAAGTTGGTCCCGCTGACCCCCTTGGAACTAAATATAGTGAGAGCCCCCGTAAATCCTAAGGGGCCTCACCTTGCACATGCAGAAAAACGTGGTCTCTAACGGCTCTCAAATGCCTTTGTATCCTCATTCCTTTTGGGAACAGCTTCATAAAATTCATATACAACCCAAACCTTTTGATTGAAACCGATGTTCCGATGCAGAAACAAACATGCCCTTACTAGAAACTTGCAAAAAAGATGAATAGAATCAGACTCCTCGAGTCATGAAAAGAAATCAAAACACATAGGTATGAGTCAAGATTGGGTACCCCTATGCGAACAATAGTACTTACGTGCTTACTAACAGATCAAACAAAATGTCCCAAACATTCCCAAACCTGTACTACCATACGGGTTTCTCTGAAAATATATGGTACCAATTAAATATCCATTGTCCTGGTTATCCACTGGTTAAGTCTCTATGTGTGATGGTTAAATCTCTTTGTGTCACAGTTTTTGATGGGAAGATCATGTTTAATCCCTATGTGTCAGCAGGTTTTATGGTTACCCTCTGGTAAACATTCACAGTTTGCTATTGAAAATGACCATAGAAATAGTTGATTTTTCCATTAGAAATGGGTGGATCTTTCCATAGTTAGTGGCCATTTATAGTGGTAATTTAACATAGCTATAGAAAGATTCACCATTTTTCATAGGTAAACCATCTATTTCTATGGGCCATTTTCCATAGTCTTTTGTATGTTTACCAGAGGGTAAATCCCCCGAGTGCACGAAAAGTTCTCCCGCCTGGTGTAGCCCGCAGGGACAGCAATGAGCTCAGCCGGCAGGGTACCGTTCATCGGCAGCTCACAGATCTGTCCATGGCGCGGCGCTGGGGTGGGGTACTGGGTGTTTTTTTATGGCTACAATGTGGGGCCCAAATGGATATAAATGGTTCTTGATTCTAATAATGGTTCCAAATTAATGTGTGATATATATATATATATAATTATATATATATACTGATATTGATGGATTAATCCCATATATAATATAAAACACCCCCTAAATGGTTCCAAATTAATGTGTATCTTCACTACCAAACCATGGTTCCTAACGGGGTTTGTCTTGAAATGGGTGAGACCCCCAAATAACAATTGAAACATGGCACAATTTTATGCTTCACCAGCTGATGTTGGGTGGTTTTCCCCCAAGAGTTTCAGCCACACCCATGTATTTTTGCTGCGTATCCAACTTTGACCAAATGGATATGAAATGGATATGTCACTATCGTCCGTTAAAGACCATCGATCCTGACCATTCAACTCCATTAAGACCATCTCATCCCCAGTGATGTACATAAAACTCCGTGAAACCGCCTGAAACGCCATTTAAATTCCTCCGAACTCCATTAAAACATCCATTAAAATATCCATTAAAACTTCCAATTCATTCTCCATGAAGGTTTAATCCTCAGTGAAACACCTTTTAACATCCCATGAAAACTCCATGAAACTCAGAAATCCTATGAACAGAAAAAATGTGCGATCCTGTGGCCAGGCGCAGAGCTCCACGTCACTCCTGGAAAGCGGGTGCCGAAATGTTCGGGATTTCACCTGGAAAATGCTGGGGAATTGAAATTTAAGACTCTAAGAATGGGCCGAAATTGAGATTATCTGCTGAATAATCAAGGAGATTATCCATTGTTGAACCATGATCTGCTAAAATTGAAATTATCCGGTTGCTGAACTGTTTTTTTTTTTTTCTGAGCCAACATTGTTCTTGGTTTCTTGAGTTAGCTGTAGAACAATCATTGGGCAGAACATGTGATGAGTTGACAAATCTGCTCTGAACAAATTGCCCACCTGGGATCATCGTAGCATTTTTTCATGGCCAGCCAGGTCTATCATCCGCATTGTCAGACACAAATATCATACCAAGTTGATGAGTTAATTCCATGAAATATCCCATGTCACATCCCATTAGTTCCCATGTATTTGATTGTTCAATCCCAATTGTCAATATAATTATGGTTATTGATAATTGATAATTAATCCCATTACCTATATAGATATCTGCATGTTAGATTAAATTATTCGTGTATGTTCAATTTGGTCGTATCCCAAATGGTATATATACTGTACATACATATGTATATATATATGTATACACCATTTTCAGACATCCCCAATTTTTTGGATCAGCATGAAATCTTAAAAATTGAACTATCTCATCAAAATCCAAGCATACCAACATTTTGTATATTACTTATGGGATCCAATCCCCAATTATCCAATGTTTGGTATTAACCAGAATTAATCATATATGTTGTTCTATACATTATTTATCACAGTTTATTTTCAGAAACTTAACCCCTAGTAGCAATTTCTTTCTTTGTGAAACCATGTAATTAAAACAAATATAATAATAAATGAGTCCCCATGTTTGTTCGTTCCATAAGCAACATACTTTAAATTAATCAACTTGTGTACAATGTATTATTCATATGACTTTTCATGTCTGTTATTATCCCCATTTTTCTTATCCCCATTCAATCCATTCTAATTCTAATCATCATCACTGTTGCTTGTTGTGTGTTGTTATCATCCCCATTTTCCATCATTTAATACCAACTTCTTGTTACCCTCCTGTCAACTAACATCGATTTGGAACAACCACCATTTTCCCATGGAAATCCATGGGTCTTTCCACATCTGTGTTGGTTTACCCTAGGCTTCCCCTTACGGATCATGGCTTCTGATCGTGGTTTCCCCATGGGGTTTTCCACTTCCAAACGGCACCTCCAGGTGTCTGGCCCATGCAGCGCGCTGCGGAAGGCCGTTGGACGAAAGGCTTCGGGCAGCGTGACCACGCTGGCGGTCACGGAAGGCACCTGTGCAGTGGTCCCAGCTTCGGAGAAGTGACATGGGAAAAATATGTTTCAAAAATAAGGGAAATTACAAAAAAAACAAGTATGGAAAAGTGAGGGAACCGTGAAAATAGTTATACAATAACGGAAACTGGAAAGGGAAACATCTTTTGGAAGTAAAAGGGACATGCGGAAAAACATGCAAATTATATGCGCAAAATCAAATGGATGGGAAAATAATGAACACATATATAGCTAAAAAGGCAAAATTGGAAAATAAAGGGACGACACATCTATGGAAAAACAGGGAAATGGTCCAATGGTACACATCTATGTATACATATATATATATATATATGTGGAAAGATGAAACAACTGGGGAAATACAGGGAATAATATTGTGGGAACATAAAAGCCGCAGCCGGGTGAACCAGTGAAGCCGTCGATTTCTGACCAGACCATAACAGACCAGTAGGAAAAGGGCATCTATGACCCATAGTGAATCTGGTTGGTGGTTTCAACCATCTTGAAACATATGAAAGTCGATGGGAAGGATTATCCCATATATTATGGACAACAATATATTTGAAACCATCAACCAGGACCCATAGTGAATACTTAGATCAAGTACCAAGCCAAGTGTTCTCAGGAAGGTGACTGGTATAGATGCCGTAGTCATCTTAGATGTTATATGATATATGTGATATGGCCATCCATCTGATAATGGGCATTCAAACACCACCAGTGGTCCCGAACTCAACATGGAGTGATGACCATCCCAAGTTTTCACCATGGCACGAATGGTGAAGGTTTCCAGTCATGGGGGTACCCCGAAATCACCGAAATCATCCATTTTCATAGGATGTTCCACTATAAACCATCCATGTTGATCCATTTGGGATCCTCCATTTATGGAAGCCCCCATATGATGAATTCAACCCATGCTTTGATGACCGCTGATTCTTTAGAGGAAATTCACGGTGCTCATCCAACTGGTTTCTTTTGGTTTGGTGCCTATTCAAAAACCAGTTGGTTGCTTCGGGGTGGTAAATTCATATTAGGGGAAGGGATGTTTCCAAGGAGTCAGCTACATATCTGCTCCAAATCCCATGACATGCACGCCCTGTTTTTACGTTCAATTCAATCTCATCCTTTGCATAGTTTGACATGTTCTACCCTCCGAAGCTGGCAAGGACAATAATTCATAATCGATTCATTAATTTAAGAAATTTGGATGCCCATTGTTTTTGGAATGTTCCATGCATTCTCATTGATTTTCATTGATCTGGGTAAATCATAATATTTCACTAATCTGAATTGTTGGGCCCATTTGGGGATGATTTCCCAATAAAACCATGATTTTCATTAATGTTCCATTGATGCCTAGGCAGGAACTTGGATGTTCACATGATACCCGGCCTCCACCAAGAAGGGTGAAGGAACCTGAGACAAAAACAGGATGCGTGAAGGGCCAGGCAGCTGGGGGGTGAAGTAATGGTTAGTAATGGTTAGTATTGGTTGATAACCAGGATTAGTATCACCACTACTAACCCATTTTCAGTGTGTCATATTCGGTGAATATGGGTTGATATGGGTTAGTACTGGTAAAATAACTCCAAGAAGCTGGGATATTATAACCCCTACAACCGTGGCTAGATAAACACTGTGTAGCAGAACTGTACCCCCAACGGGGAAGTTCAATGGCGGGAATGTGGGTGACTAACTCCATGATGAAAATGAAGACACAAATCTGTGCCCACTGGTAAATTAACACTTCGTTATTAACAACATCACCATTTATTGCTCCATTTTTTCGGACATGCCCAAGGACTGCCCCAGTCAATCAACCAATGGATTTCATCAACGTCAATGAATCGTGAACCTCAAGCTGCTGATAGTTCTTACCAGGTTTGATGGTTAACAAAAAACATCATTAAAATTGAAACCTCCATTTTGCATCATATTGTGGGCAACCCAACAATAAACCTACCATTTGGCAATGGTTTATACCACCCATATTTCTTGATATTTCGGCCCACCATCAAGGGTCCCTTCAAATCCCCTCACGTAGACACCGAGGAACATCATTCAAGTCCAAGGGCTCATAGTGCAGGGTGAAGAAACACTCCGCCAGCGAGAAACCCTCCTGACCGCAAACAACCGTGCAACGGTAACGATGAGTCGGTTTACAATAATTAATTGGTAATCTGATCATAAGTGTTGTTCACCATATTTTTTTGGTTAAATTTGATCCTAACTTTATTCTACAAATAATTTTGGGTTTCATGGAAACTTGAAGGTTTCACTGACAAATCTGCCAATCATATGGGCTGAACCATCAACAAGCCGGGGAAATTTGTAAACCCTTCATTGATGAAAAACACTAAAACCTGACCAAAAAGGCAACCAAGGTGATAACCTTCCAGCGGCTCACCGGATCACCACCTGCCGAAAAACAACACCAATAAAGATACTGTAGAAGATGAACCAAGCACTAAGCCGAAGAACCTATATATATATATATAGAAAAAACTGTGAACAAAATCACATGTTCATCATCTTTTCCCATCTTTTCCAAGGAGAATTGTGGGATCCCTAGGCCTCACTTCTGGGCGCCTGGAGCCATACCATGGCCTTAGGCGCCACCGCTCCAGGTTCCAAGATCTGCGCCAGGTCGCCACGGAGGATATAATGATATAGAATCTTGCATATCATATTCATGAATATATATATATATTAATAGTAATAATAATAATAATTGATATTATTAATTAATTAAATAAGTAAGTAATTAATTATTTAATATCATTATTGTTATTGTTATTATTATTATATCATTATTATTGTTATTGTTATTAGTATCATCATTATTATGATTAGATATATAATTATATATATATATATATCGTCTGCAGTCATACATCTGGAATATCTGCAACTTGGTTTACAACTGGGCCAACTGTAGGCCGTTCATTCCGTGTTTAGTGGGCTGATCTCTGTATAGTTCGAAAATTAAAAGCCAACTTAAAATTCTGATCCCCACCCTTGCAATCCCTTGTGAGGATTCGAACATTTCTCGAGACTTCCTGTTTCAAACCCGCCCAATATTGCTCTTTTCCACGAACCAGACCCGCAACCCGCAGTGCGACCCTCAGTGCCCTGCACGCGCCTGAAGCACTTTGGGCAAAGGCGTGCGTTCGCGGAGCCATAGGAAGGTCTTGGACAAGGGATAGGACCAAAGATATCCAGGCCGCCTCCAGTGCTGCGACAGCACACGACGGCACGACGGGTGACGGACGATGCCCTATGAAATGTTTGTGACTTTCTGTTGACCCCTATGAACACATCTACCAGGAATCTCTGGACACTAATTATTGTTGTTGAAGACCAGCTTTGCTAAGCTATAGGAGGTACCAGCTTGCATGACTGCTTAGTTGTATTTTAGCTGGGCTGACTGGCCCACTTCCAGCTGCGCAAACCGCTACCCTAGGGTAAACTAATCTAGATGTGGAAAATTCGCATGGTTTCCATAGGAAAATGATCTACAATCTACAAATTGTGGATGTTCCACAACTATTAGTCAGTTTACAGGAGGGCAACATAGCAAGTTGGTATTAAATGTATTAAACTATGGAAAATGGGGCTGATTTAATACACACAAGAAGCAACAGCGCAAGTCTCGCCTGACAGTGGTGAGCACTGTGACATTCAGCGTCAGATCGCCAATTGACTCCACCTGCAACAAGAAAGGGCCACCTAGATAGGTAAGTTGTTTATAAGCCTCGGCTATCTAGGATGTATGCTTGGAATACATATATATATATGTATATATATATATATACATGGTAGTTAAATGGCTTGTTATACATATAATATTTACATATATATATATATATACAACACATATATATATATATTAAAGGATATTATAAACAACGTATAAGATATATATATATATACACATCAACTTGGACCTGTGGTGCACTGCAACACCTTGTAACATAAAAGTGATATGCAAAATTAAGCTCTGTATTGGGGCATCTTGTCTAGATTTCTTACTAGCAAACATCTATAGATACAGTAAACCAAATGTCAAAAACTTGCGGGCCTGGTTTGCGCCAGGTTTTTTCCCCCTTCCCGGGGATTTTTTTCCCTCCTCAATGCCGCATCAATTCCCTCGCTATTTGCAGCATGTTAAACCTCGAAGCTGCCATTTCGACAGTATTTGCAGCATGTTTTAACCACCTCACTGTAATTGCAGCATTTTGGAGCTGGAACTAGAAACTGATGATAAGTCAAGCATTTTGGAGCTAGAAACTCTTATTTCTGCCGGAATCGGAGATTTTTGGAGCTAAGTTGGTTTATAAATGGTGTTTGTGTAGCGCTTGTTTGGCGTGAATTTAGTGTTGGTGCAATATGTTGTTTCGGGTTAGTTTGCGGTTTAGCTAGGAGTCCGCCTGGTTTTGGGGTTGGTTCAACTAGGCTGCTTTAGGATTTGTTTCAGCTTGGGTGAAGGTAGTTTGCCATGTTTCTTATCTTTTAAGATATGTTCAGGGTTGGTTTAGGTTTGGTGTAAGGTTTTGTTTAGATTTGGTTTAGGGTTGTGTTCCAAGGCCGGTTTGAAATTGTAGTTAAAATTGATTTAGAGTTTTGTTTGGGTGGGCTTAGTGTTAGCTTAAGGTTTACTCTGCATTTATTGAATGTTGGCGTAATGCTTATATAACTATTTCTGGCGTGCTTAGTATTTGGTTCAAGATACGTTTAAATTTTCTTTTGGTTTGGTTTCGGGTTGCTTCAGGGTTGGGTCAGTGGTTTATTGCTGGTTGGCTCAAGGTTGGTGCAAAGTTTTATCTAAAATCGGTCCAGGGTTTGATTCGGAATTTGTTGAAAACTCATTTGCCTTTTAGGTTTGGATTTGGGTTTGTTTTGGGTTGGGTTAACCCTTTATTTGGCATTAGTTTTGAGGGTTTATTTAATTCGAGGTTGGTTGAAACTTTAAAGTTGGCTGGGGGGTTGACTTTAAGGTGTGTGTGTGTGTGCAGTTTCGTTCGTGAGGGTTTTATGGTCTATGATTGTTTATCTATTTATATATATATATACATAGACAGTTTGCTTTAAGGTGTTCTTTGGGGTTGGATTAAGGGATTCTTTATAATCGGTTTAAGGTTGGTTTAGGGTTGATTGGGGATTGGTTTAAGGTTTGATCAGAGCTGGTTTGGGGACTATGGAATTTTGGTTTAAAATCTTGTTGAATTATAGTTCACAAATTTATTTGAGGTTGTTAAGGGTTTTATGAAAGTTGGCTTAATGGCTAATTCAAGTTGGTTTACGGTCGATGTAGTGCCGGTGCACTTTACGTTTCAATTTGGTTTACGGTTCGGTTTAGAATTGGTTTGGGGCTGGTTAGAGATCTATTTAGGGTTGATTTGTGGTTTATTGAGGATAGGTTCAAGGCTTCGTGACAATTTATTTGGGGGTGGTTTCAGGTTGTATTTCAAAATTGGTGGTGCTTTACTAAGGGTCAGTCTATCTTTCTATTTCAGGCTGGTCAGGTTTTTTTTTAGAGTAGGTTCAACGTTTTATGGTTGATTTAGAATAGATCTAAGCTTTGGTGTTGTTTTTATTTTAAATGTTCCTTAGGGTTGGTCAAAGGTTGGTTTGAAGCTTTATTTCTGTTTAGTGCCAGTTAGTTTACAGTTTAAAGTTCGTTTAGGGTTTGGATAAGTAAGCTTGGATTTGGGTTGCAGTTGGTTTAGAATTGTATTTGGGTTGGTTCAGGGTTGCTTTGTTTTATTGAAAGTGGGATTATAGTTTTTTTTTTTTTTCCGACGTGTTGGCTCGAAGGTTTATCTACGATTGGCTCAAAACTTTACTTATGGTGGCTGGCTGGCTCACTTGCTTACTTCCTTGCTTGCTTCCTCAATTGGTTGCTTGCTGCCTTCCTGGCTTGCTTGCCTGCATCCAAAGTGGTTGCTTGCTCTGGCTTACCTGCATGGCTGGCTTGCTTTCTTGCTTTCTGGCTGGCTTGCTTGCTTGCTTGGCTTGCCTGCCTGCCTGCCTGCCTGGCTCAATTGCTTGCCTGCTGGCTTCATTGTGAAAGGATGATCGGGGGAAAAAAATATCCCCGGGGAAGGGGAACAAAATCCGAGGAAAAATAGTGCGCCAAGACTTGCGGGCTTACAAAATTGGCAATCAAATATCATAATATGTATCGAGTATATATATATATGTAAACAATTACAGTATATATACATATGAATGATATGAATGATATGAATGATATGAATGATATGAATGATATGAATGATATGAATGATATGAATGATATGAATGATATGAATGATATGAATGATAGATGCAGAACAGGCTTTGTACTTAAATTTTGGGAAGTGCCTCCAAGTACACATAGACAGTCGGCCTCAGCGAGGAGGTTTTGCAAGTAGAGTTTCCGCGGGCCGTTGTAGGGCAGCCAGGTGCAATCTGTAAGGCTCTTGCTGTTCAGGCTGCCCTGGTAACCTCAATGACGGAGTGAACAATAAAGGAGTCGTTGAAAAAGAATGACATCGAGAAATATGGTGGTGAGATTCCATAGCTGATAATCCCAACACATGGCGCATGAATTAAATCCAGTCAACCATGCAATGACCAACAAATTTCACTAGTGATAGCTCAAAATCTCTCGAACCTCCAGCAGTGCAACATTCACTCAGCAGTGGCTGCCACTTTGATTTGAGTATTTTGCAGCGTTGACCACACAGACCCATCATCCATTGAACCAGGGCACAACTTGGCACAACAATTAAAAAACATAATAAAACAATGTTTCATGCCAAGGTGAAGCCAACAAAAAACATAGCAACTTGGCACCCAAGAAAGGTCATTCTCAAGCCAACTGCCGCCCCAGCAACTGTAAGCTGTCGCCAATACACAACTTTGCCTTTCGGCGTCAGGTTGTCCCACCGTGCTTGGGAATGCAGGAGCCCCCAAAACCCTGAACAGTTGGCTATTCATATCTGATCTATCTGTGTATATATATATATTATACATACATATATATATATATATATATCTGGCCAAATTACTTTAATTCTTACCTCGTCTCCCTCGTGTCTTAATTTGTTCCCCATGATTACTGTCCTCGTTCGTTAATTTGCAGGTGCAAATTAAGGCTTTACCTCGTTAATTCGAAGGAAGAAAGTAGCTTGTGGGCCTTCTTTCCAGGGTCCAACCCCAAGGAAAAAAACTTTTCAGCTTCCTAAAAGTTTTTTTCCACGATCCACGGTCTCTTGCAGGGATTTTAAGTCTGAGTCTGATCGGTCTTTGCGCTTCTTGCGCTTGGGTGGTGACATCTCTGACATTATCGCAGAGATGCAATGCTCTTCTGGAGCAACTCTGAATCCTACTGCTTCTGCAGCCGTCAACCCACGAAGCGGGCCTCTGGCGATAGAAAATAAAACTTTTTGGGGCCTGAAAAGTTTTTTTTCCTTCCTTGCCTGCTGACCGGCCTCTGGCGATAGAAAATAAAACTTTTTGGGGCCTGAAAAGTTTTTTTCCTTCCTTGCCTGCTGACTGGCCTCTGGCGATAGAAAATAAAACTTTTTGGGGCCTGAAAAGTTTTTTTTCCTTCCTTGCCTGCTGACCGGCCTCTGGCGATAGAAAATAAAACTTTTTGGGGCCTGAAAAGTTGTTTTTCCTTCCTTGCCTGCTGACCGGCCTCTGGCGATAGAAAATAAACTTTTTGGGGCCTGAAAAGTTTGTTTTTCCTTCCTTGCCTGCTGACCGGCCTCTAGCGATAGAAAATAAAACTTTTTGGGGCCTGAAAAGTTTTTTTTCCTTCCTTGCCTGCTGACCGGCCTCTGGCGATAGAAAATAAAACTTTTTGGGGCCTGAAAAGTTTTTTTTCCTTCCTTGCCTGCTGACCGGCCTCTGGCGATAGAAAATAAAACTTTTTGGGGCCTGAAAAGTTTTTTTTCCTTCCTTGCCTGCTGACCGGCCTCTGGCGATAGAAAATAAAACTTTTTGGGGCCTGAAAAGTTTTTTTTCCTTCCTTGCCTGCTGACCGGCCTCTGGCGATAGAAAATAAAACTTTTGGGGCCTGAAAAGTTTTTTTCCTTCCTTGCCTGCTGACCGGCCTCTGGCGATAGAAAATAAAACTTTTGGGGCCTGAAAAGTTTTTTTTCCTTCCTTGCCTGCTGACGGCCTCTGGCGATAGAACATAAAACTTTTTGGGGCCTGAAAAGTTTTTTTTCCTTCCTTGCCTGCTGACCGGCCTCTGGCGATAGAAAATAAAACTTTTTGGGGCCTGAAAAGTTTTTTTCCTTCCTTGCCTGCTGACCGGCCTCTGGCGATAGAAAATAAAACTTTTTGGGGCCTGAAAAGTTTTTTTTCCTTCCTTGCCTGCTGACCGGCCTCTGGCGATAGAAAATAAAACTTTTTGGGGCCTGAAAAGTTTTTTTTCCTTCCTTGCCTGCTGACCGGCCTCTGGCGATAGAAAATAAACTTTTTGGGGCCTGAAAAGTTTTTTTCCTTCCTTGCCTGCTGACCGGCCTCTGGCGATAGAAAATAAAACTTTTTGGGGCCTGAAAAGTTTTTTTTCCTTCCTTGCCTGCTGACCGGCTTCTGGCGATAGAAAATAAAACTTTTTGGGGCCTGAAAAGTTTTTTTTCCTTCCTTGCCTGCTGACCGGCCTCTGGCGATAGAAAATAAAACTTTTTGGGGCTGAAAAGTTTTTGTTCCTTCCTTGCCTGCTGACCGGCCTCTGGCGATAGAAAATAAAACTTTTTGGGGCCTGAAAAGTTGTTTTTCCTTCCTTGCCTGCTGACCGGCTTCTGGCGATAGAAAATAAAACTTTTTGGAGCCTGAAAAGTTTTTTTTCCTTCCTTGCCTGCTGACCGGCCTCTGGCCCCCAAAAAAGTTTTTCTAGCCAAGCCCAAGCATGCAACAGAACCAATGCAAGGCTACCTCGTCGAGGTCGGCTAATTCTGATGAGCAAATTAAGGGCTGACCTCGCTAATTCCTGCAACCTGCCTCGTTGCCTCGGCTGTCCTCGCTATAATTTGTGCAGATATATATATACACATCATTATACATCTACATGAATCTATATACCCCAGTTACAAGACCATCCCCATGGACAATCTCATTCCAGCTCTATCCCGCAAGCGTCCAGGATAGTCTGGGTCATCTGACGGATCTTGAATCAATGAGCAGCGACCAGCCTTGCCTTCAACCCCCTTCTCAATCCTTATGGGTCACCGACAAGGCCCGACAAGGCTATTTTTTGGGCAACAACAACCACCAACAACCACCAACAACCACCATGATTTATCCAAGAACCACCTTTTTGGATGATTTATCCACCACCAACACGTGGTGGATCTTTATGAAGGACCACGCCCCACGGCGCAACGAAGGAAAGCCACTGAAAAGCTAAAGGACGTGGAGACCGATGGAAGCACCTGGCGTTCGATGTCAGCGATGTGCTTTCAACAGATCTCCATGGCCATGGCTTGCTTCAACGTATACGTCGTATATATTAGGGTTACATTGTATAGATATGACATAAGTTTGAGATCGTTTGAGTTGAGAATGACAGCTGATATATTCTCTATCATTGATATCCTTCAGTTTAAAATCAACTCACGATTGGATATGATTTGAACTGGGAGCATGACATTGCAGCATTGGTCAACATTCACCCGTCTATGTAGTCCCGCATAGATTTGCTATAGGGGTTAGACAAGTGGTAAAGAATTGCAAATTGACTCCACACGTTGAACCAAACGTCGCTCTCATTTCTGAACAATGGAACATAATGTGACCTCCTGATTTGTTCCATACCTGAACCTCCTCCTCATGCAAAAGAAAAACAAGTGCCAGTGTAATCCACACCCAGTTCACATCATCAAACAGCTTGCAGTTTGCGACATAATAGCATCCAATGACGACCCAAATGGTGGTTTCCTGAAACAGGGGCACCCCCAAATCATCAATGTTAATAGGACTTTCCATTATAAAGCTACCATTTTTGGGGTACCCATCTATGGAAACCCCCGTATCTTAATTTCAAATCACCAGCCCGAACCTGATATAACAACTCCGGGTACGTCTGAACATTTAGAAAAACATGTGAACCACACACACACGCGCGCACACACACACACGGAGCGAGCAGGGAACACCAATTGTTGGGGGCCTCACAGTTGCATATGTATACCTCAGACGCATGAACCTCTGAACGAACATCTTGAATCAATTCATGGATTTCTCTGCTTAAAGCAAGACCAAGCATTGTGATTTTGCGGGCGCTGGGGAAATGGGGCAAAAATCTGCACCTCAGATCAAGGGGAATTTTGCCAAAGGGTAGTGGGTATCACGGCGAGGCAACTTCGATAGCTACATGTTCTATCAATGTCTGAAACTGTGATGAAGCTTTCTAGGTATGGTCCGTTTGGTCCTGAATCACGTGCCTGCAACTGGGAGGTGATACTCAGCACATTCCCAGACGCCTGGAGAGACACAGCAGGAAGAGACCGAACTGTTCCCATGGTGGTCACAGAAAAAAAATCCAACTTTCTATTAGCCCCTGGATGAATAGAAACAGTAACAGGTTTGCGAAATTCTGAATTTGGCTTTCTTTTCTTCCTTGTCTATCTCCATGGATAAAGCGGAACAACTGAAAGGTCATGAACGTTTTACGAGTACCTGACAAAGCATGTGGGCAAGACCCGCGGATGGACATTGTCAGGTTGCACCACCAGATTTGGCACCAAGCATGCACGATGCAACCAACAGTTCATTTGCCAAGAACAACCCTCAACATCTGTCTGGTTGTGAGCATAAAAATCCCAGAAGACGCGACATACAATTCAAGGCACCAAGCTGGCAACAAAAAATCCACCATTTGTATCAAAGACATCTTAGTACGGGCCAGGCGGCCAAGACCCCAGGAATGCCCTTCCATTCACACCATTCCATAATTATCATAATTGGGATTTCCATGGTTTTCCGATCATATCATATCCCATAATATATCCCACAATTATCTGCAATTATGTTCATAGTTGGTATTCCATAATTACCATAATTGGGAAAGTATCCATCATATCCAAAAACATAATTGAGATAAACCATAGAATAGTATCCATAAGTACCATAATTGGGAAAATATCCACAAATATTCCATATGATAATTGGGATGTTCATAACCACGAACATACCCTCTGGTTATGTCAAAATAGCTATTGAAAATGGCCCATAGAAATAGATGGTTTACCGAACTTAAAAATGGTGGATATTTCCATAGTTATGTAAATGTTTACCAGAGGGTATAGTTAGATCATTGATCATAGTTAGATCCCCCCTACGTTTGTTATGCTATATAACCCCCAGTGAAAACCCATTAACAATTTACCAGAGGGTATCCATAAAACCTCCAAAATAACGAAAAAACTTCACCGTTCACCTCCGCAAGGGCTTGGAAGGTCAAATCCTGAGGATCCGCAGCGGACATGGTCAAATCATCAGACCTCTTCAAACATAGAGATGTAAATAATATATATATATAATATATATATGATAAAAATAGAAAATATAATGATCATATATATGATTTAAATATATATATATATATATGATCTTAAAACATAGAAATGATGATAATTGAAGGTGTATATATATATATGGGATGAAACATGGATGTTTGACTATGGATATGGATCAACATTAAATACCGACATATCGGGAATTGGATGTTTAGTAACTCAATACCACACATTACCAAAATGTTGGACAGCTTTGGTCTGATTTTTGACCCATACCCATGTACAAGCAGCCAAAACCAGCAACAAGGAAACAAGATGAACCAAAGTCTCGGCATATGTGTTTTCTAGATGAGAGTCTAGATGTTTCTCCAAGGTTGTTCGGTGATTCGAAAAGGAACATTGGCAAAGGGGTGACCTGGCTGGGGAGAAAAAAAAATGATGATTCCGGCTGGGAATGGTCCATAGATAAATTAATTAATTATTAATTCAAGGAATTCAGGTAAGCAAAATGGAGGAACCGCGTGCGATCTTAAGGCATCTTCCCTTACTTTGACCTAATACAGATTGGGTTCCTCCATTTCAAATACCTCAAGTTTCATTAGATTCATTGTGGCTCCGAAAAGTGGGAAAACATTGAGGAGTTTTTCATGGTGAGAAAACACCTGAAAGGTAGGGCTATGGATAGTCAACTATATCGCAACTATTCACATTCATACGAATTCCAAATTTCCTATGTTTAATGCTTAAACCCACTCATTGACCATGTGTTGACCATGTTTTGACATTAATATTACGTTTCATATCCCATTGAATCCTATCAAATCCCACTGAAGTCACATCAAATATCCCGATAAATCCAATTGAAATCACATAACAATCCTACTAATCCGCTGAAATCCCACTAAATCACATAACAAATCCCATTGAAATCCTACTAAATCCTACTGAAATCACCAACTTTGCACCATGGCACATCAGTGCCAAGTGACCGTTGCACTGGGTTCCAACTCTTTGGGCACCAGCAGTGTGGCGGCAGGACTTTCCAACTCACCTGGCGCGACATCGAGATTAAAAGCTATGTGGAAAATCATGGAAGGCTAAAGTAAAGGGATTGAACGGCAAATAAGGGAAATTCAGGTCAAATAAGGTTGAATTGGATATTCATGGGATTTAATGGAATATCAATAGGATCTAATGGATATGAATTGAAAATTAATTGGATTATTAACATATTAATGGGATATTCATGGGAACGTGAATGTCAAGACATGGCCAATAGTTGGATTTAACATGATTTAACCATCAAGAATAGGAAGTGATTGAAGTGATTGGGATATGAATGGGATATGGATAGGATATGAATGGGCTATGAATAGGTTATACCCAGGAAGTACACAACAATAACTGCTGATCTTGGTTTATCCCATTGAAATACCCGGAAAGGCCTGCAACGATGGCATAGGCCGTCACCACTGCTCCACCAAGAACCTACCAGTGCGCACGTGACATTGCCGACGACAAAATAACATGTTCAAATGTAGAACATGTGAACATAATGACAACCAGGGACAGCTGCACACAAACATATGTATATATATATAATTTTATATACATACACACACATAATCACATTTATGTATATATATATATATATTCAATGAATGTGTATATATATATTATTATATAATATTATATATATATCTTTACCACATAATGTTAGGGTTCCAGGCTCTGAAGAAACACAATTGGCTTTGTTCCTGATATCCTCTGTCGAAGCGCCTCAAAGGGCCCCAGGTAGTCGCAAAGTTTTGGCACTTCCACGGCCCTCAGCAGATTGCGACTGGGGGGTTCCATAAATGGGGGGTACCCCAAAAGCTGGATGTTTTTTTGATGGAAAGTCCCAAAGAAAATGGATGAGTTGAAGGTACCCCATGACTTAGGAAACCCTATATATATACATATATATATATATATTATGCATATGGATAGGGGCCGATCGTCAGCCTCCAAAATATATGGTGTGGTCCCAAAAGGGAGACGAAACAACTACTCCGCTTTTGACTACCCGTGTATCTTGTTTCAATCTCTGTGAATGTGAGCCAAACATCTAACACTGTGCACCCTTCACAACTGGCCTTTCTGAGATATTTACTTATTGTTAATCAAACATGGCAATCAAAAATCCACCATGAGATGATGTTCCCATTAAAACCTCCATTCTTGGGAATTTTCAATTGTCACGTTCAATTACTCATTGTTGCAACCGGAATCCCGCATATTTTGTTTGGTGAAATCACAATGCTTTTGAGGACGCTTGTGGATTATTCCGTCTTTGAGGAGTAATACATTGTGTATTACCATTAAATCCACTTGTTTAAGTGAACTACCAATCTTTGGTCGGTAAAACCTCCATTTCAATTGCACAGTTTTGTGCGTGTGTTAGCCCCTGTCTTTAACGTGCTTTAACCATCAAATCCACAGTTTTCTGGTCACAAAAGGCCATTACATCACGTTGAATCCAAATTGCTGTTGGTAAACATTTGGTAATTAAAGTTCATATTGGTGATTGTTGGCGATAAAGCACGCAAACATATCACCCTTATCCGACCATATATTTATACCGATTGCTTAATAGGCATCCTTCATGCTTGTGATAGTAATTGCCCACTAAACCACGTAGTATCACCCACTTTCACCATTCATAATCACATCCAAAGACCTTTAAAACCTCGATATCACTTAACCGACTTAATTGGCCAAACAAAAACTACGGATGCCTCGGTTGTTTTCCGCCTCCACGCGTGCCACATGTTGCATTAAAATGCCAGGCTGCAAGACCTGCGGAGCGGTTCCACCGCAGGCGCTGACCATGTCCTCCGGAAGCATCCCAGCACTGGGTACGGAGGAGACGAAGTGCTCCAGCACGCTACCTGGTCGCTTGGATGGTTAAAGCGACAAATGAAAATGGTGAGTTCACCAATAACAAATGGCATTTAAGCAACAAAAATGTACAAACGTGATTAATTATTTAACCAACGACAACAACGACAACAACAACAACAACACCGACAGCGACAGCGACAGCAACAGCAACAATATAGAGAGCAAAATTCGGGGCAACACTAAGAACCCTTGGGGCATCGCCGGTGTGCGAAGCCCTACAGTAATAGTACTCAGAATGTCACAATTTAGATGACAATTGCTATTTACCTATTACAGTAATCACCATTGATATAGCAGTAATGGTATATAATTACATAACATCATATAACTATAGTAGTGCTATATGTGTTTAGTAGTGGGCCAACAGCTTGTTCTCCGAAACGCGCTGTGCTTGCTAGGGGGCTAACCGGATGTCACGGTCAAGTTGCATGGGGAAGATGTGGGGAATATATATGTGACAACAATATATCTGGGTATATTATAATATTTCACCAACCTGAATTAAGGCCATCTGGGGATGATTCCCCTTATTAACCATGATTCCCAGTGAGGTCGCAGTGAGGTCGTTATAATTTACCCATTTATATATACTAGGATATAATTATATAATAGCCAACAAAACTCACGAAAACATAGTATTTTTCTATACACAATATATGGATAGAATAGGGATAGAATTGGGATAACCAGATATGTGATTTTTGGGTCAAGTTACATGGATGAATGGGTGATCATCCAACCCTCAATGGCTCGGTATTTCTCCCGATGTGGCTCGGCAATCCATAACTGCCATAACCATGGCATACCATGGCATACAATGCACCATGCTATCGGCATATTTACCTAGAAAACTGGGGGAAAATATGACATATTCCACACATGGGACATTGGAGTATGCGGGTATGTTTGTTGATTTTCAAAAACATTTAATTATAGCGTTTTTTTTTTTATCTGCCTGTTCAATCCTGTTCAACCCCGGTTGGCCTAGCTTTAAACTAACTTACAAAGCTACTGGTCCCACCTGGTAGCTGCTGCTTTTCTGGATGGATTTCAGAGCTAAGTTGGTTGAACTAAGTAGGTTGACGATTGGATTGATGGTAGATATATCATCCATAATTAACGGGTTTATAAGCCAACTTGTAACTGGCGACCTTCTGTACTTGTTTGTCGATCTTCATAGAAAGTTTCTTTGGTTGGCACTTGTTCATTTTCAAGTTATTTCAACATGTCTTGATGTGTCTGGCATTCTGCCTTTTAATTACTTTTGTCACCGATTTTGTAGCTTTTCAGGTAACGGCATGGCTAGGCTACCAATTTTGCACATCGTACCTAAAGGTCTACTAGTTACTAGTTTCATTTCATAGATGTGTGTTTTTGTATGTATACATATTTATAAATATACCTATACATACCATCATACCATTACACTATACCATTATATACGACTATATACTATATACCATTATACCCCATTAATTACATACCCATTATATACAATTATATACCAATGGTATCTATTCTCCTGGTCGCATGTCTGTGTCAGCGGCTCCCAGCTGGTCCCAGGCCTACGGTGAGAGACGTGAAGTTCGAAGGGTTCATGGTCAGCAATGCAGCGGCTGAAGCCTAAGGAGGTCAACGAAAAATCCAGCGAACGGTTCATAGGTCATTTCTATTGAACTAGACATATTCATAGATAGATAGATAGATAGAGATATATATATATATATAATAATATATATATAATATAATATATATATAATATAATATATATATATATAATTATATATACATTAATATTCTACGTTATATGTAGAATATAGGGGCTAGCTATATATTCTAGACATATTGTGTCATACATATTCTATACACAGATATGTTCTTGTTTTCTTTGCTCTGCAGCTTGTGGTTCAGTCGCATGAAGGATTTCTGACACCCTTTACTACATGAATACTGCACATTTTGAAGGCCACTCTGATAGTACTGCTGCATTTGTTGAGGATTCATATTCCAAAGTCATGGTAATTAGACTACACTACCTTAAGGAATACTGCGCTCTGTTCAAGAAAACTCCTTCGAAGGGTATTTCCACAGTAATAGCGCCACGTTCTTTGAAAAGAACATCATAATAGGCATCATATACTACAGTGGAAATTTAATACATATCTATACTACGATACTATTTCAAACGAGTAATGCATCCTTTGAACAAACTTACGCTAAAGTAGTGCTGCGTTCTTTCAGAGGAATGTTACACCATGTTTCTGTCCTTTCCCAAAGAATACTGCACAATTGAAAGGCTCTTTCAAAGTGCTTCTGCATCTAATCAAGAATTCTAGATGTTACACAATTTCCATGTGTTACTATTCTTAATGCACTACCATTATCCCCAGGGGACTCCTGTCGTGGTCACCGTGAAATGGAAGAAATTTGAACAGAGCAGGAGCCACGCAAGCCCATGCTTGTAAGGTCTACCTGAGCAGTTATAAATGGGATTATCATTACCATCTGGTTATGACTAACATAGCCATGGAAAATCACAATGTTTAATAGGTAAACCAGGTAAACCATCTATAAATGGGCCATTTCCCATGGCTATGTTAAATAACCAGAGGGTATGTACTTGCTTACAGGAGTTATAATCCATTGATAACTGTTAAGGGCCATGACTGTAAGTGCTTGCTCTGAGACCAATTGGGGAGCAGGGTTTTTCTACCATCCCCAAACAAGAGGGCCAAACTGAGTGACCAAGGGCTCAGTTTTGCCAGTGACCCACATGTGGCATGGTCAAACATGGTATCTGAGATGTGGTCATCCCACCATCTCAGATGGGATACCTGAAAAAACGGGTACAGAAATCCCTACCATCTGGTTATTTAACATAGCCATGGAAAATGGCCCATTTATAGAGGTTTACATATTAAAAATGGTGATTTTCCATGGCTATGTTAGTCATAGCCAGATGGTACTACTGGAGGGATGATCATCCCCTTTGATGGGGAAGTCAATGATGTTTCGGCATGTTGAGAACATCATGGCCACATGGTTCCAACGACTCGAAAAGGAGGCCTCAGACCATCGAACGAAAGCGAACGCTTCCCACCACTTGGTTCCCACGAACGCTTCCCACCTCTGCTTGTCCAATCTCTGCACGAACGGAAAATAAGACCCGTGCTGAAGGGTTCCTGAGCGAAGCTGAGAAGCACCACCGGGCTCCGAGGCCGTTTGATTGTACTTTCCAACACTGAAATCCACCATTCAGTGACCTATCCCCTGATCTTGAAGTGAAGACATTTTGTCAAAAATGATTTTAGGGTATCCATCTATCACACACAAATCCATCTCCCTTTCAGAGTTTAAACGCCAGAACGAGCTGAAGTGAATCTCTTCCTTACCGTGAGTACGACGCTACTCTGCGCACAAGGTTCGCACTGGCAACCATAGTAATGACAGGTTGAATGATCTTTGAGCAAAACATATATCTGCGCAACAGTCGAACAGCTTGCAAACCAGAGAGCAATTTCATCGAGCGATGTGTGTCCCACAGTGTGTGTCTCTGCACCTACTATGCCTATGCACTTTCCCACAACTGCAGAACAACATGGATTTTGTTGGGGGTTGAGCGCCTTACAAAGGTGACGCACTAGTCATTCCGGATCATTATCTCAGGCAGGGAAAACAACAACAAATCAGTTTGAAGTCTATAGCAGTCCCCGCGAAAGCCAAAATAAAGCAATGATGCTGTAGATTGTAGATGATGCTTCCTAGTTTTTCAGCTCGCAATATGTGCTCGCAGACAAAGCGCATATCACCAAGAATCTCAAAAACTGAGAAGGTATAATATGCTTACACCATTGGCTATGGGCCAAAACGGTTGTAACCAGGTGAACATCAAACGTGTTGGTAATTTCAGTTTATCAATCCAAAATACGGTACTGCAATTACAGGTTTTGACTCGTCCCATGTATCAGTAAAATCCATAAACTGAGATGCATCAATGACAATCTGCACCCATCAGTGATAGTTTTCTTGCCATCCAAGGGTGGTGTAGTCCTCCAATATATTTTTTATTGATGGATATCACCAACAAATCCCTCTGATTGTTTGTGTTTCTGCTTATTCCTCCTCATTATATGAATCCCTCTCCCTATTGAACATCACCCTAGGAACCCTTGGAACCTGGTATGAGATCTACTACAGTATCTATTTTGGATAGTATTTTTGGCGGGGTCTTCAGTATTGGCTGGATGGGGATCTGTATGAATTCACTAAGCTAAAGAGTTCGGCTTTAGCTACCTCAGCTACCAATTTCCATCATTCCAGTGACGGAGAATGACATGAGGAAACGTGATCAAAATTAACAAAATGAAATCCACATGGATCTGCCTGATGCCAACATTTTGTTGCTTTGGTTCTATGCTCCTATGATCCTTATCTATAGATCCTTATCTATATAAGGGGGATTGGATTATCTATATAAGGGGGATTGGATTTTGTTCACTGCTGACCCAAGGGTTTCCCATCATAATATATTTAATATTGTCATTCCTAGTCATTCCTTGTCCTTGTTAGTTGTACACCATTTCCCCCCCAGGCTAAACCCTGGTGATCCGGTTCTTCGACAACTGTGGCTTATCTACATAGACGAACCAACTATGCTTAGTGATCAACCAAGTTGGAATTGACTATGGTTTGTGAAAATCACATTTTTTTTTTCGAACCATAGTATAGACATTCCCATATACCAAGTGAATAACCACAGTATACTGTACTTGAATAGATAATATTTTATGTAAACATATTACATCATATTATATCATATCTCTATCATGATGACTCTACATTGTTATTTACCATAGTATAGTTATATCATGCTATATATATATATATTATCATATTACCATATTACCATAGTATATACTAGTATACAGGTTGGTGGTTTCAACCCCTCTGAAAAATATTAGTCAATGGGAAGGATTATCCCATATATTATGGAAAAAAAACATGTTCCAAACCACCAACCAGTATAGTATTCATGGGCAACCATAGTGACCCCTCACTGAAAATATCTCCAAGTCTCGGCTGCACCAGCTGCACCGTGTGAGTCTGCCGCATGGCCACCTCCCGCAAAGGCCCCGAGCTCCAGTGGTCCCCCAGCTGCCACGGCACAGTGGCTTCCGCCAAAATGCTGGGAACCTGCGGGCGGGGAAAGGTGGGATTTGACCAAGAAAAATGGTGAAGAATGGTGAAGAATTGACCATTTTTTTGGGATGAAACATGATGAAACACCATGAAAAATGTTTTTTTTAAATGATCAAACAAAAAGGTGATTTTTCACGATCAACAATGGTGATTTGACCAGCAATGGGAAGATTCACCTTTTTTGAGAACCTTAAGGAGCACTTTTTCTGGGATTGAGCTGGAGTTATGCAAAGAAAAACATGTGTTTGAATGATTGAACATTATTTTAATCAAGAAAAACTGGATTGAGTCCCGTCCTCGGAGCGTGTTCGAACCACCAGCAAACGCACAGAGCCTGGGGTCGTCCACACGTATCCCGGCTCCTGCATTGGTAAAGTGGTTGCTACCCTGGGTAGTGAGTAAACCGAGATTATCCTGTTTGTATATTACTGCATATACATTGTATCATGATACATACAGTCCTCAATATAATATAACATTATGTGGATTATAGATTATAATCATGATTAAAACAATCGGTACGTGGGATGCACGTCCAAGTGGGCGAATGTCAATGATTGTCACTTTCTGTGACGTAAGCAAATGACTATACTGGCTATACTGGCTAATGGACATGATTTTTCAAAAATGGGTTGGAACTCCGTATCATATGGGGGTTTCCTAAAATAGGGGTACCCCTAAATCATCTATTTTAGATGGGGATTTTCCATGAAATAAACCATCCAGCTATTGGGGTACCTCCATTTATGGAAACCACCATATGCATCTTTATGGATCTTGAAATCCTAAGTTTTCGTGACTGCGGATCCCATTCTCCAAGTCCTTGAGCCTCCAATCGATCTGCAGTAAAGTGGTTTTGTTCGGTGCCTCCCGCGATGTCAAGGAGCATCAATGGACCAATGAAACTGGCAATCTTTGATCCTCAATCCATCCAATGTTGGGTGTCAATCCTTTGGTCCTTAGTCCTTGGTCCATATCTATACATATATATATATATACAATATAATATGTGTATATATATATATATATACATCAAACACGGCTGCAAAAACCTACTGGAAATAGCTTTCTTAACATCTTTTAAATGGGGAAATCATGAAACTAGATGGTGGATCTTCCAATGCTTGATTACCAGCGGGTTCTTCAACAGCTCCTTGGTATTTGGTCGCTTTTGGTCACCTCAAATTATGGCCTTTGGGTTCAAAACCGTGTCGTTGAGCCGCTGGTGGAGGTCCAAATTTGAGGGAATCCCATATTGGATTTATATGGATTTATTAGATTGGAATAGAATAGATATTAACTAGATCTACATTCATAGACATAGGCCACTTGAAAAATGTGAACGGCTAACAACAGCAAGCCATTTGGGTTTCTTTGGTCCCATGGGCCTCCAGTTGCTCCGACAGCTTCAAGTGCATGGCACCGTTGGCTGGCACCGCAGTCCAGGCACCAACACCCAGAGCACCACGCCAAAGACGAAACTCGAGCTGCAGCCTTGGGTTGCTCCGCCAGCCCAGATATACATGGCTAAATAAAGACGCAAAAATAAAATTGCGAAGTTCCCCCTAACCTTAAATGGCTACCAGTATGTAGCTAAAATAGCTTCGAGAACTGCTGTCTAACGTGGCAAAACATAATTTCGGGATAAGATCAATTCTAATATACAAAAAACACACATTGGGTTGACATTAGCAAGCATCCACAAACTGCACCCTTAGGCTCCGTCATTGCGAACTCCTGTCATTGGATCTCTACTGGTTGGTGTTCAATCCCTCTGAGAAAAATCAGCTTTGGATCATCCCAAATATGGTGGAAGATAAATAATACCTGAAAACAACAACCAGTCTTGTTGTTGCATATTGTTTTTTTTAATTGAGATGACTCTTGAGATCTGTGACACAGATTCGTTTTTTTCCCCATTAATCAGGAAAATCCTGCAACCGAGTTCCTGCTTTAACAGCCAGCTTGCTGAATGACATATAAAACCATGGATTTGACCAGAAACGGGATCCCCAAAATGCTTCGTTTTGGTACCATATTTTGAGACTCAATCTGGAGACTGTACAAGGGTACCCAACAAACCTTTGAGGGAAAGAACAAAGCAACATGGGAATATGAGCTTCCAAGAGTTCTGCAGGTAGGTAGATGGAATATTTGTGATAGAACAACGGATCGTACGAGTAATGAAAAACAGTGGAAATATGATTGTACAGTAACTCATATCGCCTATAACGTGACAATCAAGAATGACGGCCCTGGGTCACATAACTGGGCTGAGGTATGGGGGCTTTGCCTTGGGTGACTACATCTCATCACTGGTAAGGGCTAGATACTGATTGCTCGATACACCGGATGCCTACCTTTTTCTCCACAAGTCCCCCCCCCCAAAGTGTCGCTTGCCACACAACAGGGTGACGATCATCCCAGGTATATCAAAACTGGCTTGTGAATTCAACCCCCCGGGGAAATATTTCCAGAACGGCCCCTCATGGGGGAGTGATTTTTACTCTAAAAAATGGTCAAACATACTGTTATTTACAGTGTTTTTGTGACCAGTGTTTTCATGAAAATTCACCCTCCTCACGGGGTGCCGCTCTCCACAATCTCCACAATATTTTTATCAGTTAGGATCCTCATCCCAAATTGGGTTGAAAACAAAGAAACATCTAAACGCTGTCGCCGAGGAGCGAAGAGGTGTCAGAGACCCCAGGCACCTCCAAAACAAAGGCAAAATTCTCAAGGTCACGTTCCACCTTAGCAAAAACCATTGGGCCATAGGTTCATCCAAATGAAGAATCATCCCAGCTTCACTAAGTGAATGTATGATGGCTATTTGACATCCACATCTCAGACACACATCCGAGTGGGTCTGCATTTTTTCTTTGTACCCTCCGGTAATCAAACGTGGCAATAGGACAGAACAACATTTTTATATGATGATTTTGCCAACTAGAAATCTCCATAGGGGATTTCAACCCACCTTGATTACCAGAAGGTAATTGCTATCACCCAGGCACCTGTCTGGTCGGGTGCCGTGACCTGGGAACCCCCACCAGGAAAGCTGCATCGCTGCTGCTGAAGCCCAGCAGCGGCGACGGATCGGGCCAGCTGGGCGACAATGTCAAGCGGGCCTACAGGGACAGCAACGGAGAGTCATAGAGACGGGCAGTATTTGTTCCACATTTTTTTGTGCTTTATTATTAAATTATCTTTATTTAACCACAACTGTTTTTGTGGGTTATTGATGTTTCCTAATTATCCCTAACTATTTTTTGTTTGTGATTTAACCATAGCTAGGTTACTGTTCCCTAGTTACAGGATACGTCCCAACTAATAAATAAGTGGCATATCTCACCATAGTTCTAGGGGACGCATATATCAACTTATAGAGGTTATTACCATAGAACTACTGTAATGGAGGTTAGAATACCATGGTAATACCCATGAGCAGCCCAACTGCACCCCTTAGTATGGATGTTGCGATGGACTGTGGAATTCCCAATGCTACATATGGTACAAATGCCGCAGTTTTACCTGAGCCAAACACCCATTTTGAGTAACAGAATCTGTGACAACAAATCACCGAACATCCCATATGTCCGTGCGTAAGTTTCCATTTTGCCTGAATAACAAAAAACATTGTTTCGAAACAACATCTATTAACCATTAATTATATATATATATATTATTATATATTATATAATGTATATATATATTATATATATATTATATTATATATATATATTAAATTATATATCATATATTATATATATAGTTCTTGGCTGGTTAAGTGCCCCAGTTTGACTTGGTGAACCCCCAACGTCTTATAATGACTACTTGTTCAAAATTCATCCATGAGTAAAGCAGACTTGCTCCCCAGACTATTCGATGGTTTAGTCATTAGTTTTCAACACATTATCCGTTAAATTGACCATATATATATATATATGTATGTATATATAGATATATATATGAATATATATATACACACTCTCTCTTTCTATATAATATATATATACATACGTATAATTACTTGTTGCTGGTTAAGCCCCCCAATTTCGCTGGTGAAGTCCCCAACGTCTTCGGGTAAGACCCACAACATGTTCACCGAGGCGCCACAGCATCGATGCTATAGCTGCACAAGGTGCGACTGCTGGAATCGAAGCCCAACTTTTCGGCCCAGGAATTCACGGTGACCTGCACGGCTTGATAGAAGTGATGCAGACGTCACATATTCTATGTGTATGCTATATGATATATGTAGATATGATATGTATATATATATATATGTCAAACTAGCCTTGTATAACTTGATGTTATATGTATGTGTTGATATGGTATACAGTTTTCAGATATATGATAAGTGTGTATGTGTATATATATGATATTATATGTGAAATGTATATGACAGCATATGTGAAATGTATTCAAATGCATATGTAGTACATATTACATTTGTTATGTGTATATAGTTGTTCTGCAAGTGTATTGTATTTATTGAACACACGTATGATGCGTATAAAACAAATACTAGATGTATAATTTTGCATAATGTGTAGATGTATATGTACAATGTACTATATATAGATTATGATATGTTATGTATCAAACTTACAAAACTGTGTATACATATTATATATATATGTTACAAATTCGGATTGGAATGAAGAGGCTTGGAGTCAGGGCAATTATTGTATGTCACCCCTTTGCTTTTTCCATGACTGTCAAGAGCACCACTATCGGTTCATTCTCAGTCGGACCAGCCCCAAACAAACGATTCTAGCAATCTGCACATGCTGTGCTCAAAAGTATCCGCCTCCATCCGCCTCCAATGTTTGATGGTTTAAGACGCAACAACACATTATCCAAATAATATAACATGCTGGTACAAGATGGTACACGTATATAGGTAATGCTTCCATAGCCATGTGTAAAAGCCACTTGTCATGGCACCAGGCCATCCCGTTCTAAGGCAGCGGACCAGACCGGGAGTCGTCAGCATGAAGGGCGAAGCATAGGTGACTTGACCATTGAACCTGGGAAGATCTGGAAAAAATTGGATTGGTCTAAGGGACCCATTTACAGGAAACCTGGAAACCCTTATATTCGGTGGATTTTGGTGGCTAGACATGCTAAGACCCTGATTTCCATTGATATCCTGTATTTCCCTAAATCCATCTAGTGATGGAAAGACCAGTCACATCTGTCACTCTGAGGACTTGTGGTTTCAACATGTTTCAACAGTTTGAAAGTTGACACCCGATACGGTCAACAGGTGCGAGACATGCAATCGGAAACAAGACAATCCGGGAGGTGGGTGATTGCGTGGTATGTGAGTGTTGAAAAATGTGTAGAGCCTGTAGAGCCAAACTTTTGGCAGGCATTATATTTGGTTGATTTTGGTTGATTTTGGTTGACTAACTTCTCAAAATTCTACAGTTTTTGATTGTGATTATTTCGCACAATTGGCTTTGCTTATATAACACACGTCCATGAATTATTGGCTCAGTTCAATCCAATGATCTCGCAGAACAGAACCAAATGAGTTGGAAGAGCCTTGATCCAATTACCCTCCGGCAATCAAACATGGCTCGCTGGACAATCCCCAATGATTTTCCCACGATTGGCTGCATCTCCATTTAGTTCGGGGTTTCGCAGCCAGCCACGTTTGATTACCGGGTGTTCTGCAAGCTGGAAGCCCTTGGATCTCATAGAAAATGGTCGCATCTGGCTGCTGATCCACCAGCAACTCCACCTGACGCCAGCAAGGAGATGTTAGTTTATTTTTGCCGGGCATGTGCCAAGCCGCAAGGGAGAAAACACAGCTTGGTACAGGGCGGAATGGGTCAAAAAAAATGTTTGGGATACCCATTTTTTAACCACATCCGTACAACTACTAACGACTGGTATACAGTAGAAAAATGTAGAAAGTACAAACACTGATGATGACAACAATTGGATTGCGACGACGATGATGATGGTGACGGTGATGATGGTGATGGTGATGGTGATGGTGATGGTGGTGATGACGATGACGATGACGATGATGATGATGATGATGATGATGATGATGATTGTGATGATTGTGATGATGATGATGATGATGATGATGATGATGATGATGATTGTGATGATGCTGATGGTGATGATCACGGTAGCGGTGATGATGGTAGTGGTGATGATGGTAGCGGTGATGATGGTGATGATGATGGTAGCGGATGGTGATGGTGGTGATGGTGATGATGGTGATGCTGGTGATGGTGATGGGTCTTTGATAAACATCTTCTGGTGATGATGATCCGGCACAGTGTCATTCGTGAGATGCTGAGGATCAGCAAAAACATGTAGGTGGTTCCAAGGAATCCGATTTCCTGGAACATGACACTCTTTTTTAATGATCCTATCCCCCTATGAAAAACACCCCATTCTATTGTCCCGCATAAGTGTAAATCCCCTACTCATGGTTTCGGGGGGAAGGGATTGTTATCCTGATTTCATATATACACAGTATGTATATACTATATGCGTGCATCTCAAGGTTGGAACCTCCCTGACTCGAACAGATGAACTACAAAACATGACAAGACCAGTTCAGACATACTCACATAAGTCCAATCCAAGAACCGGACTAGTTGTTTGTAGCGTTTTGCACACACGCAAGATCCGGTGGGGTGGGGCGGGGCAGGGTTGGGATGTTAACACGTTCACCTGCACTTGCACACACACACACTGTTACGCTACACACGTTTTCGGAAAGTTCGCACACATTCTTGATGCTCCGCTATATACGTCTTCTGTATAGTACACTGTACACTTGCACAATCTTGCACACATACTTGATGCTACGCTACACACGTTTTCGGTAAGGTTGCAGACATTCTTGATGCTGTCTGCAAAGACTGTCAGCAAGTTGACATGAATGAAAAGAATGCCTGGCGCTGTGGCGAAACGCAAACCACATTAAAAGACAACACTTTTTTGAAGGTCCGCATTCTGTGAAATGAAGCTTTGATTGAGGCCAAACGACGATATTTTATGAATAGCACTGTAAATGAAACACACAAGCAACCAATGATGCTCCAAAACACTGGAGAAAAGCCACGTTTCAAAAGCATCAACGATATGGAAAAACTGGGCCAATTTTCGGTCCGTACGGATGTTTTTGCCCTTTTAATATGTATCAATTCTCATACTTATCAGCAATATTCCTGATCTGACTCCTTAGCAGCAACAAGCAAATCTACTGTATGATATTCTATGGTTCATAAGCGAAAACTCCTCATGACAAAGGATGCTTCCTGAAATTTTCAAAACAGTGATTAAATGCATGTCCATCCCCGAAATGATGGAAACAATCATCGACAGGAGTATTAAGGTTAATCCAGCATGTGTTACTGGAGCACTTCGTATATTAGTCGTATGTTCACTCAAAAAGAAAGGGATGAAAAGGGTAAACCCAATCATCAACCATTCATGTTTCGGACATGTAGTCTTGATCGACCTTACTGTAAAATAGAAATCACTACAAGTGAATAAAAACCAGGTCCCCTACTGTATCTCTATGGGTTCAGAAGCATCGAGGCAAGAGCCAGACCTGCACTTCCAGAGCATAGCTGCTGCTGGTCGACAAATTGCCAGACGCAACCTCCAACCCAGAGCCAGGGTAGACGAGCAAAATCCACTCTTCAAGGGTTTAGATTTTTGGAATTACTGCAAGCCCAACATTAAGTATAAGCAAAACGGGAATCAAATGGAATGGTACATCAGAATCAAGGTTGGAATTCACCAACTCAACTATTTGGCAGAATCAAATGTTGATTTTGGGACATGTATCAATTTATGACAATCATTCATGGTTTCGTTAATTATTGTATGGTAAGGTTCTTGACTCACCCAGAACTATAGAAAAGTTGTCGAATACAAACAAAATTGCAGACTTGGGAATATTCACAAACCCAATTAGATGGGACATGGCAGTACTGGTTAGCAACTTGGTTATAGATTATTTATAAACCACTATATTATATCATTATATCCCAATAATGGCCATTTACTGACTAGTTAACTAACTCCACGGCCCATCTAATGGTGCTAGCTGGCTATCCAAATTTGGTTGAATCCCAGAAGGCAGAGCTGATGACTCTGTGCTAACTGGCTATATCAACCACATGGCTGGGTTGCACATCCAAGCAAACATGGTAGGTGATTCCATTTCGAAAAACCATTGTGTCAATACAGCTTCATCATCCCTAGGTAGAAAAGGAACACATCTCAGACCAGCAACATGCAGTTACAATAGGTGCACGGATGTTCTGAAGGCGAGATTACTATGATGATACAATAACAACCGCTAGCAAATACTGGTGATAAATAAGGAGTTATGGAATGTTATGGATATACTACATATATTTATATATATACAGGATCGCTCTGATATAATTAACTACATTTTAATCAGGATGGGGCTTGGTCGCTGTCAGACTGCCATATCGAAGGGTTCTTTGAAACAGATCAGACTTACTATGATCCAACGAGAGCCGGGTTTGTGGTTTCTTGTCTACCTCCACAAAAATAAGCAAACTGTGAGCATCAGTCTAGAGTCTAGACTAGATGTGGGTCAACCCCAAAGAACCGACTGACACTTGTTTCATACCTTGGCACGACCACCCCAAGTCTCTATTCTTGACCGCTGCCATTCTTCATACTTGATGAAACCAATTGTGTTGTTATTTTCTTTCTAAACCTGGTTACAAGAATCTCTGACAGAGTCTGAGACTGACCAAGATCGCGTCGAACAATTTTAAAAAATGAAGTATTGTCCACCTCTTGAAGAGACAAACACTTAATTCTGCTTGAAACCAATCAGGCAAAAAACATCAGTCATCTGGGGTCGTCTTCCGAAATGTGAAGCCACAGAGCCGCTGAACCAAATCATCCAGTCAACTTCACATATTTCCCCATCAAAATCTGGCCCAAAAAAAATGAGGATAAATCCCGAACAATCTGCGAATATCCAGCAAAGATATCTAAGATATCTATGATTCCTGGTGAATTTCACCCATTTGGGTCATCATTTGGGGAGATTATATCCCCCCACGACCGTCTGGTTGGTCGTTTGACCAAAACCTTGGCGAATCCCATTGAACGATACCTCCGGGATCATCATCCCAAACGATGACAGCCGATGACCGGATGACCGTCGTTGAAATCACCAAGCAATAGTGAAGATAGCCAGAATTCGATGGATTTACCTATTAAAAATGGTGATTTACCTATTAAAAATGGTGGATTTACCTATTAAAAATGGTGGATTTCTAGCAATTTCTTGCCCATATTCCAGGGCCGAACATATTCCATGCCAAAATAGCTGGGAAATTTCAGGGAATTGCGAAGACCCCTTTCAGGTGAAATTTGTATTTCATACAGTTTGCCAAGTATTCCTTTTCTTCTGGCGCGTACGTTGTCGACTGCACATGTTCTTCCCCAAAGAAGATCCTTACTTTCAACAATTTCTGGAAATGTCATAATTAAAAATGTTGAGTTTTCCAAAAATGGATTAATAATGTTCTTATGGAAATTTGTCATCTACACTTTTCACGATCCCAAAACCCAATTCATAAGCTTTAAGCTTATGTTCTGGCACGCTTGGCTGGCCTTTCATCAGCAGCGCCATCCCCATCTTTCTTGACATCTTTGTGGCCCCGCAAAGAGCTCTGCACAACAGGATCTGGGAACACAAATCATCGACGATCCTGTTTTCTTCCGTGCAAAATAATTCCACCGATAGAGTACGATGCCACCCCTGGAGTGCGCTAATTTTCTGGAATGCGAAAATAAAACAGTATGCGTGGCCCCCTTCGACCTTCCCCATGAATCCAACACCAGTTTTTTCCATCATATACCAGAAAATTATCACATTTCACCCTGCTGAGCTTTTTTTTTCTTTTCTTTTTTTTTTGGCCAAAATTGCCTGGAATGCGATAGTATGTGCAACTACAGACGTCTCACGAAAAACCTCTACCTTTCCCATATTCCAGAAAACGTGATTCCAGGCGATTTTAGCCAAAAAAAAAAACGAAAAAAAAAAAGAAAAAAAACGAAAAAAAACGAAAAATTACCGAGTACGAAGATTTTATGGAGTGCGAAGATCTTGCAGAGTGCGTGGATTTTATAGTATGTGCGCGTCCCTAGCTGTGGAGTGCGATGTCCCATGTGGAGTGCGAAGAATTTGTGGAATGCGAAGAATTCCGAGTATGCGTGGCTGGTATAGAGACCACATAGGGAAATTTCGCGGCCAGAACCAAAATTCCAATCCCAAAGCCGGCCCAAACTTCCAGGGGCACACCAGTGGGTTCTATTTTTCCAAGTTCACCTTGGGTGAGGTCCCGGGGAAGAAACTTGCTAATTTTTACTTAGCCAACCTTTAAAAACGTTACCTTTGACAACCCTGTCCTTCTTCTGTAGACAAATGAGGAAACTTCCTTATCAAAGCAGCCTTCAATTCATTCAACGTCCACAGCTCCTTTGGAACGACATAGGGGATAGAAAGCTGTGGAGGGGCATTCAATGGATTCGCCGTGGGCCAACTGTTCCCTCCAGATTGAGCTGAAATGCCTATCAAAGTAACATACCAAAACCCAGGTCTGGAGTACGATGAAAACATGGTATGCGAAGATTTTCTGAATATGGGAATGTTGCCTTTAGAGGATTTACCTATTAAAAATGGTGATTTCCCATAGTTATCTGGTTGTTGGTTTCAACCTAGCCCTCTGAAAAATGATGGAGTGAAAGTCAGTTGGGATGATGAAATTCCCAACTGAATGGAAAAAAATAATCCAAATGTTCCAAACCACCAAACAGTGTCATATTAGATCATATTGGAATATATCATGATCTATATAGCCCCAAAAGAACTGGATGATTTATATTAGAATATATTATGATCTATATACCCCCAAAAGAACTGGATGATTACATGCATAACCCACTAAATTGATGCTTGATCTCCCAATTTCTCCCAATAAATCACGGTTCAAAGCACACATCGTGGAGGGTTCATGTGATCGTTCCCATGGAGCTCCACCACGCTTTCCTTAGTTGGCTTAAATGGCAATATGTCCTACCAACAGGACATAACGAGACACAAATTTACTACCCAACTATTTCACCTAATTATTTCCCTCAGTTTTTCCCTAAGATCCCTAAATCTTGACAGATTCCAGACCTGTTTCGTAGATTTTGGCCATCTCACCCTACCACGCACCACGTCTCCAGGGAGATCTGATGCAATGGATGACACAGCACCGCACGGAGCGTCACCGACTCTTGTCGCCTGCCCGGGCGCTATGTTTACCCTCTGGTGGCGTCATGGCAATGGACAATCGCCAAAAAGAAAACAGGTGTTCATGGGAAAATCAACTACAACTACAAATGGAGAATTGTGGATGTGAATCAGACATGGATTGCTGGAAGATCCACCATTTAGATCCATTTCGTTCGTTAATGTTCCGCGCCAGAAACCTGCATTGTTGTTGCGATAAGCCAGTAGAGTTGGATCTACGATTTGAATCTTCAAGATATTTAAAGATCCAATAAATGGGGATGGGTCAAAACGCTGGTACCTAGTGAACCCCAAAATAGCTGGTAAATGGATGTTCATCCCACTAAAAATGTATCTATAGGTATTGACCCATACACAAATAGCCTATGTGGACTAATGAGAAAAAAACAATGCTCTTAAAAATTTGTTGGGATCACATTGCTCTAATGGATTCTCATCCTGATTTTGGAGATGACCTACCAAGCGGTCTGGAAGTCTGTGACATCCCAAATATCGATGGTTCAGATTCACCACACAAAATAGCCTTACAGTGGCTGTTTTTGATGACTTTCAAGATCTGATATTGGAACATGGCCATGATTAAAACTGCCATGGAAATAAGTTTTATTTATCTCCTTTCATGCATCATTTTCCATTGCAAACTGTTGAATCACCAGAAGGTATCTACGATAAGCACACAAATGTACACAATTGAAAAGGTCTCAAGGATAATGCGTGTACATGTATAGGTAAAACATCACCGCGAGTATCTAGAAGTGCCAACTTGGACACTTGACGTCGGAGAAGTCTCTAGATTCGAACCATGAAGCAAACCACGATACTTGCTGGATTTAGTGTCATGATGTACACATGCATGTATATAAATATATATTATACATGTTGCGGAATTGTGGTTGTGGATCGTATGAACTCCATAAACACACTCAAGGAAAATCAAAAGAACACAAGACAAAGGGATTGTGCATTTGTATATAATGATATACAGTTATATATAGATATGTTATATGATTGAATATGTTTATAAATAAACATGTGTATATCAACATCGACAACTAGAACTGCGAAATGGCAAGGATGGTCTCAAACTTGGGAAGTTTCCAGCAAGCCAGGTTTGATTACAGAAAGGTACATCCACGATTGGATGATTTATTCCACGATTCAAACGTGGTAGAAAGCATTGTGTTGGTTCTCATCATTTTTTCATCAATATTAATATAGCCTCCAGTAAACTAGCGGAAATCCACCATTGACAGCTGGTTGTCGAACATTTCCCATGAAAAGCCACAGGATTTCGCAGCAAGCCATGTTTGTCATGTTTGATGCCCGAAGGGTACCCGTTATGTCCCTTCGCCTGATGATATCAAGGCCGAAAATATCGCCTTCCAGCTCCTGCTTTTGGCGAAAGGTGACAGGTGATTCCCTGTGGGTGACTTCAAGTATGGACAATTGATGACACATGTGGTTTAAACCTTGAAAATTGAGATTTTATGAGATATAGTCGGGATAGAATAGGATGTGACTAACCACCAATATGATCGAAGGAAGTTTAGAAGTCAAACTTCCGACAATATGGAGAGATGAAAAGCAGAGCAGGGCAGAGGCAGAGAGAAGAGGAAGATTAGAAGAGAGAAGATCAGAAGAGAAAGAGTAAGAAGACAGAAGATACAGATGCGCGAAAAGGTAGGAAAGTCGCGAAGCACTGTGTTTTTCCAATGATTTGTGGCTCCGGAGGGTCGAAAAGTAGGCTCGCTAAAGCGGCGGGTGCGGAGCCAGCTGGCCAGATGAGAGATGAAAAATTGCACGCCGTTGTGGCGCAAAGCACATTTCCAAGTCAAAATGTACAAACCACACCATTCTCGGACCACTTTTGGAAGTTGAGATGTTGAAAAAGTGCACGCCGTTGTGGCGCGAAGTACATTTCCAAGTCAAAATGTACAAAACACCTCAGCGTCGGACCCCTTTTGGAAGTTGCGATGTCGAAAAAGTGCACGCCGTTGTGGCGCGAAGCACATTTCCAAGTCAAAATGTAAAAACACACCAGGTGCGGACCACTTTTGGCAGTTGAGATGTCGAAAAAGTGCACGCCGTTGTGGCGCGAAGCACATTTCCAAGTCAAAATGTACAAAACACCAGGTTCGGACCACTTTTGGAGGTTCAGATGTCGAAAAAGTGTACGCCGTTGTGGCGCGAAGCACATTTCGAAGTCAAAATGTACAAAACACACCATGCTCGGACCACTTTTGGAAATAGATAGATAGATAGATAGATAGATAGATTAGGGTAATTGAATGAAAGAAAGAGAGAGATAGATAGATAGATAGATCGATAGATAGATAGATAGATACATAGAAAATAGATAGGTAGGTAGGTAGATAGTCAGAGAAAGAGAGCGAAAGAAAGGAGACCTCAAGCACCTTTCGGTCCATCAGTGGCTTCGCTCTGCCATCCCTGATTCACAACAACCCTCCTCTCCTATAGGTTTCCTATTTTTGAAACTTCCGCCACCGCCTTGTGCGGTACTACTGGTATATGTGACATATTGTTACATGACTTGAGATTAGGATAAATCATGGTTGAGCCGGCCATTTCAAAACATATGCCCCTCTGGGGATCATCATCCAACCATGAATTTCAACGATTTGTTAGCACAAGAAGCCCTTTTAAATCAAACTCACAGCATATACAGACTGAAATGAGGTCATACACCAGCCACTCACCCATGATGTCATTTGGGGATGTGTCAAAACCAATAGTACCCCTGTAGTTCACCCCAAGTCATAGCTGGGATTTATGGATGTTCATCCCACTAAATAGCTGGTATCTATAGGTATTGACCCATACCCATTTAGCTAACATTGGAGCCCAGGCATTTTGAGCCCACCTCGTACTTGGGGGACGTGTCACAGTTCGGGGCGTTGGGAAATGTGCCATACCTCAGTGGCCAGTGGCTTGTTTTTTTCGTTCGAAGTCTTAGGATCCCAAGAACTCATGAAACCAGAGTATGTTTAACATCTCCACACCTCAAAATCAAACTAGTTTACAGTAATATGATTGAATGATTTGTTCGTCTATTTATCATACTCAAATATTGTGTATATATATATATACATATTATAATATAACTAAATAGATATAAATATATGTAAACAAAGAATACAATACATATTCGTATCTTATATATGTATAATTATTATCATATATTCATATCGTATAAATGTGTACACGTGTTTCTTTGTGTCTAGATATGGTCACTCCCAACAAAAAATCCATGGTCTTCCACAGCACTCCACTGGGTATTCAAGGTAAGGACGTACTAGGCTGGGTCTGCGGTAGATGAGGTAACGGCTTTAACCCATGCTTTTTCCCAAGTGGCCACCATGATCCATGAAAACCTGGAATATAGATTGGAATAGATTGGAGCACCCCTATCGATAAAACGGCCATTCCAAAATCTCTGGTGGCAGCCCGTCACACATATCTCTGAGGCGCTCGTATCGAATGGCTAGGAGCCATGGGCCCTCCACATCCTGCGGGAATGTCTATTGAAACCAGCTGAAACACTGTATATATATATAACAATGGCTATTATTTTAGATAACCTGTGAACCATAAGCTAAAATAACAAATACAGAGTTGTTTTTGTTTTAATGGTTTTTCAATGTGTGTTTCTTTACATATACACGTATACTTATACTTATACTATTATGTATTCCACCATCTGTGGCAAAAGCTTTAAAGTATCCAACTACTAAACCAAGGTTTACCCAGAAACCAGCAGTGGGGAAAAACAAAGTGTGCCACGTCCGGACGTTTCAGGCATAGTAGACAGCCCAATTTCTTGTAGGATAACTGTCCAATCAAAAGCACCTTTTGTTTTGATATCTTTCTGATATAATGTCGGTAATTACATGTTATTTTCACCAGGCTTTCAGGGCGATGGTTTTGACCGTTTTGAAGCCTCAAACTGGCTGTGCGTTTTGGCCGCCAGCTTTCAGTCGCAGCAGCCATGTCACGAATGTCCGACCCTCAACGGGAGAGATTTGCGTTTTTTGGCACTGGATCTAAGATCCTCACAATCCGTATTTTTGAAAGTCCAAGTTGGCCAACACTCCAAATGAGTATATATATACCTGGAAAGCCGTTTGAACAAATTTTTTTTGTTCATTATGGGAAAATCTGGTCGAATACACCTTTTAATGATCAATGAACAATTTTACCCGTAATGACCAGATAATTTGGTCAATTCACGATATTGCTATTGGAGGTGCGCCCGATCCTTGCATCCAAGGCTCACAGTATGGATGTGAATGATGTGAAATAAAAAAGGGGAAGATGCATGTGACCATGCACCCCAAATCGAGAATGGAAGAAATATATGATGGGTGCCATAGAATATATTATGTGGCATAGACTATATATTATAGATTCCCAACAGGGTCTCTTGAAATATGTGCATAGAAACCATGCGTCCTGATTGGGATGATTGCATCGCTGCTGAGCACGTTGAGGCCCGCTCTGATTACGTGGGGGGGGGGCATCGAAAAACGAAATAAGTTTGATTTGATTTCTTGCCATGAATTCTATCTTGCAAGTACAGTTGGCTTTTGCTGGAAGCTTTTGGGCGTTCCCTTCAGAGCAAACCGGCGCAAAAAAAAAAAACGTTTTGCTGCCTTGCTATGGCGAACCTTTATGGTGTTGCTAAGCATTGGTGGATGGAGCCTTCCATCCAAGAGAGGGTGAAAGAGGGCGGCATTGGTGCCATTGTTGTAACCAACAATACCCAGCCCCTTGCATCCAAAGATGTACGTCATGCCTTGTGGAACAGAGAAGTCTTGATCCCAATCATGGAGAATATGCGATACCACCACCTGATCAAGACACCTGATATGGGGACGATTCAAGACCAAGTTTGGATTCTCCAGCTGCTGTCTACCAAGCAGGGATTTGATGCCCACAACCTTCCTCCAATCCCTGAAGAGTTGGAAGTGCCGGTTCATTTGTCGGTGATTAGCATTAAGAAGCTGGTGTCATATGTGCGAGCCAAGTACATTCGTCCTCACATGCCACGGGACAAGGGTTCCTTTCTTCATGCATGTTTCCATTTTTTTATGTGATTATCAATCATGCAGTTCAAATCAGATCATAATTTCCAGGTCTTTCCCGGAACCACAGTATGTATTTTCTTCCATTCCAATTTGCATATGATGGATGGAAGAAATCCTGCACCTGCACCGCTTCGTGCCCATGTATAGTGGTAACACTTATAACTATAACTGCAATGGGACTATATTGGATAAACCATCTATCATCCGGTGCAAGATTTCTTCCATCCACAATATGGTTCAGATCCCTTGGATCATATATGCCCCATAGCTACCCCTGGAGGACGCAGACTTCAGAGAGCTCTTGACCCACTTTGGCGAGTTGGAGCCTTTTTTGCACCCGGCACATTGTCCATGGTTCATCGGGCCAGCACACTTTCAAATGGTAAAGGTGAAACCGGTGAAACCAATGAATTTGACTGCAGGCTGAGGTTGATATATAGATTTTATGGGAATCATTTCAATATATTTGGAACCCTACATTACATGCATGTATACAGTTGTTGCAATATGTTGGAGTGTTTGCTATCAATTCCCACCGGCCTTGGCCGCGCAACTCCGCCTCTCAGGAACTCTATTTAGACCTCCCCGCGGACAAGTCAGCTCCTGACGACAGCGAGGATGAGAAGGGCGAATCTAAGGAGTGTGATCTACGTGATCGGGTTCGTCAGGTGCCAATTCCTTCACCTACTACAACCCCGGTTGTGCCAGCTCTGGCTGAATCTGTGGGTGGGAACTCGGGTTTGCTTGAGAATGATATGTGGGTTCCAGAAGCCCTTCCTGTTGATGAGCAGGAATGTGTGTTTGGATTGCACAAAAAAATCATGGAGGCCAAGGCCAGGATTGCTGAACTCAAAGGTCAGAATTCCAACAGTACTGGTACTCCCATGGTTTCTCCGAGTGATCCAGTTCCAGAGATAGCGTCACCAGTGGATTCGACTTCATCAAGGGTTGCTGAAATTAGATCCCGGATGGAAAAGTTGCAGTCAGATTTGAAGTTTCTTGTCAGTACCATCGACCAGTTTCCGTCTTTATGAAAACATTGTTCATATGGCCATCCAAGTTGATCAACAGCAATCTTAAGAGGTATAGATGTATTCCCCTGGAACCTTAGGATAGATGTATTCCCCTGGAACCTTTAAAAATTAATATCAAACCTGTGAACCCATCTCTTTCCCAGGTTGGAAGCCAGCACTTCTGTGCCAGCAATGGACTTTGATGAGACTCTCCCGATGGTGCCGGATGAAACTCAGTACTACGCTCCCGATGCTGTGCCCGATGCTGGGGTGGATGAAGCTTGGTGCCCCCCCGAAGCCACTCAGGGTGAGGATGAAGGCCCCAAAATCAATGATCCTACTACTGGCAATGGTGATGAAGGTGAGCGCATTCCTGTTCCTTGAACCGGATATAGGTTGATGTCTCTACCACTTCAACCGAACTTCAAGTGTTTCTGTTTTAGATGTTTTTTTTCAGGGGAAAAGTTCAATATGTGGGTTCTCAGCTGCTCTGTGCGCTCAGGTTGTGGATCGCTTGAAGCAACAGCGGTTGAAGGATGAAAAGAAAGAGGAAAACTCTACGAGGAAAGGAAGGAAGCCTAAGGGAAAGGCAGGAAAGGCAGCCAAGGCAGAAAAGCCAGCAAAGGCACGAAAGGCAGCTAAGGCAGGAAAGGCAGCAAAGGCAGAACCTGAAGCAAACAAGGAGCAATCCAGCAACAGTCCAAAAACCATAGGTAAGAGACTTCGCAGGATGAAGTCACAGGTGCGCATGGTAAGCAATGAACCAGAAGATGGTAAGATCACCCAGAAGGATAAGGCCACACCATCAGCAGCAAAGACAAGGAATCCAAGCAGTGAGACAACGGCAATCCCAACCACTATGAGCAAAGGTAAGGGCAAGGATGAACGCAATGTCAAGGAGGCAGGCAAAACGAAGAAAGTCAAGAAGGGATGCAAGGTCAAGGGATGCAAAACGAAGAAAACGAAGAATGTAAAGAAGGCACCGGGTGAAGAGGAGGCAATGGACCAGGCAGGACATGCAGGCAAAGGAGCAAAGGCAAAAAAAGCAAAGCAGTCGTCCACATGTGCGGAGCCAGCCCCCAAAGCTGGAGAGGACAGCCCACTCGCCTTTCATCTTAAGCATGCATGTTTGTTATGACATATCACATATGAGCAACATAATGGCTACATATCCTTAAGTATAAACTGATCTACAAGTCTATTACCAAATGTCTCCAGGATGGATGCCGCCGAAAGCGCATCAAGCACGATGAGACCACGGGTGAGATTAAATCCGTAGTTGAGCACTTGAACCAACAGTTTGAAGGGCAGTTCAAGATCATGGTGTACTGGTCGCGCTCAGCTGTAGGATTCCTAATCCTTAAGAATGGCAAGCTCCAACAGGCTTGGTAGCTGAAAACGTTAAAACCTTTCTGATGTTCTAATTATTTGATGTTCTGGTTGAAAATGTTGGGAATTATGTATGATTCATTTCATAAGTAGGTTACCCACATGGACAGACCCGCCAACCCAGTCTCCTTTGCCATTGTTGGTGTCCCGATCCACGCCATGTCCTGGAGGTTTGCTACTGCACAGTGCGCTTTGAGGATTTGATGTTTGCAGTCAAGAGTGTCGCAACCATAGCTACTTTATTGCACCCCAGGAGATGCTTTTCCTTTGTCCCATCAACCATTCAATAAATGCAATCCCACTTGGAAAAAGTAATTGGCCACAAGTGGTAAGCCATGACCCTGAATTGTTGAATTAACAATCTGCAGCCCTTGACTTATCTGAGGCTGGTCAAATGCTCAACGGCATTGATGAAGCGGACGCTGTGTCGAATTTTCTGTACTACAAGCCAGTTCTTACCGGCCAGAGCTCTGATCCCAATTTGAAGGAGGAGTTGCACAAACATATCAAGGAATTCACTGATGAAGTCAGCCCCGAAAATGAGGATGCTGATGCTCAGGATGTTGACTAAAGAAGCCGGACATTTATCTTAGAGTATATCTGTAGGGTTCCCATGCATGTAAGGCTTTCACATCACCGTTTTCGAAACACATGGTTTATCGCAGTGAACCTCCAGCTACAATGACTACTGAACGCATGAACTCATTTTTCATTGTGTTCATATCAGCATTTGATCTGTGATTGCCTGCTGGCATGGTCCGCTTTGTGGCACACAATTCTATCTTTGGGGGATACGGCTTAAACGCCGCAAGACTTTGTCTCGCCAGCGCTTTGGGGAAAAAAGTTTCCATCTCCCACTTTGTATTTGGGCAGGGTTCCATTTATCCAGATGAAAAGAATACGTACCAAAGTCTTACAAAATCGGAACAGGATGTGAAATTACCACCAACAATTCTGGGTTCATTCACTTTCAATCGTCATTCTCGCCTTGGACAGGTTATGTGATTGCTGCTGCTGCTA